AAGGAATGGAAAGGAAAAAGGAAAGAAAGGCTGCTTTTCAAAGCGTACTTCTCAATCTGCCCACATCAAAATAAGAGACAACTGGCCCTTTGAAGTTCAGGACACAGAATTCTTAGCCAGTCTGCATGGGAATAAAAGAAACTTGCTTTATAAATCATGTGTGCAATGGTTCTCTCTCTCTCTCTCTCTCACACACACACACAGTTCTTGCCTTGCCAGCATTAAAAATAGGGGCAGAAGGGCTTAGAGACCTTACAATTTGTCTGTAGAAAAATTAGACCACATAACCATTGCCAGTTCTGCATAACACAAGGTGGGCTGGCCCTCTCAAATAAAGCTAAGAACCCTGCTGTTTTGCAGTGCCAAAGATCAAATCTTTGGTTTAAATGTTGGCAAGCAACATTTTGGTTGCTGCTATACACGCGTAACAAACTCAGAGGATCGGGGTTGTGGTATGTCCCTGAGTGCAAGGCACTATCCAGGCTGTGACATCCACCTGTTCCTTCTTTCAGCTCCTGCAGAACAAACAAGGGCTTCGTGTTTGTGGTGTGCATGTCCAGCACACCTTGCACAACAGCTGTGTGGACCATGCACCCTGCCTGCCAGCTGTCCCACCAGCATTACGTGGCGATTCACTGGAAGCCTTGTCATTCTGAGGGGGAATGGGAAGGATGGAATAAGGGCGCAGGTGACGTGAAGGGAGGCAGCAGCAGGCAGTGGACTGAGGAGCATCAGGCAGAGGCCTCAGAGAAAGCAGCTTTTAGGAAAAGAAAACTGAACGAAGCAGGGCCAGAAGAAAGAAGGGAAAGCACTGCGGAAGGATACATAGAAGAATTCCCCACGGGAATGAGTGGGAGCTGGCCAGAGAGGAGCTCAAAGGGGAAGGAAAGAAGCAATACACTGAGTAGAGAAGAGAGTCAAGCACAGGAGGGTAGAGAAGCCAGCCATGGGGGTGGGTATCTGAGAAGGGATGCAGGCCAAGGAAAGTCAGAGCAGAAATGGGGAGACCACATGGAGTAGCTTGAAGGGATAAAGCTGGGGAAGGCAGTTGCTGTTACAATACTACTACCTCCAGTAGGGTTGTTAATGTTCACTGTTGCTCTACCATTTTTTTCCTGTTGTGGGCTTATGGGTGGGAACTCGGAACTGAAGCTCTTTAAAGGGTTATTATCTTTAGGATACAGCCATGGATTTTGCTCACACAACAACAGCTCCAAATAGCATTTCTGGCACACCCACCATTTGATGTGGCACCCGACAAGATCCTACCTGGCTTATAGTGGTGAAGCTTGGAAATTCCTGGCCAGGTTTTCTCCGTTGGGACCCCCAGGACCTACACAAAGCAGAGGGGACAAAGATCAATGTCTCTCCCACATACAGGTGTACAGCCTAGTCTCGTCTCAATTACACTTCTGAAAAAGGGCCCAGCAAGATTTTCTTGCCACGATAGCTGCGAATAACACAAATGTGTTTGAGTGACGGCGCCAAAAGGCACCATTTCCAACATATCAGCAGTTGTCAGAATTTGCTGCACAGTCTTATTTACACCTAAGGTGCTCTCCTAGAAACCAGGATTACATTGATGAGTGAATCTTGATGGCAGGCACTTTGTCGAATGATAGGCTCAGACGCCTTGTGGAGCAGCTGTGATAGAGCCCCCTGCTGTCCTCAGATGAAAGGGAAAAGACAGTAAACATCTTCTGACAGGTGTTCAAAAACAATCCAGGGCACAATGCAGAGGCATCCCAGGAGTCAAGAATAGCGCTTCCCGATTAGGTGTCCAGAGTCCTCCTTGGGACTCTGTCCACAAGCAAACAAACAAGTCCTTGCCAATAAACAGGAGATTCCCAAAGTGAGCTTTTTGTTCATGGCTGCATGGAAAGTACAAGGCCAACGCTCTTCTGGGTACTGTCTGTCTTTCGACTGCGCCAGCTGCTATGGTGCTCTCTTTGAAAAGTATGTTCACTACACTCCGAACATGACGGATTGTGCTAATGTGCATCCAAAGACTTGTTTCTGCCTTGTGCTTTTTGAAACAGAGAGCTCACAGAAAGAGAGGTATGGCAGGGAAGGAGCATGCGTGCCCACAGGAATCAGGAGCAACAGCAGGCACACTGCATTTGTGAAAGGAATAACAGGATGGGGTTATCTTGGACAGGGCACCCAAACACATAACGTGGAAGCAGGCATGGCTCTACATGCAGCACCCGCTGGGTGGTGAGCCACTCACACAAACGGCATCAAACCTATGAGCAAACTGGTCTCTGTGTGTTGAATCCTGTTTCAAAAGTCAAACTGGAGGCTCTTGGAGATGGGAGAGAAGGGGGTGATTGGAAGAAGTTCCTCTTCCCTGACCATCGCTGAGTTCAGACAATGTGATAGCCCACATCAGGGGTTCAGTATGGGTTGCATGTGGGCTGTCTTTGAATCATGGGTCAGTGTTGAGATGTGCATTATTTTGTTGTTGGAACCCACTTGCAGTGACAAAAGTTGGGTTGTTAACCATGAATAACCGTGAACAAGAAGAAATCCTGGGTTCTCTTCATGGATCATTTGCAGTTAATAAGCTGTGGCTTGTTTTTGCAGCTGGATTCAGATAACACGATAACCCATATTTCAGGAATAATCCATGATTCAATGACAAATTGCACCTGAGAGTGGCTTACTGTGTTGTCCGAATGCAGTGTAGTGTGGGACAGGGGAGTAGTTAGGAAAAAAAAGTTCAATCCGAGTATGTATCACTCAGTGAGTATATCATCAACCTTGCTGTTGTCTTTTCAGGCATGGTTTTTAAGTGTGTAGATTTGGGATGTGGATGAGTGGACCTGAGGCAAATTTTACAAATACAGACTGGGCTTCTTATCCGGTTCACTTGCAGATATTGCACACAGTTTTCTCATCTAGGAGGTTGCTTTCCCTTGTGCTTTGACACAGTTTCTGTTAAAAGTCTGCACAAGCAATCTAACAGGATAGCCCCTCACTTTTTCAAGTAGTAGGGAAATAATGAAAATATAAAGCGCCTCTTCAGAATGGTCAGACCACTTTATGGGCATGATGAAGGGGATTGTGTCACAATCAGCACTGGTGTCCTGCAGTCTCCCCCATGGGACCTCATGGCTCTCCCACTGTGAGCAAGTTAGTCCTGACAGCACTTGCTGGGGGTAAGGACAGCATCTTCCCACAGCTACAACTTGCAGCTTGACTGCTGGGAAAAGGCCATCTCTGCCACAGAAGTGCAAGCCCCAGAAACAAAGCAGCTGACCAGGGCACTGACAGTGTAACAAAGAAAATGGTTTTTATGTTCTGGTTTTGTAAATCATGCTAAATTTGTGTGTGCAGCCAGATGAACCCAAATAAAGGTCTCAGATGGTCAGTGAACACCTTTCCCTTTGAACCTTAGAGCTGCACTCCTTTGAGTGCTTGGACTGAGACCACACAGAATGTCCAGGAGTTAAGCATTTTCGGAGAAAGGCCCAACTTAATTGTCTTCTCATTTTTATTAGCACAAAAGCATTGCAATTTTGTTTATAATTTGTAATATTTTAATGGCAATTTATAACATTCCATCACAAGCAGCTTTCAGGTATGCACTGTGCGTGTAGTGCATACTTGCATAAGTTTTAAACACACACACACACTACAGAGTTTAACAAGAAGGAACAGAAAGTGCAGGAACTCTACTTCTGTGTGCCTCCTGCAACCTGCTATCAGTTTACTTGGTGTTAAATTTTTGATGCAACAAGAGACACATCAAAGCAGAGTCACTTTGATTTATCTTAGTATTTGTAGGAAAATGGCCAAATATAGATTAGCTTATTGGATACAACCCTAAATTTAACTGGGGATGAAACTCGATCAATTCCTTTTTCCCCACAAGCATCATTATGAGAGGCTGTGTGTGTGTGAGTGTGTGTGCAAAGCTGACCCTTTGAGATGCTAATGATTTGGTTTCAGTTTCCCAAATGTATTATTATACTCACCACCCAGATCTTCTCCAACTGTTCAAAGGTATTGCAAACCGCTGGAAACAGTGGCTGACCCTGAAACATCTCCACAAATATGCAGCCTGCACCCCTGGAGGAAAAAAAAGATATCTTCTTATATTCACTCAGCCAGAAAGGACAGACCTTAAAAAGCACACATAACTGGACCTCAACCAAACTGAGATGAAGGAGAGCATCATGTACATTCTCCGTCACATTTTCTTCTGAAAGCAGGATGCTTTCCAAATCATTGAATGGTGCACATGGCATGTAAGAAAGTTCCACTTCATCTAAACACAAACTTGCGGACCCACATACACCATTAATACAGCATACTTAGGCACTGGATTAGTGCCTGCCCATTTCGCTTCTTTAAAGACTGCAGTGACAGGCAGAGTCCCAGGGCATTTCTTTTGGCCCTTACGCTGACCCACCTGGAGCCACTTTGGTACAGTTTCTCCCCAGCCTGCTGTGGCAATGCCAAACATGGAAGAAGCCTCCTCTGCAGCTCCTACCTACAGCACCTTGCAGAAGTGCTCACCTGATCTGACTCTGTTGTGCCATGTGTAAATAAGCTCTGGTGCGAGCCACTGCTTCCAGAAGCCACATACTGCAAGTACGCCACTGAACGGAGTCCACCCATGTGCAGCTCCATGACCGCACGATCTCAATGGGACACACTTGTTTCTGGAAGGCCTCAGGGTTTGTTTGAAAGCCTACCATATTTCAGCATGAAGACAAAGGAGTCAGCAACTGAGTTCCAGGAGGAAGTTGTGCAGGAGCACCAATCAAGGTTGCATTATTTAAAAAACTATCAAAACTATGAGCATCCCCAGAAGTGTTAAATCTGCTATTGCAAAATGGAAAGGATATAGCTCAGTTGTGACTCTGTCCAGAGAAGGTCTTCCATCAGAGGTAGGGTAAGGAGGGCATTAGCAAGGCAAGCAACCAAGAGGCCAGCAGTGATCCTCAAGGAAATGGAGAGATCCACCACTGAGATGGGGGACACGGTCTGTGCAACAGCCATTCCCCAGATGTCCCACAAAGCTGGGCTTTATGGAAGAAGAGTAGGAAGAAAGTCACTGCTGAAACAGGCCCATACCAGAACCTATTTGGCATTGGCAAGAAGACATGTGGGAAACACAGTGTACGTAGAAAACCCAAACAGCGGTCATTGCCCTCAGGAATGCCCCCCCCTCCACACACACACACACAGTGAAACATGATGGTGGCAGCAGCATGTTGTGATGACACTTTTCCTTAGCAAGGTGGGAAGCTGGTCAGGATTGAGGGCAAGAGAGGAAAACCTGTTTCAGTCCACAAAGGATGTGGGACTGAGGCAGAGGTTCACCTTCCAGAGGGACAATGATGCTGAACTCACAACCAAGGAAAACCTGGATTGGTTTAAAAACAAAAACTGGAATGACCCAATTGAAGGTCAGACTCAATCCAACTGAGGATCTGTCATAGGACTTCAAAATTGCTGTCCTCCAATGGTCCCCATCCAACCTGACAGGCTGGAGCAGTTTTGCCAGGAGGAACAGGCAAACACTGCAGGATCCAGATGCACAAATCTGATAGAAACTTACCCAAGAAGACTTGCAGCTGTAATTGCTGCCAGCGGTGCTTCTATCAAGTATTGACTCAGGAGATGAACATTTATGAAACCAACAAGTGCCAGCTTGATTTTGCCTTAAGTTTTCTGCCACCATAAAAATAATTTGCACCTTCACAGTGATATCTTGCATACAGCATGAAGTAAAAAAAATGAGTCCATTTTAATTCCAGGTTGTGACATGACAAAATGTGGGAAAGTCCAAAAGCAGTGAGTACTTCCGGCAAGAACAACACTGGCATGAGGAGAAGCCATGCTGTGTGGAGAGTCACGAGTACACGTGATTTGGTTGCTCTCTAGTGGTTGCCTTGAAGAGAATACAATCCCTCATTGTTCTTTTGTCAGTGCTGAAGATGAAGATGAAGATGTTGATGATTATCATCATCATCATCCCCCCTCCCCTCAGGGGTAGTGTCAAACATGTGCTCAACCTTACTGAAATTCTTCGAGGATTGCTGTCTACCATGAATTCCAGCACTTGCCTGATCTGCCTGCTTCTGCATCTTTCTGGTAACACAGTTTGCAATAATGACACGAAGATGCTGCTTTTGTTGACCAGGAGGCATTAAGGACATACCAGCAATGGGTGTTTTGGAAGGATGCTGGCATGCATGGCAAGCACATCATGCCTACCAAAGTCCATGTGTGCCTGGCATGGGGAGCATGCAAAGCCAGAGTCACACGATCACTATATGTGACAAAAGGCTGCATCATTTCATATGTCTAACATTTCTTACCTCCTTATCTGTGGACATCGTTCCAGAAATAATCCACCACGCATGTGCCTGTAATGGTGGTCTTCCCCAGCTTGGTGCCTTCTAGATGTTTGGGACTTCACCTCCTGTCATGCCCAACTACTATGGCCAGGAATGCTGGAAAGTTTGCTGCAAGACCTCTGGAGGGCACCAGGTTGGAAAAGGCTGTGATATACCATGTATACAACAGGTCTTTGACTTTGGTGAATGGAGTGTACGTGCAAATCTAAACTTGGACCATCTGTGATAGAATTACAGTGTAAACCATCTGTATGTTGTACATGGCAAAGCAGAGTCTCTCTTGTTTTAATAGATCCAGAAAGGGAGCAAAGCCCACCTGAAAGTAGTAACAATGAAGTACAGATATTTTGCTCGATTGTTTTTGATCTAAGGTGCCACTGTCAGCATATTTATTTTATTTATTTAAACAAAATATACATATCCCATTCAGTTAGCACTGGCATTGTTGGTTGGCCAGAAAACTATCAGTACATCAAACCCAAGAATAGCAGTGCCTTTGAAATGGGCAGGAGCTAAAACAGCACCAGGTCAGGTGTTTTGTTTATAAAACCAGTAAAATAAAACAGAGGTTAGCTTACATTTTAAGAAGAGTCAGGAGGGCACAGAGAGGAGGGATTTCCTTTGTACCAAACAGATGTAAGGTAGGGTCCTTTCTCTGATTGCCAGACAGCTAATTTCAAAAGGAAAGGGCATCAACAAAAGGTCTCGAAGCACTTAGTCAGGAGGATGGGGAAGAAGATGGTCTTTAAGGACCTTGAATCTCAAACTGCACAGGGCTTGGAAGGGATGTGGCAGCACTTTGAATTGCTCCTGGAAATAAACTGGTAATTGGTATTTTGCCAGATCTGAAAGTTGTTTCAGATCTGGAAAAATATTCTCCAGTGAGAAGTTAAGCAGCTGCTTTTCTGAAATCTCCCAAGGCAACCCCATATTGGATGTGAGAAGAGGTTGTGCAAGAGGCTGCACAAACAGAATGTCTTTGGAATTAGGGCGCTTTCAGATGAGGCTTTTAGGATGCCATCGCCCTAGTTCATTAATGGAATTTTATGGGAGGGCCCAGAAATTACTGTGTTCTACCTGTAACCCTCCTCTGCTTCCCCACCATTTCTTCCAGCTTATGGCAGAACGTTCATTAAGAGGAAAAAAAGACAGCTGCAGAATTGCTGCACTTTGCCTCCTGATTGGTGGTGCTAGGAGTCCTCCAGCTGGAATGGGGTGAGCAGTGGGCTGCATGTTGCACCCAGTGCCACCCCTAGAATGGTCTGCTTCTTACCAGGTAAAGCAGGGAGAGGCTCTGTTTGCTGCCAGAATTTGAAGGCAATTTGCCACAGAGGTTCAGAAGTGATTGGTTTAGCTCTCACCAGATATCTATATCAGAAGAATAATCAGTGGCTCCCAGTAGCACATCGGGAGGGCGATACGCAAGTGTCACCACCTCAGCAGAGTATGCTTGTCTGGCAAGTGACTTCGCACGAGCAAGACCTGCCAAGACAGGGGAAGAAAAAGGTAGCTTTAAATCACATGTGAAGTTACAATTCCGTGCCATCAGGCAATTCTGCATAGCCTGGCCATGTGTAACTCTACATCCTTCAGCAATATTACGTTACAATTATTCTGAGTCTTTTTGTTGCAAATGATCTCAAAACAAGAATACAGATCACCATGCCATGAGATACATCCAAGGGTGGCTTTGGGCTAGAGCACAAGTGGAGAGCTAGAGGAGGTCTGGAGCCTTGTTTGGTCTCCTGGGTGTGTTCCAACACAAATAGATAGATAGATAGATGATAGATAGATTGAAAAAGTAGCCAATTTGCTGCACAATTCCATAGTGCCAGAAAATTCCTAAAGTGTCAAATTTAGGTTGTTTGTAAATTTGACCATTCGGGCACTCCAGAGCCCTGCATCCACCGTATGTTGTTGTTCAGTCGCAAAGTCATGCCCGAATCTTCACGACCCCATGGACAACATTCCTTCAGGTACATCCCCCATTATATTATGTTTAAAACTTCTTTTTGGTGTTGCTAAATTCAGTGACACAGGAGTGGGAATGTGGAATGTGTCTCATACTCCTGCATTAGAGGAAAGCACGTCATATTTTGGTATCATACCTGATTTTCACCGATCCTGCCTACCCACTGCAGTCCTCTTATACCCCCTGAAAAAGCTACTCTTGAAGTGACTAAAGCTGGTGTTTTACACCAAAATGTTTCATATTTTAAAGTGCGTGTGTGTAGTTAAAATTTTAAATCTGAGTTACAATAATTTTTTACAATTTAACCTGTAAATGTTCATAATCTGGATGCATTATTGGGGATTATTCTGTAACTTTATGAATGCAATCCACTTACCTGAAATGACAGTGGTACCTTGGTTCATGAACTTAATTCATTCCACGATTCTGGTTGTGAACTGAATTAGTCACGAACCGAATCAAATTTCCCCATAAGATTCAATGTAAAATAAGGTTATTCCATTCTGAATCATATGTAATTTTTTAAACCACAAAAATATGAAACAAAGTCCAGTACAGTGCAGTATGAAGAGAGAGGCGACTTCTGGCATGGAGGACAGGAAGGTGGGTGGGGAGGAGGTTATTGTCTGGAGGGAGTCTGTGACCACGACCACATGTCAGAGTGGGGAAGATGGCTGCGTTCGTGTTCATGCGGGGAAGATGGCCATGGTCGTGTTCGTTACCCAATGTGGAGTATGCAAACAGAAGCAAAATTTTGCCAAACTTTCTGTTCGTGAACCAAATTGTTCATGAACAGGAGCATTTGTGAACTGAGGTATTAGTGTAAACCCTATTGAACTATTGAACTTTGTGGAACTTTCTTCTGAGTAAACATGCACAGGATTGCTATTCCTGTTTTTCTCATCAAGTCTATTGGACTGTATGCCTATGAGGAAGGACTAGGGTTTTGGAATCTTTGTACGGCTCTTAGAAGGTTGAGTAGCTTTGATGATGATGAGGAGGAGGAGGAGGAGGAGGAGGAGGAGGTGGTGGAGGAGGAGGAGATGCAATTTTAAATAAAATAATCTGAGCCATCTCCAAAGGAAGGTAAATAAAATATTATTGGTGAAAGGCATAGTGACAAAGGTATGTTTGCACATTTCACGGTGAGGTAAAAGACTGTATGGTCCAGTTTGCACTACACAAGCAGCTTGTTAACTTACCATCAGCCCCAGCAGATGTGAGGCTTGTGTGGCTGCCCTTTTAATAGAGAGTTCCAATCGGAACAATTGGGGATTGCAGCATGCCATGCCAGTCCAGCCATCATGGATGAAACATCCCAAATACTATTTGAGGACAGAGTGCAGATTATGCAAGTCAGGCTATGCAAATCAGGTCTACAAGTAGCTCATAAAACCATGGAGAGATTAGATATTCCCTTTTTAATGCCCATATCCAGGACTTCATAGAATGACATGAGGGAGGCATTGTGCATCTCAGAGTTGTGTCACAAGTGCCACCCGATAAAATGCTCACAAAATGATTGCCATCCACAGAGTAAAGAATATCACAATTTATCCCTCCTATACAGCAAGATCAACATTTTCCAAAGTTCAAAATGGTAGTTCCTAATAGGCTAGATCTGGGCAAAAATTCCAGTACTATTGCAGGGATCATTTTTTTAAATCCTCTGCAAAAGTCTTGAAATGACTCCATTGATCTTAAAGGGCATGAGGAAACTTGCAAAATGGAGAGCAGGCTAACAAGCCATAAGTAACCATCCATGAAAATGGAGGAAGTCTAAAGCCAAGTCCTAAACATGCTTATTTGGAAGAAGGAGGCTCACTAGTGTGACTCACTTCCTGGGACCAACTTCTGAGTATAGGACTGCACTATATGAATGTATTACATTTATATTCTGCCTTTTTTCAGACCAGAAACCCAAAACAGTTTACATAATCCTCCTCTTCCTCTCCAATTTATCTTCACAACAACCCCACAAGGGAAATTAAGCTGAGAGTTTGTGACTGTCCCAAAACCACCCAATGAGCTTCAAAATCATGTGGGACCAGAACCCAGATCTCCCAGGCCCAGCTTTCTGGGCATTATGTCGCATGGCTCACAAGAGTCAATAGGAATATGTGTTCCATGGAGCTAGAGAGAGCTGTCATTTCAAGCCTGTTGGTTACATCAAGTATCACATGCAATTATTTCAAAGTTCAGTTTATTCTTGGTTAGAAAGAGGGGAGGAATGAAATCTAAAGGTAAAGCTGCATTCAAACATGAAGATAAGCCAGATGTTAAAAGATAGTCTGGCTTACTGTGAATTAGCAAGTGTGCTGGTACTTGCGGCTCAGTTGTTCCCATTTGGTTCCTTCAATCTGCAGGAATAGCTAAACAAGCCAGGGAGCCTCCACCAATGGTTTGCTTACTGTGATGTCCAAACCAGGAACTCTGGGAATCAATCTTGGCTTGTTATTCTGACTTGTCAGAAAGAACAAGCTCACAGTTCAGACCTCTTGTGAAACAAACCATGAAAAAGAGTGATTTGTTGAGCCATTCCTGCTGACCAGGAATTCCTTTGTATAGGAAATCCAGCTGCTCACAGACACCCTGTCTGATTGGTGAGCAGAGATGACTCACCAAAGTCAGCTAACTTGAGCTCTCCATAGCGACTGAGGAGCAAGTTCTGAGGTTTCAGGTCCCGATGAAGGATGTGATGGTTGTGGAGGTAAGCCAGAGCTCGTAACAGCTGGAAGGTAAAGAGCTGGGGAAGAGAAGAGAAAGTCAGACTTCTGTGATTAGTGACCTCTGCACTGCAGGGGGAAAACAACCTTGATGCAAAAGAAAAGAAATACAGAGAGAAAGAAAAGAAAAAAGAAAAGAAAAATCATGAACTGGGGTACAGGCTGTGGAAACCACTTTCTGTTAATATAAACCACTGAATTTAAGCTTGGCAGCTTCAAAGAGGCATCTCAAAATGTCCTATTTCTTTCAAATCCAGTGATGCCTTCCAGTGTTCCCACCTAACCTGCAGCACAGGCTGCCAATATTGTGGAAAAGTGAGATCTGTGTAATAAGAAGGGAGAAGTTAACACACAGCCCTACTTCCTCTTTGTCATCGTTGGTGTTTCCCCCCCTGTAACTTTTCATTTGTGGTGTCATATTCCTGCATTTACACAGCTGTTTTGCGGATATAGTTTGTTATCTGGCAGATCAGTTTTGCTACTTCAGAATTCCAGATCCTTGCCATTTCCTTTCCCACACCTTTCTCAAGATGTCTGTCCTTCCTTTATCAAGCAAACTACATCCTTATGCACACAGATGTACACCACTGTTTGAGATCAGTATTTAGGGAGGAAAGAAATCCAAACCTGAAATCTGCAATTTGGAGAGGAAGCTTGTGTGTCTGTAAAGTTCAAAGATTAGTACTGGGTCTGTTACATGGATACATACTAGTAACTTCCTCTATCCATGCTTGTCATTCACAAGGGATCATGGAAAGGAAGATAAGACCTGCAAGGATGTGTACTGCTTCCTGGCCTGTCTTTATGGGAGGAACAAGCAGGCATTAGTCTTGCAGGATTTTGGTTGTTTTGTTTTGACTAGGGCCGTGACATCCACCAACTGGAGCCAGGAGCAAAATCATGGTTCAGTTGGGTAGTCATATGCTAAGAATTAGGGGATAGGGTGGCTCTAATTAGGTTCAGACAACACAACAATTGTGGTGACAGAACCAGTGAGTTATCGTGTCCTATGAACCCAGAGCATTTCCCAGTGGATGGCTTGTTATCCATGAACCCATGGCTTGTGGTTGTGGTCCTGCTACTCATGATGGGTGGTCATGTCATTGGAACCTGAGTGGCCAACCATAGACAATCACAAAACAAAAGGATGGGGAGCTTGCCGCAAAGGGGGTATTGCAAACATAATTTGGCTTTCCTTTGGCAGCTCACATTTTGACAGCTGTCACAAGAAAATGAAAGAAAGAAGAACCCTGTTTAGAGCTACTTCAGGGCAGTGTGCAGGGTTGGAACCCTGCAATGTGATAGCAGGTGCCTCTCAGAACACTGATGTGGCCAAGTCATCAAATTTCTGCAGTCACGGAACTGTGTTGCTCCACAATTGAACACATGTGGCTATTTTAAAAATAAAAACAAACCCAAAATATTTGCACATATAGAAAATTAAAAAATGTTTGCCTGCCCATGGGAGCCCCTGTGGATTATAAGCTTATTAACACCAGCATTCAGGCTGGAGTTTGTGATCTCAAAAAGCAAGCAAGCAAACAAACAAAGGTGAAAGGGGCAAAAAAACTGCATCCAATGAAAAAGGAATTGCAATCACAGCAGAGGGAAGTAGGCTAGTCAGTCCTACTATGGTATCCCCTGTAATACCTGTGGCAGGACTGAGGGAGAAGAAAGGGGAGGAAGAGAACCCATGATCATCTGCTGGGTGTACTGTGGGTTATTCCCACAAAAACCAACTTCTTGTAGCTTATAGCCAGGATGGGATGTTGTGACATGTAAATGCATCCTCTGAGTATATGATCAGCCTGGAAATTCGTGTTCAGTCCTACATACTGAGACTCACAAATTCTTTCACACAAAAATCTGCTAGTTTTGTTCTTAGCATTTGTTTTCCAGCAGCTTAATTCAGGATGGAAAAGCTTCTTTAATTGTCACTGTTGCTGGACAATTGGGAGTCCACAGACCTTACAGATTTATTGCAAACCATGCAGAGAGGGTTCTGGTCCTGCCCACCCCTGCTTTGGCGGAAGATACTCTAAGAACATAAGAAAGCTGTATACTGGATCAGACCCAAGGTCCATCTAGTCCAGCACACAGGGTGGCAAACCAGCTGCCCACAGGATGGGCGTAAGACTTCCGCCTGCCCAAGCAACTGGTATATGCAGGCATGCCACCTCTGGTGAAGGAGGTGCCTGCCTGCCTGCCTGCCTGTTTATTTAAAGCTTTTCTATACTGTCCAACTACAACAGTATTGTAGTTGGACAGTATAGAATGGTCTGTAGTGGCTTGTTGATCAGACACAAGCCATACCTGTTCAGCGCAACCATGCAGTTAGCATAACAGGTAGTTTTTTTCTCTAAAGGAACTTGACAGCCCAGCCATGTCAGGAAGCTGGAGGATTCTCCTGCATGAATACATAGAAACAAAGGAATTCAAGTGATTTATGCAGCGGTGTAGAAGGGCCAGGGCTCGCAGGGATGGTGTGCAGGCACTTTTTTTAGTAGGGATGCTGACAGTGCCTGCTACCCCTCATTGGCTGGGTTCTCATGATACTGCAGCTCACTGTGGCATGTACCAGTGCCCATGTTGAGCATTCAACCCTCAGTTTCCATGGTTTGTCACATAAACCAGGGCCTGTTGTTTAATCCTCAGGGAATCCCTGCTGCCCAGATTCAGGCAACACACCAAACCACGGCAGCCCTCACTGAGGACTGAATATGCAAAGTGGCCACCAGCATGCATCACAACTTGCTGTGGCTTAAACAACGCAGCAAGAAGTCAGTTGCTTCCTTGTGTGCCCAGGAGCACTTTACATGTGAAGAATATTCATTTTTCCTGGTGACCAAACAACAAGGGTGTGTTACTCAGAATTCTATCAGAAAGACACAGGAGGGTCAAAAATATAAAATAAGCCTCTGTCAAAAAGGCCAGAATTTGTAACGATAAGGCTGGAGGCAGATATTTTGATACCAAATGTCCTAAAAGGAAGTGTGGCTCAAGATAATCATGTACAAAAGTAACTGAATGCTTCCTGATGTGACATTTTCTGTCATTAATCAGTACAAAAAGCTAAATGCATAAATCAGCTGTGGGTGATGCTGTGGCAGCTGGTCCTGAGTGGAGATGGGCTCACTCTGTATTGTTAGTGTGCACCAACAATAATAATATATTGTTTTATATATAAAGTAATTTGACAGTGTTACCTGTCTCTCTGATGATCAGACAAACAAGAAGGACTTTTTTTGTCCTCAGCCCATGCCACAAGCTAGTATCTTTGCATCCTGGATATAACTGTGTCTTTCCCTTGTGAAAATGCATTCACATGGGAAAGTAAACAGGGAAAACAACACAACCTCGAGTGGAGGTTCATTTCATTGGTTCTTGATTTAAATTTAGGAAGGCAGCTATGACCAAACAATGAATCAGATGCCTACAGTGTATCATGGAGATTTTCCTTTTCTGTGGGTTCCCATGGAGACAGCATATTGCTTTAGGATGCAGTTTGGGGCAAGACTAAGGGTAAATCTTGATGTCAACAAAAGTGTAGTCTTCCACGCCACATTTGTGAAGATAACTGGAATCTGTCTCAGGGAAGGATCAATGGGATGGAGGCTTTTTTATGCCATTGAAACAGCTGATCCTCCCCAGCAAAAGCTGTTTCCCTTCCAAGTTCTGGTTTCAGAATCCCAGTTGGGAGAAAACAATATCCTGCCTGGATGGGCACTTCCAGGGAATGATCCCTTTACACTCATTCTCCCTTGCAAGTACCCCTGCCAATTTGTCAGATTAGCTTTGGGGGGGGGGTCTGTCCCCCTGATCATTTCTCATCCTGGTCTAAAATGAATTGGCTTCCTGGGGGAATGTAACCAACTAGCAAGTTAGAAATACACTTGTTTAATCCATGTGTGCTTGTATCTCAGTACTTGTAAGCTGCCATGTGAAGCTATTTATTGGTTAAGAGGTGTCACATACATTTAGGCATCAAAAGAAAACAAAAACAAATAAATTCAAACTATCAAATGTTTACAACCACAGAGTTACAGAAATCTTTCCCTACGGTGATTTATAAAGCATATACCGTATTTTTCGCTCTATAAGATGCACCTTTTCCCCCCTCAAAAGTAAGGGGAAATGTCTGTGCGTCTTATAGAGTGAATGTGTGTGTGCCCGACGCCCGGGACGCTGCCTGCCCGCCTGCACCACGTGGCACCACCTGGCCGGCACACTCTCGGCGCGCGCTGCTCCATCCCCCCTCCAGCGCAGGTGAGAGCTGTGCCACTCAGGGGGAGCGGTGTGGAGGAGGAGGAGCCGTGGGCTTCAACCCACCGGCCGCACGGAGAGATGGACTGCTCACCCCCACCACCCGGGAAGACCTGCCGCGAAGGAGGAGGAGCCACAGGCTTTAACCCGCTGGCCACAAGGAGAGACGGACTGCTCACCCCCACCACCCAGGAAGACCTGCTGTGGAGGAGGAGGAGGAGGAGCCGCGGGCTTTAACCCGCCTGCCGCACGGAGAGACAGACTGCTCACCCCCACCACCCGGGAAGACCTGCCGCAGCCCGGAAGACCACCACCAGCACGCTGCTGGCCCAGCTGCACCACACCTGGCCAGCATGCGCTCGGCGCGCCCTGCTCCGCCCCCCTCCTCCGGCGCAGGTGAGAGCTGTTAATCACAGGTCGGTGTGTGTTTTCAAATGGCAACCCATCTTTTAATGAAGCCCATGGGGAAGTGATGGGGAATGTGCCTGTGATTATCAGGAAGCTTTCCATGGATCCCTCCTCTAAAAACTAGGTGCTTCTTATGGTCAGGTGCGTCTTATAGAGCGAAAAATACGGTAGCTACTTTTATCTAGATAAATCTTACACATAGCATTTTTCAGAGAGTGCACATTTAGAATAAAATACATATGTATTTATTTGTTGCATTTCATACTAAACTTTCTCCAAGGAAACCATACATGGCTTACCCCATTTAAGCCATTTAGCCATCTGAATGGCTTATCCCATTCAAAATACATGCATAACAGCCTAAATAAGAAATCTGAATACCAATTTCTCCAGTTCAGACCAATAATCTATTAGCCACACTTGCTCTTTGCACATGCTCTTTGCATACTTAAGAAGTAGTTGTCTCTGAACTTACCATGATATTATGAGAATGAAGGCCCCCGGGATGCTGGGACATGTACCGTGCCAAGTCTATGTGCTAAATAGACATGGAAGAGATACAAAAGAGGATTGAAAACAGAAATCCAATCTTTGAAGAGTCTTCCTGCAGAATCTGTGGCAGTATGCCTCAACCACATTTTAAAATTTGGATTCAGAGAAATCCCAGTGGAAAGGCGTGAGCAGCATGTTACATCTCAACCCTTCTGCCTCAGCACTGCCGCCCCAAGGCTCCTGCTGAAGACTGAGGGACCCCAAGATCAAGCAACAGCGATATCCTTCCAGCCCCTTCCAACAGCGTCTCTCTGAACACAGTCCGACGTCTATGCACAATATTCCAAACAGTCCTTTGGGGAATATATTTGGGAGAGGACATAGCTTTGCTGTGGAAAAGGAAAAGTGTGAGCCATATTGCTTGTTTTCTTCCTTCCCCTTTTGAAAAGAAAACAAAAATGTCTGAAAAGATGTGCACAGTGGTAGAGCACAGATATTTGAAAAAATAAAAGTCACAAACAGTGGTTTGGGAACACACAAAAGATAGACATGCTACGCTTACTCCTTCAAATGGGTATAATTAGATAAGACACTCTCAACTTGAGAGCCCTTGCAGCATGCTGGCCAGGACTCAGGAGACCAGGCTTCTAGTCCTCAGCAGAAGCTCACTGGGTGACTCCCAGACTAGTGTAACTCACAGGTTTCTTATGAGGATAAAATGGAGAGGGGGTACTGTCTAGGAGTCCATGAAAGAGGGGGAAAAGTGGCTGTACACATAATAATACATAATAAAAATGGAGTTGGGTATTTGTGCGTGAGAGGGGACACCCCCAATCCTACGCTTTTCTTGTAGTATGCTGGGCTGAAATAACCTGCCACTGACTGTAGGGCCAAACTTCACAACCCATTAAATGTGCCTAATATAAAGGTGTGCGCTTACCAAGTATGGAAAGGTAGAACAGAAATATTTTAAATAAAATCAAGGGATTGGCCCATGAAGGGTATGGGTGCCCAGTGAAACTGTATCATCCAAACCCAAGTCTAGCACTTTATCTGTTACACTGCACAGCAAGAATACAGAGGGAGATTCATTATCTCACGATACTTATCTTAATAACGCACAACTAGTTAGAAAACACCAATCCCCCACAAAGGCTTTTTCTTCTTCTTTTTGGCCAGGGTATCTTTAAAGAGTGGCTAATGGAGGCAAGGAAACATCATAGATGGCTCAGCATTAGCACCTTATTTCTCTGAAAGTGCTGCTTTCACCAAGATGAATGTTCAAAAGTGGAGGAGGGGCAGGAAGGGCATTCTCTTGGTGAGGCTGTGAAAGGAACCAGTGTTTTAACAACAGCATTATGAGCCTGTTGTCATGGCAGTTGCACCCCACCATCAGTTCCTGCCAGCTTTTTGTGCAAATAAAGCACATTTTTTTAAAAGCTGCTGTTCCTTAAGAGAGGTTCGGAAGGCAGATCACACTCAAGGGAGGGTGGTGAAAACAGGCAAGGCATCCCAGTTGCTCATTCATTACGTACCACTGTAAAATGCTTTGAAGCATTGCAATCAACTTCATAGCTTGCTTGTTTATTGGCCCATGAGAAGACTCACTAATGCTTATATAAATTCTCAAGAAAAGAGAGAAATAAAGAAAACTGCCCAAAAGCAACTCACCATGTACTCAAAGACTAAAGTCAGGCTCTCCTTCGTTTGGATGATGTCATGAAGAAGTACAATATTGGCGTGTTTCAACCCCTTGAGGAGAGACACTAAGAACAGAGAAATGGTGGACTAATAACAATAAGAGAACACCAACAGCTTGAATGGCAAAGCAGCTTTCTTAAATCCACTGCCCCTGATCATTTCCACACCTGGAATTTGGAGCATGGGCCTATGGGAATGTGTGTTCATTCTAAGCAGAAGACATACTTCTGGAGAGACAGAACAGTTAACATGCTTATCTCCTCCTTCTGCCCCACTGGCTTTATTTATTAGTGGTACAAAATGCAGGTCATGCCCTTTTGGAGAGTGAACCAAGGCGATACAATAGTCTATATGATAGGATGTATAGGATGGCTCCCAGAAACAGGTGGGATGTTGGCAATCATTGTTTTAATTCACCTCCAATCTTTATTTTATCCAAACATTTGCAATATTTTTATTGCTGGCTCATAGTTTTCATCTGCTGCTTTCATGTTTTGTGTTTATGTTGTATATTGGAGGATTGGTTTTCATTTCCTGTCAGGAGGCTGCTTAGAATTCACTGGAGAGAAGGCAGGGGTATAAAAGTTTTTTTTTAAATGAAAGATTTCAATTCAGGTATTTAGTTTCATTCAAGGTGAATTATAAATGCAGAAATGAGTGAAGGAAAGAAAGAAAAGTTGGTCACATCACACAACATATTTCTTGCAGGCCTTGTTCTTTTGAGAGTGGTGTGAGGCTCTCTTTTTCCTCACCTCTTAGCACAGGTGAAACTTGATGGTTTCACTGGGAGCCAGGCAAACAAAAGCAATTGCATAATGGTAAAATAAACAGGCTGTTTTAGATGCTATACCCAGGGAAGCATCTAAATAATTAAGAGTGCATTCCACTGGGGATGCCCATAAACCTATGAACTCAGAGGTCTGAAGTGCCTGATCCTGCCTAATCTTGGAAGCTAAGCAGGGTTGGGTTGGGTTGAAATCTGGATGTGAGACTTGAGTCCTGCATTGAGCAGGCAGTTGGACCTCATGGCCTGCTAGGCCCCTTCCAACTGTATGAGTCTATGATTGAAGGTGTCCTATGCACTGTAGAGGAGCACAGAGGTGACCTTCCTCTCTCTGCCCCTCCACTCTGCAGTTCAGCTAGATGGCTGATTCTGTCTAGCAGGGATGCTTCAGATGGAGAGGGGAGAAGGCTGGAGCACTGCCAGGATGCATCATGCCCTGGTACCCCCAGTCTTCTCTTCCCCCTGCCCCCAAGACACCCACTTTCCCCTTTTCAGGTGACATTTGTGACCTCAGAGAAGCAGCCAGTGCAGTTCTTTCCACACTGGCTATGAGGGGTCTTGAGTACAGTTCTCCAGCTCCAAGGCTGGAGCTCTGCTCTGGCCTACAGATCTGGGGATTCCAAATGATCCTATGGCCCCTACATGCTACCTAGGGACCCGAGGATTGCTCCACACAAAACGTAAGCACACACATTAACTAGAGACAGCAAGAAAACTGCAAACATCTTGCCCAGGACAAGGACTTCATCTAGCAAGAGAAACTAAAATGAAGTGGAGGAAAAGTACACAATCAAAAAGGTATTACACTACATCATTAAAGAGAGCCACATGTGCAGATTATCAATAAAGTGTAGTTGTCCTTCCACTACAGCTAACAACATTGGACAACCATAAGCCAATGCTTGTGAAACATAATGACCACAGTGAGAAAAAGTGGTGTTTTGCTCCCAAAATTCAGTGGCATTGGGGCAAAAAGGAGTGATTTTTCTTCAAATTAAAGCACACGTTCCCTTGAAGTAAAATCATCCTTTTTTCCCCTGTGCAAATCACTGCCTTTTCCCCATAGTGTTTGCCCTTTTCCATAAGCATTGGTTTGCTCTAGAATAGAATTGGTACTGCCAAAAGGACAATGTTGGATTTTATCTCTCTCTCTCTCTCTCTCTCTCTCTCTCTCTCTCTCTCTGTGTGTGTGTGTGTGTGTGTGTGTGTGTGTGTTTAATTTATATATCACACATAGGACGCTCTGGGCGGCACACTACAATGTATATAAAATGCAATGCACTTAAATAAAGTGCAGATACTTGCAAAATTCAATAAAGTGCATATATCAATGAAACATATACAAGACTTTTCTAAATGTATATAATACTGTGCTGAAAATAGAATCTTCCCTTTAAAGCTTAAACAAAAATTTAATAATTTTTTATAAAAGTATGTATACTTTTGATGTGCTTGTACAACATATAGGAGAGTTATGGTTTTTCAGTCATTCCCTAAAAGGAAAATTCCTTGTTGCCTTTCATGCCCTGCAATAACAAGTTGGTAGCCCCACTGAGGAAACACTATAATATTTTGTAAAATGTATGCCCTGTATGTTTCAAAATCTTAAAAGAAAACTCAGTTAAAAGAGGGGATGTAGGGTCCAAGTGTGTATGATAGTGTGTCTGCCATTTTTTTTCCAAGTGGGCAAAGGTGAGTTCTGCATGTGGGGTGGTCACTTCTCCCCTCGGATTTTTTCAGCAGGGTGTACCATAAACCATGCCGTCCTGAGACTCCAGTAAAGGATGGGATAAAAATGCTTCAAATAAACAAGTATAAATAAACTAGGCTCATTCTTGCCTCAGCTGGGCCAACAGGCCTCTACCCACTGCAGTGGGGCCTGTAGAGGAGGGCTGCTGAGGACACCCTACTGCAGCCAGATCCAGCCGTGGTTCCCGTTTGCCTGGAACGAGGCCTGCTCTGAAACAATTATACAGACATGGGATTATGCTGAACACATAGGCACTGGGAGTGGAGGCAGCACCCTGGATTCCCCTCAGCCTATAGTAACATTTTTGTCTTCTCAGCTGAGAGTCTTCCTTAACTGTATGTGCATTAGGGCAGGTCAAATAATTTGGAAGTGGGGTTTATGAGCATGATGCTAATAGGCAGCCTTCAAACAAATCTAATAAATTTATAATTATAATAATAAATGCCATCACCTTCCTTACTACAGAGCTCCTGTATCACTTCCTGTATTACTAAACTCAGGTCCAGCACTGAAAACAACTTTAAGACCATATTAAGTTCTGTGTTCTCTCTGACTTCCTTACCTTCTCTTATGGTTGTGAAAGGGACCCCTTCCTCGGTGTTCAGGCTGATGACTTTCAAAGCGACCAACTGGCCATATATTCTAAGGGGACAGAGCATAACTGATCACTTTCCAGCCAATCCACAATTTACAGTATACATGAAATGAGACTTCTTCCCTGCAGCCAGCCACAGTTAAATGAATCCCATCCTGGTTAAGGAATGAAGTGGCAGTAGCTCTCTTAATACCAGCCACTCCCATCACACCAAATGTGCAGAGGCTAAAAAAGAAAAGCCTCCATTGATGCCAAGCACTCACCTGCTGATCCCTTTGTATACTGTTGAATGAGAACTTTCACTCAGCATCTCCAAATGTAAGTAGGATGAGGCATTTCCAAATAGAAGACCTCTTCGTTGCTTAAATGGGGAAGGATGAAGAGATAGTCAGAGAAAGCATGTACTGTGTTTGGACCCCAGTAGAGAACCAAAGGCTTGTTGGGCAAATAATGTTGTTGCTAGTCGCAAAGTTGTGTCCGACCCATCGCAACCCCATGGACAACATTCCTCCAGGCCTTCCAGTCTTCCACCATCCCCCGGAGTCCCCTTAAGCTCACGCCAACTGCTTCAGTGACTCCATCTAGCCACCTCATTCTCTGCCGTCCCCTTCTTCTTTTGCCATCTATTGTTCCCAGCATTAGGCTCTTCTCCAGTGAGTCCTTCCTTCTCATTAGGTAGCCAAAGTATTTGAGTTTCATCTTCACTATCTGGCCTTCTAAAGAGCAGTTAGGGTTGATCTCCTCTAGGACTGACTGGTTTGATTGCCTTGCCTTGCGGTCCAAGGGACTTGGAGGAGTCTCCTCCAGCAACACAATTCAAAGGCCTCAATCCTTCAGTGCTCAGCCTTCCTTATGGTCCAGCTTTCACAGCCATACATTGCAACTGGGAAAACCATAGCCTTGACTATACGCACTTTTGTTGTCAGGGTGATGTCTCTGCTTTTTTAGTATGCTGTCTAGATTTGCCATAGCTTTCCTCCCCAGGAGCAAGCGTCTTTTAATTTCTTGGCTGTAGTTCCCATCTGCGGTGATCTTGGAGCCCAGGAAAATAAAATCTGTCACTTCCTCCATTTCTTCCCCATCTATTTGCCAGGAAATGAGAGGACCGGATGCCATGATCTTAGTTTTCTTAATGTTGAGTTTCAAGCCAACTTTTGCACTCTCTTCCTTCACCCGCATCAAGAGGCTCTTTAGTTCCTCTTCACCTTAGAGTGGTATCATTTGTTGATATTTCTCCCAGCAATCTTAATTCCAACTGGTGATTCATCTAGCCCCACCTTTCTCATGATGTGCTCTGCATATAAGTTAAATAGGCAGGGCGACAGTATACAGCCTTGCTGAACTCCTTTCTCAATTTTGAACCAATCAGTGGTTCCGTGTCCAGTTCTCACTGTTGCTTCTTGGCCTGCATATAGGTTTCTCAAGAGACAAATAAGATGGTCTGGTACTCCCATCTCTTTAAGAACTTGCCACAATTTGTTGTGATCCACACAATCAAAGGCTTTAGCATAGTCAATGAAGCAGAAGTAGATGCTTTTCTGGAGCTCCCTAGCTTTCTCCATGATCCAGCATATGTTGGCAATTTGATCTCTAATTCCTCTCCCTCTTTGAAATCCTGCCTGTACTTCTGGTAGTTCTCGGTCCACATACTGCTGAAGCCTGGCTTGTAGGATATTGAGCATAACTGTGCTAGCGTGTGAAATGAGTGCAATGGTGTGGTAGTTTGAACATTCTTTGGCATTGTCCTTCTTTGGGATTGGAATGTAAGCTGACCTTTTCCAATCCTGCGGGCACTGTTGAGTTTTCCAAATTTGCTGGCAGATTGAGTATAGCACTTTTACTGCATCGTCTTTTAATATTTTGAATAGCTCAGCTGGAATACTGTCACCTCCGCTGCCTTTGTTGATGCTCAGACTTCCTATGGCCCATTTGACTTCACATTCCAGGATGTCTGGCTCAAGGTCAGTGACCACCCCATCGTGGTTATCAGGGACGTTAAGGTCTTTCTTGTATAGTTCTTCTGTGTAATCTTGCCACCTCTTCTTAATCTCTTCTGCCTCTGTTAGGTCCCTGACATTTTGGTCCTTTATCATGTTTATCTTTGCATGAACCGTTCCCTTCATATCTCCAATTTTCTTGAAAAAATCGCTGGACCTCCCTGTTGTATTGTTTTCTTCTATTTTTTTGCACTGTTCATTTAAGAAGGCATTCTTATCTCTTCTAGCTATTCTCTGGAATTCTGCATTCAATTGGGTGTATCTTTCTCTTTCTCCCTTGCCTTTCACTTCCCTTCTTTCCTCAGCTATTTGTAAAGCTTCCTCAGACAGCCATTTTGCCTTCTTGCATTTCTTTTTCTTTGGGATGGTTTTACTTGCTACCTCTTGTACAACGTTGCAAACCTCTGTCCATATTTCTTCAGGCATTCTGTGTATCATATCCAATTCCTTAAATCTATTTGTATATTCAATCTACTGTATATTCATCAGGAATGTGATTTAGGTCATACCTGAGTGGCCAAGTGCTTTTCCCTACTTTCTTCAATTTAACCCTAAATTTTGCAACAAGAAGCTCATGATCTGAGCCACAGTCAGCTCCTGGTCTAGTTTTTACTGCCTGTATAGAAATTCTCCATCTTTGGCTGCAGAGCACATAGTCAATCTGATTTCTGTGTTGACCGTCTGGTGATGTCCATGTGTAGAGTTGTCTCTTAGGTTGTTGGAAAAGAGTGTTTGCTATGACCATCGTATTCTCTTGACAAAATTCTACCAGCCTGTGCCCTGCTTCATTTTGTACTCCAAGGCCAAACTTGCCTGTTATTCCAGTTATCTTTTGGCTTCCTACTTTATCATTCCAATCCCCCACGATGATAAGGACATCATTTTTTGGTGTTAATTCTAGAAGGTGTTGTAGGTCTTCATAGAACCGGTCAACTTCAGCCTCTTCAGCATCAGTGGTTGGGGCACAGACTTGGACTATTGTGATGTTGAATGGTTTGCCTTCGATTCAAAGAAAGATCATTCTGTCATTTTGGAGAATGTATCCCAGTACTGCTTTTCCTACTCTTTTATTGACTATGAAGGCTACTCCATTTCTTCTGAGGGATTCTTGCCCGCAGTAGTATACCTGATGGTCATCTGAATTAAATTCACCCATTCCTGTCCATTTTAGTTCACTGATTCCTAAGATGTCAATGTTCAGTCTTGTCATCTTTTGTTTGACCACATCCAGCTTGCCTTGATTCATGGATTTTACATTCCAGGTTCCTATGGAGTATAGCTCTTTGCAGCATCAGACTTTCCTTTCACCACCAGATACATTTGCAACTGAGTGTCCTTTCGTCTTTGACCCAGTCACTTCATTCTTTCTGGTGCTACTAGTCCTAGCCCTCCGCTCTTCCCCAGTAGCATACTGGACACCTTCTGACCTGAGGGGCTTATCTTCCGGCGTCATATCTTTTTGCCTTTTGGTACTGTCCATGGGGTTTTCATGGCAAAGATACTGGAGTGAGTCCTTCTCCAGTGGATCACGTTTTGTCAGAGCTCTCTGCTATGACCTGTCCCTCTTGGGTGGCCCTGCACAGCATAGCTCATAGCTTCATTGAGCTATGCAAGCCCCTTCGCCACAACAAGGCAGTGATCCATGAAGGAGGGGCAAATAATAAGTACAAATAAAGCAATTTATAAGAATACAACATTTGTTACTGGATTAACTAGGTTTGATATAGACATTAATAATTTTTGTAGCCATACAAGATCTTTCATTATAAAAATGCATAGGAAGCTGGGCTGCTTCTACCCAGATCCCAAGATGCTGAACAACTAACTGTTGTTCATTTTCAAAAAGAAAAATGATGGGATTGTAGATTACTAGTCTGACTTGCAGGTCACCAACTAGGATGCGTTTATCAAAGGGTGTGGGAATTTTATACTCTGTATGTGCTTGGAGGAGCTCTCCTTTACTTATATGCCAAGACTGAGCACAAGTACTTACATACTTCATTTGAAGTGTGCCTGTTTCAGGTGAAAGCCAAACCGCAGGCTACAAATACACATGCAGTTAACAAATGCAGAACTGTTTATTGCTTCAGGTAGACTGCAAATGTCTTCTCACTAATTGGCAGACAATAATTGATTCTTTTAATGCAAGGCCTGAGTATACCAATGTCACTAATCTTTCTGTACATGGCAATACACAGGGAATGTTTCTTATGTTTGAGGGGGACAGTCTCACAAGTGGGCTCCACAGGGGCCACTGGCAGACAAATTGGTTTAGAAAGTGTGACATGGAATAAGTAAGTCAGGTGAGAGTAGGGAAATCCATTATCATGTATAGTTACTTATTTTAAATCCAAAGAACCTTTATTAATTTGCCAAGGTGTTTGAATCCTCTCATCACCCAGATATTTATTTAAACAAACCCATGTCTATAAAAGTATTTCAGGAACAGCTGCCCATGTTTCTGGAGACTAGGAAGTGTGAACACCACTTCTAATAACTTTTAGAATACAGACAAAATTCTAGATGTAGCAAATAAGTAACCAACCTTCCCATTTGGTTAATTTCAGTGTGGTCTAGTGGTTAGAGTATTGAACTGAGACTCAGAAAATTCATGTATTAGTCCCTCAGCCATGATGTTCCCTGGGTGACTTTGGCCCAGTCACTGACTCTCAGCCTAACCTATCTGACAAGGTTCTTCTGGGATAAAATGGAGGAGCATCTCTCACACACACTACCCTTAGCTCCTTGGAGGAATGGCAGGTTATAAATTAATGAATAAATACACCAGCATATAAGTTGGTGTGAGCTTACACAAGCTGGATGTTGGATAGAGTACAAATGGTATAAGACTGGAAATGAGTACAACCAAGTGTGTTCAAGAGCACTTAATTGTGCCTATTACATCATGGTGCTGGCAGCAAAGAAGGTTTCTCTTGCTGCCTCCATTGTATCCTTGAGTAGCCTTCCAGCGGAGATTTTTCAGGTGGTCTGTGGGCTGTTAACACTCTCCCCAGCAACTGGGACCATGGTCCCCTCAGGGTCCTGCTGCAACCTTTTTGATCACTTTGAGGACAAAATCCCTTGTCTCATAGTGAACTTGACACTACCGATAGCACAGTTGCAATCACATCTGGCACTGCTATCAGCCTGATTTTGTGGGATCAATTTTGGTTGCTGCCGCCTGACCGCATGGGCAGCAGTGTAAGGCTTCACCTGATCCTGGCTAACAAAAGGTAGTCGAGGGGGTATGGCTGGGTAGCTCCAAGAGAGTGGGAGATACATCTCTGCACAAAGAGCCATTCCTGCTGTCCTTAAGGAAGAAGTAGTGCAATCGCTTCTGAAGACACCCACTCTGAACCCAGTGCTATGTGACAGCTACTGCCCAGTCATAAACACACCTTTCTTAGGGAAAGTACCTGAGAGGGCTCTGGCAGGGCAACTGCAGGAGCTCTGGAAGGACATGGATTGCCTAGACCCCTTCCAGTCTGGGTTTTGACCTGGCTGCAGGACCAAAGCAGCGTTCATGGCCCTGAGGGATGGCCTTTGTCGGGAGAAGGAAGCACACTCCTGTTAATTCCCTTCAACCTCTCCTCGGCTATTAATACCACAGCATTCACTGGGTGCTGGGCATTGCAGGCACTGTGGCAGAGCTGCTCTGGTCTTACCTGTGCAATTGATTTCAGACACTAATGTGCTTCAGATCCCTGCCAATTGAACTATGGGGTACCACAGGTATCCACCATTGTTCAACATCATCATACAGCCTCTGGCAGTGGTTGTTAGGGGATCCAAAGTCAGGTGCTATCAGTATGATGATGCCATGCAGCTCTTTCTTCCTAAGGTAGCTGAACCGGGAAGGCTGTGCAAGTCTTGCATCAGTGTCTGAAATCAATTGCACAGGTGAGAACAGAGCAACTCTGTGCGAATGCTGCATCAGTGTCTGGATGCAGTGATGGCTGGATGAGGGTCAATACTGTGAGCTCTGTAGCGATACGCGCTATTGTAGGAGCATACAAATTGGAATAATAAATAAATAAGCAAGCTGAAGTGGAATCCTGGGGAAATGGAAGTCCTCTGGGTGACTGGTTCCTGAGTCCAGGAGATAGGCTCTTTGCCTGTTCTGGGTGGGGTTGCTCTCCCTCCAAAGATCCATCCCTGTTGCTGGAGATGCAAATGAACATGGCAGCTCATGCATTTTCTCAGCTTTGACAGTATACTAACTGCAGCCTCTCCTGGACAGGGATAGCTTAGCTACTATGGTACAGACACCTGAGTTACGAACAAGTTCCTGAGAAAATGGAAACTCATCTTTAAGTTGAATATGTATGTAAATCGGATCACGTATAGTCAGCCCTCCACATTCATGAGGGTTTAGGGGTGCAGGACCCTCATGAAAGTGGAAAAACCACAAACATCTCTAGCTGTCTCCTAACCAAACTCACCAGTGCCTCCTCTTTGCAGTCAGGAAATGTGGAATTTTCCTCTCAGGATGGCTGAGGTAGGAAGGAGTGCTTTGGAAGCCTCCCTCTCTCCCCTTTCGCTTCCTCTCTCTTTATGGCAATAAGGATTTTCCACAGTAATTTTAAAAAGTTAATAGGCTTTATAGAACTTCATTTGTGAGTATGGGTTGTCACCTGGATGTTTGTAACCTGGGGACTGCCTGTAACCTCAGATTGGATTCCCATAATGTGCTTTATGTGGAGCTACCCTTAGGCTATTCTGGAAACTGCAGCTAAGTGCAAAATGCTGAGGAACTGTACCAGCTGCATATTTGGTACTAGGCCCAGTTTAAGGTTTTGGAACTAGCATACAAAGGCCTAAATAACTTGGGATGAGAATACCTGAGAGAGCAGATTCTCCCTTATCAGTCTGCCTGGTCACTGAAGTCATCACATGGCCTGGTCCTGCCAGTTCTGCATAGCCCAGTGGCCCAATTGGAGCCCACCCGGGCAAGAACCTTTACTATACAGCTCCTTTTGTGTGGAACTCCCTGCCTTTGGCAGTCAAACAATTGCCCACACTCTTGTTTGGACCTTGGACCTCTTGAAAGCAGCTTTATTTCAGGAAGCCTTCCTTGGTTTACATGCCACTGTTTTTATTTTATTTTTTTGGGGGGGGAGAAATATTGTGTTTTATTCTTTTTATCTTCATTGAATGTTTGCCACTCCAGAATCTGTGTAGACATGCAGCAGTATATAATAGTTGCAAATACATAGTAAATTAAAATTCAGTCTGGTGAAACAAACTTCAAAAGTTTATACAAACAGAAGCTGGCCCAATACACACCAACTTAAGTTGCTTTTTATACTTAAAGTAGATCCTTTGGAATGAATGGAGACATGGGCCTACTCTAAATAGGACTTTTGTTGGATTTTATTTTCCAAAACAAAATGTAGCTATCTGTACTAGAGTAATTTGTTCCTGATGTCAGTTAAAATCTATGACTGATATCATCCATTATTCAAATCAACTGTCACTCCCAGCAAGCCTTTAGGATAGGTTAGGATAGGTTATGCATGTTCAAATGGATAAATGATGCTAAATTCTTTCTCAGTAAATTTATGCAGTGTTCACTTACCCACTGAAATTTTGCAGCCAATGCTTGCTCCTGGGAAGGATCACTGAAACGGCGGCATTGTTGTCTTCTGCCTCTTTGTATCTGAAGTGTATGAAACCACTGCGGCTGCAAATCATTTGCTGGCAGTGGCATTTTGCTTGAACTCATCAGCTGACAGAGAGAAAAGGCCACCAATCTAACAACAAAATTTACCAGTTTTTGTCCATATCTTCAATTACCGCCCCCCCCCCCCAGTGCTTATATTCTTTGTTAATTCGGATTTGGGGCAGAACCACACATTATGTGGGAAATGTTACAGCATTCCAACACCATGATGCTACCTAATGGTGATAACAAGATATTTGTAGTGGAGAACTGGGGGAGGAGCAGGAGGAGTTTAAACGTCTTCTGCCAGATTTTTCTCCACAAATGCCCCGAGGCATTATTTTGCTCAGCTAGCCTTCACAACCAGAAGCAAATCCAGCTGTGTGGGAGGGGAATGGTCCCAGAAAGGATGGCAGGCAAAAATTGCCCAGTGTGGGGGGGAGAGCAAACAGCATCATTGGCATTTCCATGTAGTGCAGTGGTTTGTCTGGAGAAAAAAAATTAGAAACATTCCTTATGCAACTTAGATTGGAAAATTTTCTAGTATCCTGAAGGGTGATCACATTTTTAATAAATGAAACTTTAAAAAAAGTACCCTATGTATAGACTCTGAGCCCAACCTTCCTCAGAGGATTGTTGTAAGGATAAGAATGAGAAGAGGAAGATGATTATGTAAACTACCTTGAATTCCTTGAAAGGAAAAAAGGTGGAATATTGTAAATACATAAATAAGTTGTGGCATAGTGCATCACAAATATTTGCCTTTAAAGCTTTGAGAAAAAAAATCAAAACATCCTTATAGTGCAAACTTATGCATGTCGTCTCAGAAGCAAATGGAGTCCAAAGGCCTGACTTCCAGGTAAGTGGGCAGAGGACTGCATGGCTGGCCAGGGAAATATGGGATTTACAGGACATTTTTCTGTCCAAATCTGCATGGGGTTACACCCTTAATGCAACTTAAAGGTAAACATTTCTATTGGAACACTTGGAAAAATGTAAAGCAATATTATGTATTGCCCTTATACTGTTAAAATTCAGGAAAGAAAACAAAGGTGCTGGAACTATTGACACTGATACATTTTAGCAATGCACAAAAAAGAATGTAGTAACCTGACAGGTACTCCTTTGCTTCAGCAGAATTTAACCATCTTCTGCTGTGGTTGTTGGGGCAGCTTGAGTCACACTCTCACTATCTTACCTCCATTTCAGATAGACATATTATTTCAACAGCATATATGCAATCTTCCACATCCTAGAGATAATCACCTGAAAACCATTTTTGTTGTTGTTGTTGTTAGTCCCGAAGTCGTGTCTGACCCATCGCGACCCCATGGACAACATTCCTCCAGGCCTTTCTGTCTTCCACCATCCCCCGGAGTCCACTCAAGCTCATGCTAACTGCTTCAGTGACTCCATCTAGCCACCTCATTCTCTGCCGTCCCCTTCTTCTTTTGCCATCATTAGCTACAATTTTAATCTGCCAAGTTTGCTTGGTATTGTATTTGCAATCAACAGCCATTCATTGCTACCCATGAATTTATGAAAGGTACTTCAAGGCAAATAGGGCACTGGAAAAATTTCAGTTGCACATCACTGGTTCCATGCAACTCTCCTACCCTACCCACTCAACACATTATCTCAACAGTTGGGACAGTTTGCCAAATAATGTGCAGTTCTATCTTACGAGGGAAAGTAGGCATTTTATGGTGCATTCTGTCCCCCATCCCCCCGAAATAGGTGGGCCATTCAGAGGAAATTAATGCTTTTTTATCTGCAGAGTGCACAGACACACACTGTGTCCTTTCTGGGGCACGTGGGGCATAAACAGGGGCACATGCATCCTATCTATCATACTGGCATACACTTGACTAACTTTAGATTCGTCAACCCAATACATTGCATTCTCCTACTTTCGGTAATGCCTGTTTTGGGGCTGCAAAACTGCCTAGACTTTGATCTGGAAATCTGCACGGAAAAGTTAGCCCTAAAAAGGGTGGATAACAGAGAGTGGCTGGAACACAGCTTACCTTCAAACTAGACTCCACTTTCCTGGTCTCAGGACTGTCTTGCTGTGAAGAGCTTTCTGTCTCTTCACGGAAACATTTGCACCTAGAGCTAAAAGCATATTTACATAGGATGTTTCCCATGTTCTCCAGTGCTCCACAGTTGGATCCTCTCCCTCCCTTGTCTTTTCATTCAGTTTGCTGGCAGAGTTTGGAAACGCATGTGTGTTCATATGACCCACGAGACCTCTGCCACAAGTGGTCTCATGACATTCTAATATGCACTGCTTCAAATTCATCCTTTGTAGACCTCCTTTAATAAGCATGGTTCCCGAAAGCTGCCAAACTCAAATCAATGACCCAAAAGTTAAAAATGATGGTTATTTCAATTATTTTATTATCATTTTGATGCCTTGGCAACAATTTCATTCATGTTTATTTAATATTTATGAACTGCTTACATTAAAATTTTAAGTAATATACAAACAAGATAGCATAAAGCCAAAATAAAATATTATATACAACTTAGAAGACATATCACAATGACAAGAAAGACCGAAGTTCTAAAAAAAACTTGTTTGAAAATACGTTTTCTGTAGATGCCGAAGCCCAGGATGAGGGCCTCTCCCAGCACTCCACTGCAGTCTACAAAAATGTGATGGCAAGCATGTACAAAAAAGGTGTTGGCAGCTGCATCAATAATTCACTTTTTAACTTTTGTTTGTGCCCTTGTAACATTGTGATCATTGAGTTAAACAAATGCATCTGATTGTTTTTGTTTTTTCTAAAGAACTATGGAAACTCTTTTCTCACGTTCCTCTGGATTGAAACAGAAGGAGACTCCACCTGCCTTTCTTGTCTGGACATGTTCCCCTGCCATTAAATTGTCTTTAATGTCTATGTAACTTGTTTTCTTCTTCCTGCAGCCACTTTAAACAATACAGCCGACACATCCATACATACGGGAGTTGGCAAGCCGCTTCAGGGGGCTGCAGTTGCCCGGAAAACGCTCACGGGATGCTCTAAAAGTCGCCTCGCTGAAACCAGGTAGGCCGCGCCCGCACGCTGCTTGGATCTCCAGGGAGGAAATGCAGAACATGCATCCGAGCAATAGGTGCGTCCCTGGAGTACGCAACCCAGCTGCAACCAGGCCCCCTCCCCGCCGTAGCAACCATCCAACCTCTGCTATGAAAAGCGATGGTAACTCTCTCCCTTAAGGACCATTTTCCCATTCTGCTCCATGCTGCGAGACGTATTTACCTAACGCCTCTTACACTATTTTGTCCTACTCGCGGCCCCGTCCGCGCAGTTCAGCCCGCTCAGCAGCCCTCTCTTATCGGCCTCTTTACCAGTTTGGCAGGCAGACTGGCCCCGCCCCTACGGCCCAGCAAGGCCCCGCCTTTCCCCTCTTTACGTGAATCAGCTGATTTGAGCGTCCCTAGAAGCCGGTGGAGATCTTGGCGGTTAAAGCGAAGGCGCGCTGCTCCAGGTGAGAGAGAAGGAAAGGGAAAAGAGAGAGAGCGAGAGCGCGCGAGCATGAGGGCGAAAGGAGAAGGGGCGGGAGTGAGGTGTACGTCGCGCGCGCTGGAATCCGAACGAGCTCCGCGTTAACTGCCAGCCGCGTTTTACCGCCCCCCGTCCGCGCGCGTTTGGAGCGCGCGCGCGGGGCGCAGAGTCGAGCGAGTGCCAGGCTGGGGAGTGAAACTTCAGTCACGTGTCTCGGATGTGGCGGCGGCGGCGGCGGCGGGGGGGGCCGGTGGAACGTCGATGACCTCGCGTGTGGAACGGCCTCACCTGCCTGCGGTGCTGCCCTGAAACACATGCAAAGCATTTCTTCCTCGTTCCGCGGAGAAGAGGCCCCCAGGGTTCCATGTCTGTGCTGAACCTTCTGAATAAAAGAGCACGTAAGGGGGCTCCTCCGCTTCCTAAAAGATCCGGTGTTTCCATTTCCTCTATAATCGATGGAACATGTCAGGAGCATCAAGTGTTACCTGTTGACCTTGAGAGCTCTTTTCACCGGGTGCCTGTCACGTGGGCCAGATAGGTTTGGGGCCTTGTGCCCTTTTCGTGGAAAAACAAACCTCTGGCAAGGCACCAGTGCGGAATCTCTTTGGTCTCTCCTTAGCCCTCGCTGTGGCTAAAGCCCTTTCCCGATAGAACTTGTTTTTTCAAGGGAAAGGGGTGGTGGTAGTATTGACATCTGCTGTGGCTTTATTACTTCTAGCCTTAGCAAGTGATACGTCTGAATAAAACGATCAGGGGGGAGCTTTGCTATTTAGGGATGGTGCATTCACAGAACAGGTTGCCAGGATGTGCGAAGCAGATGATTGAACAGGCCCCAGAGGGGAAAAATATCTATAAACTGAGACAGACAAGAAATTCTTTCAAATGTCTTTGGATTTGAAAGAATTCTTTCAGTTCTAAAAGGCATGAAAGAAGGGGAGGGCTGGTATACTAATGTTTAGGACACTGTCCAACTTATTTCTGGCCCTGATTATGATGAATATACTAATAGTGATCTTAGTTTTTAGAGTGTGGCTCTTTACATAGTGAAAATTACATTATATGCACAAGCAACTTGGAGCAGGATTTGTAAAAGAACAAATCTTTAGGAAGAAAAATGCAAATGAGGGCTAAACATGTATTTGCATGAAATGCATGTTTATGAAATACTGACTGGTGAAGCGGATTGGAATGGAGTATCTAGTACAAGGCACAGCTGGCTAGGAGCTGTTCCAAGCTGCAACATTTCATTGCAGGTTCCATGTGGTTTAGTGGTCACATTTGAACTGTTGTCCAGGAAATATGTGAAAAGCTTTGGGGTAGAGTAACCAAATATAAACAGTCTTTCAGTCGCTAACTGGCAACCAGGGCAACAGCAGTATGGCTCTCCATAGGCAGTCGGCCTCTAGATCAGTGTCGCAAAATCTGCTTCAGCCTCAGGGAGTAAGTCCCATTGAACTCTTAGAGAATTATAGTCTTAACTTCAACTCATCAGAAGTGCTGGTCATAATAAAGACCCCATAGGAAAATATTTTAAAGACTTTACATTGACAGGAAAGATGAAAAGCATGCAAAATATATACAGTGAGACAAAGAGATGTAAAGCCAGTGTGGTGTGGTGGTGAAGAGCATGGGACTGGGACTCAGGCGATCCGGGTTCTAGTCCCCACTCGGCCATGGAGCCAACTGGGTGACTTTGGGCCAGTCATAGACTCTCAGCCCAACCTACCTCACAGGGTTGTTGTTGTGGGGATAAGATGGAAGGGGAGATATAAGCTGCCTTGAGCCCTGTGTAGGAAAAAGGCAGGATATAAATCGAAAAATAAATAAAATAAATAAAGCATGCTTGTAAAAATTAAGCTCTTTAAATCATTAAATCATAAATTTACATGGGTTAGTGGTCAGATTTGAACCATTGTCCAAGAAACATGAAAACATTACAGTGAGAAACTTGATTTAAATTAAGCCTTTTTCTTGTGGATGTAAATTATAAATTAATTAATCTACCTTATTTGGCTGCCTGCAGTGGAACTGGGGATTCAGATGGTGTGGAGATTTGCCCAAGCTGCCTTGAAGCCTGAAACAACCCACATAAGTCTTTCACTGTCTCTTAGTTTAGCCCAACTTCTGTGTAAGAGGAATTTCAACTTGTGCCTTAATTTTTCAAGTGAGAGTGGGCAAGTATGGACTTGTTTGCATTCTAGTATAAGATATAATAATAAAAGTACCCATCATCATGTGCCCAGTCACCACTTTCTCTTAGCATTGCCTGGGTCTAAGCATGTAGTGTGAAACTGCAGTTTGGCATACAGAAGGATCCCTGAATTATTAAAAGTATACAGTTAATCCCCAGATTCCAAATTAAGAAGCTTTGTTGAGATTAGGGATAGAGATGAAAGGGATGAAAAAGTAAGCAGGTAGCATTAAAACATATACATAGCTGTTGTACTCCTGTGCCCAATCACTTAGGAATTGGCTTGATTGAACTCAGTGGGATTATCCTCTGAATAAACGTATAAAGTTTCAGACAATTGTAATGGATAATCTCAAACCTGTGAGGAATAGTTTCATATGTAGATTTTCATGGGGAATAATTTCTGGTCATTACCCCAGTGGATCATGGAAAAGTATTGATGAAGGAGATGCCCCCCACCCCCAGTCAGATATGGTCAGCTGTGCTTTGCATACCTTTTAAGGACAAAGTTTTGACATTTTGGGTGCAACATGTAGCTTCAGGGGAATTGGGGCCCTTGGCAACTCTTAAGAAGGTAGAAGGTGAGAGCTGGGAAAGATTTTCAGTCTATTCCTGGTAGATGGAGCAGTCATTATAACTTTTTTTCCATGGTGGATGCTTGAAATGTGACAGGTAGGTTTCTGTGTAATGAGGAAGATTGGTCACATTTTTTCTCAGACAGGCATTTTTTCTCAGACTTCTCAGAATATTTTTGTTGTATGTAGAAAAATGGGGTGGTTGAGGGGGAATTTGGAGTTTAGTGAATGGAAGAGGTCATGCCTATAATCTTAACCAGTTTTTCCAGAAGTGGGCAAATATTATATTGCTGGCTGCCTTTCAATGTCTTCCATTGGCTCAATGCAGACAAACAGTTTAAACCATAGTTAATAAGCCATGCTTTGCACTGTAGTTTGGGCTTCCAGATGTGCAACAGTGAAGGCATAGCTTGGAGTGGGTTGTCTGTTTCTGTTCCTCAGCAGCCTCACATTGCGCTTCTCTGTTCATTCTTGCTTCCAGACTGCAGCAAGTAGAGCAACAGTCATAATTGTGCTTTGTTGATAGTTGCCTCTCCTCTAATGACCAAGAGATTTGTGTTCAGATGCCATGATAAACAACCCAAGATGGAGCATTTCTGGATTTTTTAGCTGCACTGGGAGCAACTGGGCTGTGATGAGCCAGGAAGCCTGCCTACACCTGCTTATTCATTGCAATGTCTAAAAATAAAGGGTGGTAATGTGCTATGCAGCTGTGGCTTACACATTTTAAGCAACTTAGTTCTGTGCAGAATTGCAGGTTATGAGAATAATTAGTCAAGTCTTCTGTATTACTCTAAGTATTGGATTTTCTCAAAATAACTGAGGAACCTTATTTGAAAGTTTTTCATGATTTTTGAGCATGCATTCCAATATTCTATTTGAAATATTCAAACCAAGCTAACCTATTAATGTAGTTAATAAATTATGTTCTCTTGGTACTCTGCATTTGTTGGAGGAAGAAGATTCTAATAAGAGTCTTATTAACCCAATATGTATTAATCTAGTGATAAGTGTATTAAACCTATGGGGTATTACAATTCCTGCTTGCTTAAATTATAGCCATCACCCACACTGTATAGCCATCACTCACATTCTGCTTGTGATAGATATTCTTTTTGTAATGTGGTATTGGAAAATTTTAAAGTGCACCCTAAGGGAACATGGCATAATTAAATTGAATGGCCAGGTTGTTGTTCTGTGTTCCCTTGTGAGTTGAATAGTAAGCCAGTAAGAAAGAAATTGATCAGCGGTCTTCCCACTCTGTTGTCAGTGCCAAATATTCTCAGTGTTGGTGAAACTAAACTGAAATCACTTGGAGTGAACATTAAATCTTGCAACATGAGTGTCTGGATGGCTGAAGGACTGAAAAAATGGCAACATGGTCACTTGGAGGACCCATCTCTTTCGGGATGCCAGTGAAGTAGTATGTGCTCTAAGAGTTCCATTGCCAGGAGACGTTGCTCACACCTGCACATGTTCCTGTGGTTACTTTCCGACATAACAAGGAAACCTTGAGTGTACTTTTCCAATTTGGGTGGCAAAAATGGCTGGGCAGTCCTTGTGAAACCAGAATAGAAACATGAGTTCTATCTAGTGCTACTGAGAAGAGATTTATTGAAATTAATATGGCTTAGTTTAGTTTAACATTGAATACAACCCCATGAAAGCTGTTTGTGGTATAGGTGAGTGTGAAAGATGGAGTTAGTACGCCGAAGGCATGCTTGAAAGATGTGCAAATTTAAATGTTAGCAAATGTGCCCAGTAATCCCTAATTCTTTGGGAAAGCAGCAAACCAGGTCATAATATTTGCCAGTCCATGTTGTTAAGTGGTTATTTACAGTAATCTGCACTTGAGTTAAATTATATGTGCAAAATACTGTGAGCCTCCTAGTAATGAGCATTCCTTTTTTAACCTAGCCATTTAGTGTGGCATCTCATATTATGATTTCCCCGAATGTTAGTATTCTCACAGGTAGGGCAACTTGCCTGCTGAACTGTGGGGAAGCCATGTTGTTGTCTCAAAGACAGTTTGGGTTGATGGCTGCTTAACAACAGTATGACCATATTGTGGGGAAGAGCTGACACAACTTTTTTTTTTTTTTTTTTGGTATCATGACAAGGAACTGACTCTCATAGCTTTCTGTAGTGCGAACACACATATTTCCCATTTTGCAATTACAGTTTTGTGTACAGAAATAGTAATGCAAGTACAGCCTTGATTGCTTTTCTGTAGAAGTACATAGGAGAGAGAGAGAGAAATCCTTGGAATGTGTATGGTTAAAAACAGAGTTGTTCTCAGGAAACAAAGCACCATTGGATAATTGTAACTCCCTTTGGGGACTGCAGCAGTTTTAACTGGGCCCTTAAACAACTTGTAATAAGAGTGGAACTGGCTGAAAAGGTTTTGTAGATACATGTGCTTAAAAACTGTTTTTTCTGTAATAGTGTAAGTGGTTTTCATGGGTTCTGTGGGTTGAGTAAATCTCTCCATAGAGCTTTTATTTGTTAGTGTGTGCTTGTTAAATGAAATAGCTTGGCTATTTTTAAGCTTTCCTCTCTTGTGAGATGTTTATTGAGTAGCAGGTGAGATAACTTTGCTTCTTTGCATTTTGCAGTGATGCTGTTTCATATGGACATCAAGTATTAAACTTGTGTTTTGCTGCCATCTTCATGGTTCTGAAAACTGTTGCATTATTATCTCAAAAGGGAATGATATGGTGATGGAGTATTCACACTGACTGATGGACTCAAAAGAAGAAAGGTAAGGCAAAGGTCTTGCAAAACAAAATTCAAACTTCTAAAGTCAGCAAAGACATGCCTTTCCGTGAAAAGCATTTTGCAAATTGGAAAAAATTGCAACTTTCAAGTATGTAATGGAGCAAAATTTGTGTGGATTTATGCAATCTTATTTATCTTTTTTGCTAAACAGCTCAGTAGATGAAGAAGGAGCAAGAGAAAGAGGCCAGGTCTATATGTGGCAGGCTGGTTGCTGTTGTCCAGCTCCAGAAAGACTTTCAGGTTGGAGCGAAAAGACAGTATTCCAGGCAGCGCTTGGAGTTAATCATGGTGTGCTTCTGTCAGATGGTATGGAATATTGGTCCTAAACTCATTCATATTTTTTAAAATTTCAAACTGTTTGAAAATTATTAAGTAAAAAGATTTTCTACAGTTACATTTTGTGAGGTGCTAACAGTGACTTTCAGTATTAACAAAGTAAATAGTTTATTTATTGCTGTACATGCCAGTTTGTAACATCTTACATGAGGTACTCGGTTTTTAATGGACTTGGCATAGATAAACTATAACACAAACCAAAGTCTGTATGTTCTGCTCACGAAATGTGTGACAATGTTTTGAGCTTATTTTTCTCCTGGATATTTTTTTTCCTATGTTATTTGTAGGATCTTGTTTTATGGGCAAATGTTAAGCCTAGGATAACAGGCCCAGTAGTATAGGAATTGGATCAGATTTTCACTCTGTTATCCTTCCATCTTGACATGACTTATTGTGGCAAAGTTGTTACAGAGCTGAACATTTCATTTTTTCCCCTTTTGTTTCAGATGGTGAGGTGTACAGTTTTGGAAAACTTCGTTGGAGGGTAGATCTGGAAGATGCTTATGTTAATTGTCCCATATTGGAGAAGGCTTTGAGTGGGCAGCATGTTATTACAGTGGCAGCTGGCAGCTTCCATAGTGGAGCAGTGACTGAAGGTGGTGCAGTGTACATGTGGGGGGAAAATTCTGCTGGTCAGTGTGCAGTGGCCAACCAAGCCACTGTGCCAGAACCAAAACTTGTCAGCATTTCTGATTCTGAAGCAAGCCATCTCCTGCCAATATGGATTTTGCAGCTGGCATGTGGAGAGGAGCACACCTTGGCGCTCTCAGTAAGCAGGGAGATCTGGGCATGGGGAAGTGGCTGTCAGCTAGGCCTCATCACCCATACTTTCCCAGTGACCAAGCCACAGAAGGTCGAGCACCTAGCAGGGCGTGTTGTGATTCAGATTGCGTGTGGGGCCTCTCACAGCCTGGCTCTTGTACAGTGCCTCCCCACCCAAGATATAAAGCCCATCCCAGAGAGATGCAATCATTGCAGCCAGCTCCTGATTACCATGACTGACAAAGAAGACCATGTCATTATTTCTGATAGCCACTGCTGTCCACTGGGGGTGGCCCTGGCTGACTCCCACTTGGAAAGCCACATCTCCTGCTCCTCACTAGAAACTCTGGAGGGGAAGAGCATTACAAGCAGTCAAGGTGAAGATTGTCAGAAGTCTGTTATGGAAGATCAGAACCAGACACTTGCCACTGCAGGATGTGAGGTAGCAAGTGTGTTTTCAAACCACAATGGACAGGAAGACAGTGGTATTTGTAGTCCAGGAAATCTCTTGATAACTGACAAAATGACAATGAAGCAACACTTGACAAGTCCTCCAGATTGTTCATTAAATGAGAGTGGGGAGAAGCAAATTGATCTACAACCTGAACAGGTACCCACATTCATTCATTTTTGCCTGCATGCAATCCTGTAAAGTTCTCATGATGTTCCAGAATGTAATTGTTAATAAGAGCTGGGGCTCTGAAGGGGTATTGTTTCTGTATAGCTCTTAAATTGTAATCCAAGAGAGAAGGAGTTGACTAATATTGTGTGTGTGTGTGTGTGTGTGTGTGTGTGTGTGTGTGAGAGAGAGAGAGAGAGAGAGAGAGAGAGAGAGAGAGACAGAGAGAGAGAGAGAGAGAGAGAGAGAGAGAAACAAATCACAAAAGGTAGCATAAAAGAGTAGTGTTACTACCAAATATCTCATTGGTTGAAATGTCTTTTTGCAATGTTCACCTTTGAAGTGAGGTTAGATTATACTCAACAAATACTGTTGTTTTTTTAGAAGAGGTTGCAAGCTTCAGTGCATGCACAACCTACATATAAACTATGGTGTTTTTGTGCATGTACTGAGTTGGTTGGTTAACCTGTTTCAGGAGGAGGAAAATGCTACTTTTACCTTTCAGGGTGAAGGGCAGGCATATCAGCTCTGCCTACACATCAAATATGTTTGAAGTTTTGGCCATGTATATACCTCCATATGCCAATCCATTTACTCCCTCCATGCACTGACTCGTCATGCTGAGTAAACATGATGTAGAAAGGCCACATGAAACAACCATTTGAGAGGAAGTATATAATGTGGTGATGCATGACATCATGAGGGTTTGCACAATTCCAAACTATATAGTTCCCTAAAACTCTCATACACAGAACACAATCTCGAATTAAAAGAGCATTCTAGTCCAAGATTACATAGATAAATGTGTTGCTTTCTGAAAGAATAATACATTCATTTGTATTATTGTATTTATTTCTCCACCTCTAAATGAGAGCCGTGGAGAAATAAATATTAGTGCATAACAGCCCATGGACGAGCAAGTCTGGACTCTTCACATAGCACCCCTCCCCCGCAAAACAAGGCCAGCTGAGGTTTTCTGGGGATTGTTTTCCTGAGTCAAGGCACCACAGCTGAACAGGCTCTGTCATGGGTCAGCACCCGTCTCAGTTGGAAATGTTGTCCTTTCCACATGCTTAGTTCCTGCTCTCAGTATAGCTGGTTGTGATGGTGCTAAATGCTGAATCATTTTTTCTTCATTTAAATGAAAACCCAGGAATTCAGCAGTAATGTTTGAAACTAGTTTCTGTATTCTGCATGCTTCCTCATGCAATGTTAGGAACCATACCAATTTGCTTTTTCCTCCAGCAAGGAGGCCAGTGTCTGTGTATAAATAAAATTTGGTTGACTCTTCCTATGCCAATTTGTTCAAAACAGCCCTGATTTCTTAAAAGACAATCAGATTCTCCTTTTTTTTGGTTTATCTTCAGTTTTGAGCTGTTTTGTATGCACTTCAGAGCATTTTCGAGGAGGGCACATGTGTAGGGCAGTGCAGTGCAGTGCAATCTCCCCAGGCTTTTTTTTTTCAAATTTTTGCCTGCAGTTGGCAGTTTAGATCTCAATGTTTGTTAATTTATTCTCAGCAAAGTTTGGAATTGTGCACCTGAGACTTTGGGGTTATCCTTGTTTCTGTAGTACAAACTTGGATCAACTTTTGCAGCCTCCTTGTGGTTTCCATTCTGAATGCAGAAACTTTGAAAACTCATAAAATCATTTCTTTTGTTTAGTGAAAAAAGATGTATGCCCGCTGCTTACAATCCTGAGCTTTGAAACATTTTTCCTAGTTAAAGTCATAGTCTAGCCATTTGTATTTTATATATTTGAGAAAACTCCAACATTGCATACCTTTAACTCCCCATGACCTTTAACTGGGGAGCCTTTTAGGCATATTTGGTCTCGAAAAATAAACATTGTTCCCAAACTGGGTAGGCTTTCCTCCTATATAAATTAGTTATGAGGAAGTCATGCACTTTTCCTGGAATAACCTCTATATATAATGTTCTTAGAAGATACATTGCCTCATTCAGTGTGTTCCCAGAAATGTGAAGTGTGACATTGCTTGACTCATAATACAAGATAGCAAATGCTTACTTGGTCCAAACAAAACAAACATGTGAGTTCAAAGAAATCAGAGACCTGGACACCAAGCTACATATAAAAGTAGTATTATTCCTTGGAAAGTGTGGGAAGATTCTTCATAACTGTGCTCAAATTGAATTGAGATTGAACTTCTAGAATTGCTTTTGAAAAGGTCCAATATAGTTCTTCTGTACTCTCTGAATTTTGTTTGTAATACTTCAAGTATTGACTCTAATTCAATTTGTGGAGCTAGCATAATGACATGTCGTTGATTTTTGTCATGAATGAACTAATGAAAGTGATAGCTGGCTTACTCATGCAATTGTAAAAAGCAATGTTGAACTTGGATCTGATTGGAAGACAGCTTGAGCTCTTTATAGATCAACAGGGTTAAAGTGTAGGTAAATAAAGACAGTATAAATCAAACTGTAACCTTATATATACAAATACTAGAGTTTGTATGCTGCGTGATTTAGTTTGTTTTGTTATTCGCTTCAGCTGAAGGATACAGTAATAGTAATTCTGAAAAAGTTTAATAAAGTTGATTGAATCACTGGTCCTGACCCACCATGCAAGTTCTTACATTAATCTTTTTATACTTCCTCTTTCAAATGCAGCTTTTATTAAGTGTATAGATGATGGTAGAGAATATATCTTGCCATTCCTAGTTGCTGTTGAATGTTTGTAGTGGCTAGTCTCACAAAACTGATCTTAAGAGAACATTCTTCTCCTTGAAGAAGAAAAAAAGGGAAGGAACAGAGGGCTGGCATTTGGTGGACAAATGCCTTTGACAGCTTACCCAGAAGTGTTCCTTTGTTCAGCATGGATTCCTCTGCTGCAGGGGTAGGGAGTTTGTGGAGGCAAGAGCCAAGTCTAGCAACAGCAGCTCTTCAGATGGATTGGGAAAAGAACATAACAGGTTTTGTACAGTTAATATCAGTTTGGAGCAAACAGAGCTTCTAAGGCAGGATTTTATATTTTTATATGGGACTGAAACTGGTGTTCTACATCAACTCATTTCACATTTTAAAATCTGTTTATATAACATTTTGTAAAGAAATTTAATCTGTGGTTTTTTAATTTGAACCTTTTTAACTAATACAAATTCATAAACTGGATGTACTTTTGGTGGACATTTTGCTTGTCTGTCTAATAGTTCTGTCTTAGAGCTTTTCTCAAACCATTGTGTGTACAACAGAAGGTATTAAAGATAACTGCGTACTTATTCCTGATTCTGCTTGAAAAAGTCATGAAAAATCTATTTGTATATTCAGACTATGTTATCTAAAACAAAGCAATAGGAGCCCCCAATATTATATTTTTAAACCATCCTACTTCCTGTCATGATAGATTTCTTGGGTTTCTTTCACTATTTCTAGCAGTCCCAAGAAGAGGATCTCATTGCTTGCCTACCCAGTCCGCCTGGCCCAGGTACATCTGCCCTTAACAGCCTGGTAGTCTCTTGTGCAGCAGCAGTTGGTGTAAGAGTTGCTGCTACGTATGAAGCTGGGGCCTTGTCTCTGAAAAAGGTAATGAACTTCTATGGCACCGTTCCAGGTGACACAATATCCCAATCTAGTGGTGGTTCTGCAGGCCTGGATGGGCTGAAGGACAGCCGAGAGGAGCAAGTCAAGCTGGAGTCAATGCAGGGGAAAAAGAGTTCCAGCTTGGTAGATATTCGAGAAGAAGAATCTGAAGGAATATGTCGAAGACTTTCCTTACCTGGTTTGCTGTCCCAAGGTGAGATACTTCTGCCATTTCAAAGTTATACATCTTGAGGATTTTCTTATCTAATTTTTTCATGTGCAGTTTTTACGTATGGTGGGACTCTCATATTTTCTTTAAATTAAGTATCCAGCATAATTTTTCCCCATAAGGCTGAGCACCTTTGCAAATATGGAAGGAATGTACATGTTGGATAATTCAGTATCCTGTGCTTGGGTCCCTCAACATAGCATTTTCCAAAGCAGAAAACTTTTGAAAGTTAAGCTGGCAAGTCTTGTAACTCTTCTTTGCTTCTCCTCCTCTTCCCCTCAAATAAACTTCAACATTCACTCATTTGATATTATTTTCTTTATACTGCACTGCCTAATAGCTGAGGCTATCTGAGCAGTTAAAAAAGGTTAACTTTTTCTCCACAGTTCTTTTACATTTGATTGTCTAGTTATGTAACTTCTATCAGTTGCTGTTGTTGGAACTGTCCAAGGATGCCTTTGTTTGCACCACAGTGAATGGCAAAGAACAGCAAGAATAGTAACTACCAGTCTCCTCTATGTGTCTGTTCTATTTTCATGTTTTTAATCTGTTGATAATTCTCTTTTAAACAAGAAAAACTTAAGAGTGCTCTAAAATACTGGCAGTCTTTTACTTTACTTTTACTTGTAGTCTTTTACAATACTTGCTGGGACTACTGCAGTGTCTCTTGTTTCCAAAAGAAAACAGAAAAATCTGACTTTTCCCCACCCGCAGCAGTTCAGCATACAACTTACCATATGTGGTAGTCATCCCCTAAATGACTGTTACAGGCTTCCATTGGGAAGTGCTTCTGAAGGGGTAGGGTAAGCTTTTAGAAGACAGTCCTAAGTTCAGATGGCTGAAGAAACTCTGGGAATCCCTGTTGTGGGTGATTTTAAAGGAAAGGTGGTATGGTCAAAGAGAACAATCATGTTTCAAAGTAACAAGGATCTAATATATTTAAAAGTAATACTTAATGAGGATGTGGCTCATTTTATATTGTTTCACAGAGAACCTGTGGCCATCCAGAAGTTGTTGGATACGAATGCCTGTCAGCCTCAGCAAGCTTGGCCTATGATCAGAGTTGATGGGAATTATATTTAAACATCTGTAGGGCCACAGGTTCCTTATCCTGCTATAGATCGAACTGTTGTCTGCTGTTATTATTGTCCTTTGGTGGCTTAGCTCTATCGTTAGCCAATCCTTTTCTTGTTTGAATATTGTTACTTCCATTTGAGTACCAATTTGGATTCTGTGACTCTCTTGCTACTGCCCTCTTCCTTTTAAGCGCTTTGTCCTTGGGTGTTTTTAGGTAATGCTGTATATGCACTGTAGTCACTTCCCAGTTCTGTCCCTTGGACGTGTGCTTCCCTTGTGAGCTCTCTTCCCTAGCCAGCAACACAGTAGAAGGGCTAGCTATACTAAGAGATAGTGCAGGTAGTGCTGTGCCCGGAAAGACTGAATGTAGTTTGATAGGTTGTCCAAGTCTGGGTGCATGGCTTGGAGAGGGAAAGAACTCTCCAATAAACCATGTGTTGTTGGAAGCCTGTTTTCCTCTCCGGGAAACTCTGTCTGAGCATTAATTATGGAAATTTCATCCAGTAGGCATGATAATTTAAACAAGCTATGCTGGATTATTTTTGTGTGTGAACAGGTCCAGTGTGATAGCAATGCCAAGTAACTGCTGTCAGTCAGACTAAACAGGGAGTGGAAGGAAACGTACTTAATGAAGTAATAACAGTGAGTGCATTTTTGAGATTAATAGTTGTACTTATTATGCCAGTCTTTCCACTTGCATACAGAAGAAGATAACCCAAACATTTGATTTCCTTTGAAACTGATGAAATCCAAAGGCAGAGGCCAGAAATTCAGTTATGCAGCTCTTTTAATATGTGAAAAGTTTTAAAATATTTACCCAAGTGCATTGCTTTGAATTATGAATTGCTGAGTCAGATCTACATTTTGTTTGGTAAGAATGGTAGGAAGAAAATTAATTCATATTCTTACTTTCCTATGCACTCTGAGGCAAGTTTTGATGTAAAACTTCCTGTATTTACTGCATTCCTTATTATTCCCCTTTAGTTTTAAGAATGTACCTGAGGATACTCTGTATACCTTAATGATGTGATAGGTGAGCAACAGACTAATAAAAGGTACAGCCCCTGACTCTTTCCTTTAACACAGATTATGTTTCTTCAGACAAAGTAGCATTTCAAAGTAGGAACAAGTGCTTATTGTTGTTACTGTGTGCTAGGTGTGATACAGTTTCCTTTCAAACACATGGCCGACTAACATGGGAAAGATTCCTCTTTGTTGGGGTTGGCGGAGGACCACTTGCATTCTCTGATTAGCTATCCAAGTATTAGTAAAACTCCCTATATGTACATGGCAGTTTCAGGAACATGATGTTTCCTCAGACCCACCAACCCCATTGCATTCTCAGAGAGCAAAATTGGACACCTCATAGAAAATAGCTACTCCGTGATGAAATCTGAGATGTGGATATAGCTTTGGAGTTTTTGTTTTTAATTTTGGGCTTTATTCTGGATAAATTGGCCTGGGGTGACATGTGGGCATCCTGAAAATACTGGCATGAGAGAGAATGCTGTAATTAAAGATAGTAGGCTGATTCATACATTTAAGTAGAGTGTTGGCAGCCATTTTGAATATTCAAGCCCAAGCTGCAGCTTGTCTTGTCATCCAAACTCAGGAAACATGGGTTGTGCTGAAGTTTGCTTAACTCTTGCATAGTCCACAGTCTCTGCTTTTGGACAGTACAGAATATTCACAAGCCACATCTGATACACTGTAGTTCACCATGACTTAAATGCGCCACCTTGGACTGTTTTGATCATGCAAACTAGGTCTGTGCTTTTAGCAAGTAGCTCAGGTGTCTTTTCATGGCCATTCCTCATGTACTTCTATGCAAAGTGACTGTGAATCTTTTCTCTTTATTTAGAAACTCTGAAACCTAAGAAATGAGATATCTAACTTCTGTGTTCTAAGGATTTTTTCTTATTTTCCAAAGTTTCCCCAAGGCTCTTGAGGAAAGTAGGACGAACAAAATTGAGGACGGTGGCCCTCACACCAACTTACAGTGGTGAAGCTGATGCTCTTCTCCCATCTTTACGAACTGAGGTGTGGAGTTGGGGAAAGGGAAAAGAAGGACAACTTGGACATGGTGATGTCTTGCCTAGGTGAGGAATGCTATTCTGTGCCCATAGACCAGGGGTCCTCAGATTTTTTAAACAGGGGGCCAGTTCACTGTCCCTCAGCCTGTTGCGTGGGGTGGACTATAGTATGAAAAAAATATGAACGAATTCCTACGCTCACTGCACATTAAAATTACTTAAAATTAAAAAAAAAAATTTAAAAATGTTTGCTCCACTCCCTTGGACTGCAGTAGAAGCCCAAGATGAGGTGGGGACGAGCATGTCCATATTCAAGGTACATAGCTATAACACAGCCAAGGCACTAAATATAGTATTTTGTATAATGTAGCTGATGACTGCAACTGGCATTCACAAAGAATGAAGCAAAAATACTGAGGATAAATACTATTAATGTCACTCTTAGTATTTGAAGCAAGTCAGCCCAGAACAATTCCCACGATATACAATGACTGTATTTGGATGCAGCGCTAATGACTACCATATTTTAAGTGCAATCTTGCCAAAACTGGTATTGTCTAGATGAGTTGGACAACAACTTCCATTGGCCATGCTGGTTATGATGGAAATTATAGTCCTCGCCGGCATCCGCTTCCAAGGGAGCGGGAGGCAGGAGAGGTGAGTGCAGAGCATCTCCCCTGGCGGGGAGAGGGCTGCAAGGAGGGAGGTAAGGGCTTCTTTCCAAGGCAAGGGAAGTCGAGGGCCGTGGCTGGCTGAGCAGGGTGCCTCCTGCCTTTCCCTGCCACGGGTGGGAAACATGGCAGCCGCTTGGCAGTGGCGCCTTCTTGGGGAAGGCTGCGGCAGAGGCACAGGAGCTGCGGCCCTGCTCCGCCTCAGCCTGTCCGCCCCAGGCTCGGTGAGGCAACTGTGGCTTGGCCTTCAGCCCAGAGATGTGGCTCACATAATTAAAAATAGATTTAAACGGTTATATTTTTCTTACCTTCAATCCTTTTTTAGTTTCTTCATCTTTGTCTTCTCCTCTCTTTTTTTTTTTTTTTGCCCTCCTCTTTTCTGTTTCCCGCTCCATATTCCTGCTCTGTATATGCGTGCAGTGAGGTGGGGGGAGCTGGTGCACTCGCAGTTGAGTGTTACAATTTGGCAGGTGTGCTGGCTCTCTGATGCCTGCGCCGGCTCAGAGCTTTCGGACTTGCTCGGAGATCGTTTTCTCCAAGGGAGTCCAAAGGCTCTGAGGCAGGCTGGATAAATGAGTATGGTGGGCTGTAGTTTGAGGATCCATGCCATAAACAGTTACAGAAGAGAGTAGTTTGATTATAAACTTCCACCGTGTGCTGAATGCTTCAATATATGAGGGCCATCTCTTTAAAAAGGCAGAATTTATGATCAAGATTGGCACTTTTTATCTATATTTAAAAATATATTTAAATAGGTTAAATCTCTCTCTCTCTCTCTCTCTCTCTCTCTCTCTCTCTCTCTCTCTCTCTCTCTCTCTCAATATATATAAATAAATAAATGAAATGTCATGCACTGTGCCTATTCATATCAAAAACCCCAATTTCATTCTGTGAGTTCACAGGCTTCAGCCACTGTGTGTAAAAAGTCTTGATGGTAAAGAAGTAATTCATTTGTCTGCTGGTGGCCAGCACTCCTTGGCACTCACTGCCAAATCACAGGTATGGAAATAAAATGTTGCTTGCAGCTTTTAGTTTGAGAGCGTATTTCATTTGGCTTATTTTGTTTGCCAAGTCGCACTCCAATTTTCAATGTTTCCTTTTACTTTCTTGAACGGGAATTTGAACAGTGTATGAAATGAGCTTGGATTCCTTTTCCATAGACTACACATCTATACAACAAGTTCTGCTGAAATGTAGAAAGGGTGTGCTCTACACATCTGAAGCAGGGAGGCCATCTGGTGGATTGTTGGCAGACTGTGGACTCCCAGATGGTTTTTAGTCTGGCTTGTCCTCTCTGGCAGTGTTCTTCCCTGCCTGACATCAGTGCTTAATGGGAACAGTGCTGGTTTGCTGCTTTCCCTCTGAATGAGCTGGCAGGAACTAGGAAGAGGAAAAACACAGAGAAGAAATGGTGGCAGAAATGCCAGGAAGTAGGGTACCATTGGCTAAGGGGCATGCAGAAGGCGGGAAGGGGAGAAAAATGGGGGGGGGGGGGAGTGAAGCCAGAGATCTGCAAGGATTCCTCCAACATCTGCAAGAATGGTGGAGGATGGAAAGAGAATCAGATGGATACAGCATTGTCAGGAAAGGGTTCTGATCAAGGTTTGTTCTCACTTGCCAAAGCAGTCTTCCCAGGCCTAATACCCTTCTGTGTTTTGTCTGCTTTGTCTTCTCTGAGGCAGGAGCAGTTGATCTGCCAGGCAGTACTGCTGAAAAGTGCAGTGCCGTTTAGCTAATTTTCACACACATCCCTGCTTTCTCACTTCTGCTTGCTGTGGGTACCGTGTTGGGGATGAGGCAAGTTGGCAAGTGGGAAAGGAAAGGGAGGCAATTGCTGCCTCCCCCTTGTCGGTGCTACTTGCAAGGAAGGTGCTCGTGTGGACACTAGATTGGGGAAAGGGGCAGCAGGGGGGAATCAGCTGAGCAGGGCTGCCATCAGCCAGGCTCAGCCAGCTAGCTGATTCTCCCCTCTCCTGTGTGCACATGTAGGGTGGCGCATGGGGAATCAGTTGAACAGCGCTGCCCCTTTCTGTGGTGGTGCCCGGCTGATTGCCCCACCTCATTTACCCAAGCATGGATTAGGCACTCTGCCCCCCAGCAGTCACCTCTGGAGCAGGAAGCTGGGGTGCCTTATCAGCCCCCTCATTCCTCTGCTGTGCTTCAGGGCATGAACCCCGTTTGCCCAACAGAGACTGACAAGTGAGCCAAACTCAGCTTGTGATCAAAGAAAGGATGGTCATTACTCCTTGCATTGTCTGCCTGGAGTACTGAAAAGAAAGGAGATGGTAGGAAGCAAGAGACTTGCCACTGTGAGTCTGATCATCTGACTGGTAGGTTGAAGGAAAAAAAAAATGCAAACAGTGGTATCCACAAAGGGCTGCTTGTTGTGATGTCTGCATCCAGCCTCTGCTTGTGGTTATTGGGTACTGCAGGGGTGGAGGGATGTCTTAAGTGGTTCCCTGTCTAGATGGACTGGTATCAATTCAGGTTATGCCATGTTCTATTTTACTGTCACTGGCTTTATCATGCTAAGGTGGCTATTCACCTACCTCCCCACTTCTTCCGAACATTTTTACACAGGTGTATTCATGGGGCAGTAATACCTTTGGACAACTTAGTCATTTCAGTTCTCCAACTACAGTCCCTCGTCTTGCGAAGGTAACTTTTCAATATTCCTCCCAGATTAAAGATGCTTGATTAAGTTTGATGCCCATGTTCTTGTTAAAATAACACTTTTCTGCATCATGGCCATTGACAGTGGCCAGCACATTTTGATTTTGGATTCAGCCCTTTGATCCAGTGGACTGGATCTTCTTCCTGTGCAATCTCTTGCTCCTCTCCATAACTCCTACATGCAAAACTGAGGAAGAATGGGGAAGGGAGAGCCAGTCTTTCCCAGCCCTTCGGTGCAGTTTGGAGCCAGAGATCTGGATGAGGATCAGCCCTGCAGTTGGATTTCAGAGGTCCATGGAAGCCCAGTGCATTGGGATGATCTCTGCTTTTACTGACTAGAGCAGAGCTGAAGAAGATGCTGGGGCTTTCAAGCACATCAGCAAGATTCTCTGGCTCTGAAAAAGAAGGCTGGATTTTATTTGGCTGCTCCCTTTCTCAGGCATTTGGGGAGTGCTCCGAAGTGTAGCAGCCAGATGGTCCCCTCCATGCTTTCTAGTGTAGTGGGGCTTATATATATGGCCCTGTATCTCCACAGTTGTCAAATAATCCCTGATTCTTCCCTCTCTCTGTGGAGTGGGCACAGTTTGCCGCTGTTGCTCTGGGTCTCTGAAGGTTGGGTGGAACAAATGAACTTAATACACTTGTCAGACAGTGTGGAAGCCTGCATGTTGGTAATTAAACCAGAAGTCTTGCAATTATGCATACCAGGTACTGAAATCACACTGAAGCCAATGGGTTTAAGCAAAGAAACAATGTGCAAGGTCAAAAATCTTTCCAAATACTTGAATAGTGATTTCACAATTGAAACCAGTGCAGTTATGATTAATATGATCATTTTTTTCCAGTTAGCTCAGCCAGATTAACTGAGACTACTCTCTATTTGCTTTAAATAGCTGCCAAATTTTGACATGATGAATATCTAACCCTTGCCCTGTTGTGTTGGAATAACATCTTTGTTGTAAAAAAGATTTCCTTTTATCCTTTGTAATAATGCCTTCACTTTTTGCAATTGTGCATGTTTGTATTCCTTCCAGGTATGCAGTGACAATAGTATCTGGAATGTAGCAGCAGGTCCAGATTATTCACTATTCCTAGCAGATGGAGAAGATTTTCAGCCTTTGTTATATTATAGCGGTCGAGAAGACAGGAAAGACGTTTCATCTGAAGATAGTTGCCCAAAGAGTCCAACACCATTGCTAAACTGTAGTAAGGTAATTGTATTCTGTATATGCTGTTTTGTGTTCCCAAAGAATTTTAACTCATGGTGGTAGGATGTTTAGTAGTGGGGGAATTTGGAAAGGTGTGAGCTTGAATGTTTTCCTTGCCCCCCTTTTCAAATTGAATGCAAACCTGATGAAAAGGCAGATATGTTTTATCATTGATTCATCTCAGCAACAGACCTCCCTGCCCTTCTTTTTCCTATCAAAACTTACCTCTTAGAAGCTGTTAGCTTCTAATGGAGTGAGGCCTTGTGATTTTGCGCCATTTGGCCTTCAGTAATGTTGCAGTGGCTACATCCCAGGTGCCACAAACCATGGGAGTTGCATTTTTCATGTTTCCTTTGCAATATTGCAGAGGAAAGACAAATGGTGACTTCTTTCAGTGGAGCATACTGGAAGTGCAATCACCAGTCAAAGTGTTAACCATTAAGTTCCTCTTGGGTGTTGAGTTCACCCACTGACCAGCTTAACATCTGGGACCTGCATGTGGTATTTTGCATACTCACCTGTGGTCCATAGTGGTTGGTCTTGGATGTGTCCTTCAGAATCTGCTATGGCTTGTAAGTCTTTCATTGCAGTGTTTGCACTAGCCTCTGTCTTTTAAGGAGCCAAAGCTATAGTCTTCCACTAACAACAACGTAGTTGCATGTTATATCATGTACATGTGTGGATCTTATTTTAGAAGTACGTTTGAGACCAAACTATCGACTTCTTACTAGGCTTAGGCAAATGGGTAAAGAAGCAAAGGTGGTCTACTCAGTACATGAAGTTATCCATCTGATGTTGGCTGACTATGAATTAAAATTGACTGCCCATGTAATTCTGAAGAAAGTTTATTTCATAGCATTTGACTGTTTATTAGGAACAGTAGATATCGACCAACTTCACCAAATTATTCACTTTCTGTCAACAAACTTATTCATGTCCTCCAGATTTTTAAAAGAAACAATTCCTCCAGGAAATTTTTGTGACAAAACTTATCTAGAGTAATGGTCCTACTGTCTTGCTCAGAAATAAAAACAGTAGTCATGTCTGTGATTTTCAGATCACATAGGAGGTTTCTTTGTAGCAATTATTTTAGGCATGAAGGTGAGGACCAAGCTAAACAAGGTCTGGAAGTTTTCAAAAATACTGAGCCTGTGATTTTTTAATTATATATGGCATCCTTTACTGGGTATCCAGATATGGTTTTCAGTGCTTGGCAAAATGATGGTCAGGAGTGCCTTCAAATATGAATATAAGGAAAGATCACATGAAATTTACTGATATCAGCAAAATTGAGACTATCTCAATACTGGGAGTCAAAGGAAGAAGATTTTATAGTTTTCCAGTCTGTGTTTGATTCTATGTTTAGGTAACCTTTCTTTGTTGAAATAAAGCAGCCTTTCCCAATCTGTTACCTTTTGGATGCATTGGACTGCATATAATTCCCAGCCAGCATGGGCTTTGGCAGTCTGACAAGCCATTGACCACGTGGGCAAGGAATTATGGGAGTTGCATTCCAATGTATTTGGAGGACAATAATTTGAGGAAGGTTGCAGTAGAGCATGGGTGCTCAAACCATGGGTGCCCACCATGGCCATTCATCCGGCCCGTGCCACCGCTTGCCACCCGCGTGCACACTTGCTGTGCGGGCGGGGAAGTGGTGGCATGCTCGCTTGGAGATGGTCTCCGAGCGAGCAAGTCGCCGCTGCCTGCCTCATGTATGCGTGCACTCACTGCTGCCGCCTCCTAGTGCGGGGGGGAGGTGGTGGCTCGCTCGATCGGAGATGGTCTCTGAGCAAGCAAGCCACCGCCGCGCGTGCCCAATGGCACCTCACCACCCTCACCTCACCGGCCCGCACGTGTAGCCGCCACCTTTCAGCTGGCCCCCTATCGAAAAAGTTTGAGGACCCTGCAGTAGAGCATGGGGACTAGGAGTTGAACCAAAGGCCATGTGGAAAAGACTGGCTTTAAGGAGGAGTTTGAAGATTGTAAGAAAAGCAGCTTCACACAGGTTGTTTTGACAAGTAGTTATAGGTATATGCAACAGCACGAGGGAAATGCTGGAGTCTTTTGAAGAAGGTGATCAGATCCCTTTGAATCTCAGAGGAAACTCTGGTTTAACAAGCCAGTATATAAGTACTGGAGGAGTGAGGAAGGAGTGTGCAGTCAGAGTTTATTGAACCACAGTTATGCCATCATCTCAACTGGGCTGATAAAATAAATCTCTCGTGTTAATATTGGAATGTGTTCTTATGCTGCCAATGTCATGATTTCTGGCTACACAATATAAACACAGATTTTAAGATTAGACTGCAAAATGCATGGAAATAAGCTCAGTTGATATTTATAAATATGTTTGGATCATGTGTTTGTATTAAGCATGTAGTTATTTAAGCTAGAAGAGATTGGTTAGAGTTAACTGGATTGGGTTCAGGGGATTGTAAAACAATTTCTCTTTCCTCCAGCTAGGGTATATTAGCAACGCAGTTGCAGGTGGAAGTAACTGTTTGGCATTAGTGGACAAAAACATTATGGGATATATTGCTAGTCTGCATGAGTTGGCTTCAATGGAGAGACAATTTTATTCCAAACTGAGCGCTATAAAATCACAAGTCCTCAGACCCCTCTTGGGCTTAGGTAAGAGATCTTTTCACAGCATTATTGTCTGTATTTGACTTCATTTAAAGTTCTCAACGCAACTTCCTGTTGTTTTCATTTTCTTGGAAAAGACTGCCATTGGTAATCTTGCTTTGCTGTGCACCCAAATCTCTGCAATCAGATCTTCTTCTCCAACCCCCTGCCATGCATTGTGTTTGTTTCAGTTTCAGATAAGAGAAGAACTGCAAGCTTCCTTTGCTCACCCTCTAGCACAGTGCTGCATCGCCTGCTGTTCCAAGCCATGACATTGTTCCTTTTATATGTAATACACCATAACTCCCCTGCCAAGTGAGCTTTAGGGTTCAGCTGGCAGCCCTGCATGATAGAGTCTACACAGAAGCAGTATCTTTGAACTCACTTATTCACTGTTTCCATGGCTGGTCTCCAAACTTCAGGTGACTCCTGCCACCTTCTTCGTGGCCACTCAGAATTCTCTCTTCTTCCAGAGTCTCCCCCAGGCTTCTCATTCATTCTGGTCTCTTGCTGCTCTTCAAAACTACCCTCCCATGTCCAGTCAGACATACTTAACTGCCTTGTGTGGGAGCAAAACTGCCTGGAGTCCCTAGTGTAAAGTGCTCCAAGTATTGATGATCCTTTTTCTAACCGACTCAAGTGATGTGTGGCTTCCTTTTGCAAGAAGAGCCTGAATTGCTCACCAGTCAGTGTGATTCTTCAAAATGTGTGTTTAAAATGTTGAGTGGCTTGTTAGTATAGATTAACTCTTGCTCCTGATTTGTTGAAACCATAATGTTGCCACCTTGTAGTATTTTTGTACATCATCATTTGTTTGTCTCTCTTGCAGATAACTTAGGTGCTGCAGTAACTGTCCAGCTGCTGCAGGAAATGGCAAGTACCTTCAGCAAGTTGTGTTACCTAATTGGTCAGCATGGAGCCTCTTTGACTAGCTTTCTTCAGGGGTTAAAGGAGGCAAAGAATTTGGCCATCCTGAAGCATTCAAGCCTCTTCTTAGAAAGTTATACCGAGCAAGTATCTAATTTTCTCCTTTTTATTTATTGTAGATTTATTATATCAAGACAAACAATGTTTGAAAATAGAATGAGTTATTAAAAATGAGATGGGAAAAAATCATTTGAAGCATTACTTTTATCATCCTCTGAATTGTACTGCACTGTACTGTACTTGTACTGTAAGACTGTTGAGCAGTATCCCAAAGCAAAGTCTGCAGAGTGCAGATGGGGATGACCATTTTAAATCTTCCCTCTTGGAAACTTTCAAGTCACATGGCTACATTCTGGGATGGAAGAAAGAGGCATTTTAATTGCATACATGTAATTATAGTGTTGTGCGTAAATGAATGAAATGAAGACAATTAATAATATTTCATTTTAGCCATTTATCATTCACTTGAAAGATGCAGTCTGCCAAGAAGTCAAATTGTAACATTTCTTTTCATTTCAGATGCCTGTTGTGCAAACCCTGTTGGCATGGGCATTATACAAAAGCTTCCTTACTTTTCCATTACTTCAAGGGGATACAGTGTATATTTTTGGTTCACCTTTGTTGGGTGGGAGCCAGTGGAACTCAGCTTTTTCTTCCAGAGTTCTGATAATGCAATGCACCCTGGGGCAACATATAGGAGGGGCCTGCACTGTGAACTTCCCTCTCGTTAACTTTGTGCAAGTTCTTGGGCAAGGAGAGGATCTTCTGTATGTGTGGAGGGGGTTAAGCTTTTCAAGTTGGCCAAAGTGGCTTCATGTATTTGTTCCTCAGTTCCCATGTATGTATGAGGTTCATTTAAATGTTACGTCCAGCCTATTCTCACTCTTCAGTGTTGTTGTTATTTTTTTTTTAAGGTATTGCACTTCCTTAACAAATTTTTTGGTGATGGGAGGATTTGCACTTCTCGCCAAACCAGCAATGTAAGTTTAATCTGTTGTTGCAGTAATTTTTGAAAGCTTGTTGAATGACCGATACCACTGTGTGTAGATCCATTAGTAGGCACTACTGCAGTGTGCATTAATGCTGCATAGTGCCACCTAAAGAAGAGAATAGCTTCCACATTCCTAAAAATTTGGTGCTTAACTTGGCCAGACTGGTGCTTCCTCTGGATTCCTCTCTTCTTAAATGACAGCAAAAGCCGTGAAGTGTTTCTTTGTCTGCTTCCTAAATGTTCTGACATTCATATTTGCTGTGGCAACGGGTTGAAGGTGATGCCTGGGTGTTTTCGATAGGCCAGTGATGGTAGGAAACCATCAGGAAAAGGCATGTCATCTAGTCACGTCATTATGCAATCAGTGCATGCCATGGAATACTTAATAGTTTTAGGGCACAGTCCGAGGCCTCTTTAGACATGACAGCTTAGACTATGCTGTGAGTTGTAGGTTGCTTTTCTGTTCTCAACTATGCACAGGATTGCACCCTTGGCAGCTTTTCAGCTTAAAATGTTCTCAGAGCAACTGTCAGATGAATTTTTAGTGCATTTTAGAATGCTATGAAAACAATCACTATGTGGAGATCTACAAATTTTGACTTGGTTGCCAGGAAGATGACTGGCCTCTCCCTGTCTCCAGGCCATTACACAGATACCTGTATCCAGCCAGTCTCTCTCCCAAGTACTAATTCCAGAACTAAGGCAGGTATATACCACAAACCTGTTGAACCTCAGACCCAGAGGCTAAATCCAGCCTGCCTGAACTTGCATGGCTCAAAGGATTATGCCCCTTTCCTTGACCCCACCAATTTTCCTCTGATCACCAATAATTTGGTGATCTCCTAGCTTTTGTGCACTTTTCCCCCATCCTAAAAAACTGAAATGCTTCCCCATATGCAGTAAGAGCTCGAAGCTAAAATACAGCTGATAGTTTTGCCTCTGCCCCCTTTTGCCTTCACTCCACCCTCTACTGGAATCTGGCTTATATGAAATTGTTCTTCATCGTGGCCTCTGTGCATCACACATTATGGGTGGTGTGCCTGTGCAGTGCCTGTAGCTGGAAAGATTTAAAGCTTTAACGGTGTTGGTGGGAACTCTGTGCCCCTCCCCCCATATAGTATAAAGGGCAGATTCCCCTCCATTTCCCCAGTCTTCTTGTGACCACTGTTTCACTGTGCCTTGAGCCTTTTGCTGCCTCTCATAGCTATATTTACCGTTGTTTCTATAAACCCTTTCATTTGCTATTTTTCTTGTTGTTATGATCTCCTTTCCAAGTTGTTACTACCTAATCCCCCCCATTTCTAGAAAGTTTTCCCCCTTTTCCCCCTTCCCTTTCCTCATTATATATATTAAAAAACCCCTTCTATTGTTTTTCTTGTTACATCTTTCTCTCCTTTGCTATCCTCTCCTTTCCTTGATGGCTCAGCAAGCAGCTTTTTGCAAGTGCTCCAAGTCTGAGGCTAAAATGTCCCCCACTGATCTGCACGACCTGTGCCTTCTTTGCTTGGGGGAAGGCCACAGGACTGATAAGTGTGGCCATTGCCAGTATTCACGAGGCAGGCCCGTAAGAATCAATAGAACCGCTTGTGGAAAATCTTGTGGGACCAGGCTTTGGTCGCCTCTGATCAGCTCGCAGCTGAGACCGTGCCAGTGGGCCCATCTGTGGCTGCTCCTTCTCCTCGTCCATCGGCTGATGGTATGATTCCAACAGAGGCCAAATGCTCCTCTCATTCTCCTCACCACAAACAAAAGGAGAAGAGGAAACATGTTGGCCGATGAGCCTTTGGCTCCTAAAAAAGCCAAGAAAGACAAGGCTGACAAATCGGCGTGCAAGCAGAAAAAGCTTGCCAAGCTTCCACAAGGAGACTTGGGTTTGACCACGCCCTCAGTTCTGACCGCTGTCTTGATCCTGACACCGACCTGTCCGAATATCCAGTTGGTCATGCAGTTGACCCCGTCTGGGACTCCTCAGAGGATCATCCTCTCAGCCCTGTCTACCCTGGACCACTTGGAGGCTGTTGTTAGAGGGTCCATGTCTGATGATGAGATCCAGGACTCACCTCCTTGATCCCAGACTGGACTGCCATCGGCACGTTCGCCAACTCCAATGCCGACTTCTCCCAAGGCTTCTCTGAGGGCTCCACCTCAGTCGCGGACCTGTCAGCAATAGCACGCTCCAAGTCAGCCAGCACTGGGTGCCAATGTCCTGCGGTGACTTCAAACCATCCCAGTAACATCCATGGGACTACTACCCACCATACGCATACTATCCAAGGCCTTCCGTGCGCCCTCATCTCTCTATGCCTCGCCCGGTTCCGAGAGACTCTCCCTTGACATCAGTGGCTGCTCTCTCCAGGCCTCCTCCTTCTCCAGTTGTTTCATCCTCCGGTCCCCTGTATCATTACGATTCAGATTCGAAGGACTTGGAACAGGCATCCACCTCACCAGATGCGGTCATCTCCACCCAGGGTTCCGGCTCTCTGGAAGAGTCCTACTCCATCTTCAGAGAACTGATGGCCTGACTAGCCAGTCACTGAAGATCGAGGTACAACATTGCTTCAATCTCAGCACTAACAATTTTTACGACATTGTCAGGAAGGAACAGACTCCTGCCATCTCCTTGCTGCTTATTACCACTCTTCAGCGAGCCATGACTGATACCTGGCAGTTTCTGAACCAGCCACACCCAACTTCTTGATGGTTCGAGTCAATGTATAAGGTTTGGGAACAGGACATCCCATTCCTTTTGAAACACCCCAGACTGAACTCGATTGTCATCAAGTCCTTCCAAGGTCAGGAACATAAGGAGCACTCTACTAAGTTCATCAAAACAAAAAAATGTTTAGATGACCATTCTCCAAAATATTTTTCCGTTGCTGAGGAAAGAGGATTGGTTTGCATCTCTGGACTTGAAAGATTCTTACTTTCATATTAGCATCCACTCTGCTCATAGGCGTCTGCTCCAATTCACAGTTGGTGCCAATATATTTGAATACAATGTTCTTCCCTTCGGACTCGCCACCACTCCAAGGATCTTCACCAAGTGTATGGCTCCTGGGCATCCATGTTTACCCTGACTTTGATGACTGGCTGATCGTCTCCTCAGGAAAGGCCTTCTATTAGCCATCGATACCACATGTTCCCTCCTTGACAAACTTGGACTATGTATTAACATTGAAAAATCCTGCCTTGTTCCTTCACAGGTCATCAGCTTCATTGGATCTCACTTTGACTCACTTCACACCCGAGCCTTTCTCCCACAAGCTCGAAAGGACAAGCTACGTTCCTCCATCCATCAGATTTCCATGCATTGGACTGTTTCCATGCTGTCCATACAGAAGCTGCTTGGACATATGGCCTCCATGGTCTTGGTGGTTCCCAATGCCAGACTGTGGATGAGACCATTACAGCTGTAGTTCAGTTATCTCTTCTACCCACAGCACGACTGACCTCATTGCCTTCTTCAACTGCCTGCCTCCATTCTTCGGACTCTGTCATGGTGGACAGTGGAGGACAACCTCTCTGTCGGGGTCCTGTTTCGACAGCACCAGCCGGCCCTGACACTCTATACCGATGCTTCCCTTACAGGACAGTGAACACACTGTTCCGACCTCTGCACTCAGGGTGCTTGGCAGGGACATGAGACCTCCAGACACATCAATTATCTGGAACTTCTGTTAGTCTTCAAAGCCCTCTGGTCCTTCGAGAATATCCTTCGGGACCGAGTCATCCAGATAGCTTCAGACAATGTGGTTACATTGTTTTATATCAACAAGCAGGGTGGCACAAAGTCTGCCCTGCTGGCTTATCTTGCCCTCCATCTATGGGACTGGTGTATTCCGAGAGGGATCACTCCTCTTGCCATTCATCTTGTTGGAATGAGGAAGCGGACTCTCTCAGCAGACGCATGTCAACAACTCATGAGTGGAGTTGGATTGCTAGATCTGCCGACATTTCTTCCAACTCGGGCCCACCAGACATAGATCTGTTTGCCACCCACACCAACTCAGTCTGCACAACTTATTGCTCGTGCAGTAAGTTGGGCATTGGTCCAAACTCAGTCGGAGATGCACTGATGGTTCCCTGGACAAACAAGTTCTTCTATGCTTTTCCTCCAATACCTCTAATCACAAAGACTCTAGCCAAAATCAAGTAAGACGATGCCCAAGGGATTCTTATCACACCTTGGTGGCCCTGTCAACAGTGGTTTCCCACCATTCTCCACCTCTCCAAGAACACTTTCCTTCATCTTCCATGGATTCCACATCTTCTCACTCAACAAAGCGGCACCATTCAACATCCAGATCTACATTCTTTGAACCTTACAACCTGGCTCATTCGATAACTAATGCTGTCTCATCAACACCACCAACCTGTCAGATTGGACACCTCTTTTGCAGCCCTCCGACATGACCGTCCATTGGTTTCGACATTGTGTACCTTGTTCTTCGTCGAATCCGGACTCTTTCCATCCTGACATACAGTTTATTCTTCAGTCTGCTCTAAGACCAGCTACTCATCACTCCTGTGAAGCTAAATGGAAGCGCCTTACTTTGTTCGCATTAACCAACCAATTTATTCTTCACTTAGCCTCAATTGAGAACATTTTACAATTTCTCCTGTCTCTACACCAGAATGGACTTAAGCCTTCTTCTATTAAAGTTTATATCACTGCTATTTCACATCATCGTGGCTCCATACCTGGCTCCTTGGTGTTTTCACACTTTCTTGTTTGTTGCTTCTTAAAAGGACTACAGAACCTCCAACCACCAGTTTGCTTGGTGGTACCGATGTGGAGTCTTTCAGCAGTTCTTCAGGCTCTTACCAAGCCTCTGTTCTAACCACTAGCCACTATGGATTTACGTCTTTTATCCTGGAAGACGGTTTTCCTTATAGCCATTACTTCAGCCAGGGAGGGCTAATGAACTCTGCTTTACAAATCAACCATCCTTATCTCAACTTTCACAAGGAGAAAGTTGTTCTTCGTACTTACCCGACCTTCCTTCCTAAGGTCACTTCGCCTTTCCACAACAATCAAGATACCATCTTGCCAGCATTCTTTCCTAAACCCTCGATGCCGATAGAACATTCTCTACATTCACTTGATGTCTGACGCTGTTTGGCGTTCTGTCGATCCCGGACTGAGTCTTTCAGGAAGACTAAATGCCTTTTCGTCAAATACTCTGAACACAACAAAGGGTCTCCGATTACTTCTCAGAGACTCTCTAAGTGGATCATTCAAATTATTGAACTCTCCTATCGTCTATATAAGTTGGACTTACCTGTGCTGCCTAAAGGACATTCCACAAGGTCTGTTGCTGCTTCTTCTGTTTTTTCTGCCAGCATTCCACTGCATGACATCTGCAAGGCAGCTACCTGGGCTACCCCTTGCACGTTTACCAAGCATTACCGACTAGACATTCGGGCCAGGCAAGACTGCTCTTTTGGCCGTGCTGTCCTCTCCTCAGTTCTTCAGTGATGACACCATCCCGCCTCCAGGTGTAGTAAGCTTACTGATCACCCATAATGTGTGATGCACAGAGACCACGATGAAGAAAGACAGGTTGCTTACCTGTAACTATTGTTCTTCGAGTGGCCATCTGTGCATTCATACAACCCACCCGCCAGCTCCACTCAGTGTTGGTGACTAGGTTGATAGGAATTACTTTTTCCTTTGTTCTTCCACATGGTTTCTACCTGTATATTATAGGTATATATTATATATCATATGCTGCTTTACTTGAGCATTCCTATCTGCTCTGTCATTTACTGTGAACTTGTTTTCACTGATTCCACCTGGGGGTGAACGGATGGTCTACAGTAGAGTGGGGAAATGACAGACACTCTGCCCTTTATACTATACAGGAGGAGGGGCGCAGAATTTCCGCCAAAACCGTTAAAGCTTTAAATCTTTCCGGCTACAGGCACTGCTCAGACGCAGCACCAATAATGTGTGAATGCACAGATGGCCACTAGAAGAATGACAGTTACAGGTAAGCAAACTGCCTAATTTGGCCCTCCCACTGAAAGAGATGTGATATATTTCAGATATATACTGAAATAGACTCACACAGAAAGCCTGCCTGCTCTCTCCACATTCCAGAACATACACACAACCAGTCCAGCCCACCTTGCCCCTCATTCCAGCTCACCTAACACTGCTGCATACTATACTGATGCCTTGTTCTTGTATTGGTTAGCCTCCGCTAAGTAAACTAAGGTTCTGAGATCTTAGTTCCTACTATGGGGTGATTGTAGGGCTATGAGGCATTCCAAAGTAACTAGCTGTGAATTCGCCTACCACCAGTCTCCAAAGCAATTCCCTGCCCAAGCAAGGCAGGAGCACAATAGTTGCTGCTATGGAAACCAAACCTGGGGAATGAGCTGGATGACAGATACTGGGGAAACCCCAAGCTTCTCTATCCATGCCAGTGAACTTCTGCAACCAGCCCCTTGCCCAAACACTGCTGCTGATTGGTAGCTGGCAAGAGAGTTTGCAGGTTGACTTTGGTGAATGTTTTAAAATATGAAGGCAATGCTTTGAACTCAGACAGAAGAAATGAAGAAAATTACTTTTCTTAATCTTTATTTGCTTTGTCTGGCAACGAGCCTGAAATGTTGAAGCCCTGTCCCACAGCTTACCCATTCACAAGTCTCCCATCAGCCTCCCTGCTTGTGTTTCCTCTGCAGCCTAGCAGAGCCTAAAGGCTGATGTTGTAAGAGAAGTGAGGAAGCAAGGATGAGGACTGAATTTGCTGCTTTTCAAGAGTCCGTCACCAGAACGGGAGCAGCAGCCTTTATGGTGATCAGATTAGCTGAGCTGTGTTAATACACAGTACATAACTGAATAGCATTTGAAAAGACATTAAAAGCAGTAGCTTCCTATGTGCTCCTTCCATATCCACACCTTTTCTACTCAAGAGTGTGCAGGCCTGTTAGTCTCCTTTCTTCCATCCCACCACACTTGTTAGTGTAAGTGCATAGGAAGCTGTCTGATACTGATTCAGATCATTGTAGTATTAGTTTGTCTAGTTCTGTCAAAACTAACTGGCACCAGCTGTTTATGGCTTCAAGCAGGAATCTTTGCCAGCCCAGCTTGGAGATACAGGAATTGAAGATGGAACTTTACCCCTACCACTTAAGTACAACCCTCTACCCTAAGTATCTAAGGTGCATGTCCTTGCAGTAACCATTGCCACTCCCGTTTTTTTACTTTTTTCCTTTCTCAGATGAATTCCAGAAACAAAGGTTGTTTGCTATTCTTAAAGGAGCCTTGGAACTATTGAAAAAGCCTTTGAAGATGTGATTGTGAAGCACCAATGCTTTGCTAAATGTGGAGTAGGAAAGGATTCTTCCAATTAAAATGTGTACACTGATAGAAACGGATTTAATGGGTGACCAAAGGTTTGGCCTAAATCCTGGCACAGACAATGGATCTTTGAGAAGCACTGATAACTTGTGGATAATAACATCCACAGGGCCCTAGGTTACTATTGTATGTAGTAATGAGGCCTCATGTGCTAGTTAGTGTTTTATTAGGTAGCTCCATTCTTATTTTGTGTGTTGAAAGCCATTGAAGTGTTTTAGCCATTTGTTCCATTAAGAATCTCAAAGGATGCAGGAATGTTTCTGCAGATAATAGTTATATGTTTAGAATGACTGATTCAGGCAGCGAGATCTTTTCTGCAAGATACTAATGTCAGTGGTTAATGATATCAGATGGCCCTTTGTGACTATTCCTCTGTATAGTAATCCCTCTTAAAAGGGACGAAGAAACTCGCCAGGACTCTGCATTTTGAGGCAACTTTGCAATACTTCCTTTGAGATATTACCTGAGACTTAATCTTATGATAGTTCCAATACTCCTTGATGCTTGTGTGTTGTGACTTCTAAGGGTTGATCTCAAAGCACTTTAAAAATGCAAACTATCCAGATGGTTAGTTTTGTGGCTGGGAGCAGGAGGAGTGCTCTGATGAAAAGGGCACTTTTTTCAGGCTGGTTAGGAAATGAGACATTGTCAAACTAGGCAAAGTATCTGTGTTTGATGCTTCTCTGGCAGCCTCTTGCTAATCATGTAGAGTGGTCCTGCTGTTTAGTTCCCTGAGCTTCTCCTTTGTTCACAAAGCTTTGATTTGTCATCTCTGTCTCGCTCGTTCCTTTCCGAATTTCCACCTTAACTTACTTCATAACTGTATAAATACAGTGATACTTAAGTGTGTAGTTGTAGTCTTAGCAATGCAGAAGAAGGCGAAATGCAAAAAAAATATTCTGTATTGTATCTTAGTATATCCTTTGAACAAACTTTTTACTACTTCGATCTTACTTCATCATGAAAAATCATACTGAGAACTGAATAGATTCCTTCTGTTTTGGAGGCATGATGATACAGTTTCCTGGGGAAACACAGGCATGTCAGCAGCATGAGTTGAAACAAGTGTCAGCAAGAAACATTAATTTCTGCATTTAGTTCCTGGTAGAGCCATGCTGCTTCTAATAGATAAACACATTGGGCTGCAGCCAGAAAAAAATGGTTGTGGTTGGGGTCCCTTGAAATCAATGTTAAAAAGTTAATCCTAACTAATTTAAGCTTCAGTACTTTCAAGTGAGAGTTAAGTGGCTTTGACTCCAACCTGTTCTGTTTCACCATTGTCATAGCTGATGCAAAAGATTGTAATCTATATCCTGGAACAAAGAATTCTCTGAAGATCTATTATGTATTCATAGGTAGGGAACTTCAGGCCCAGGGTAAAATCTGGCCCCAAATTCCCCCTTCCCATGGCCTCCAGTCCTTTCCTTCAGCCACTGATGGGTGGTTTCCCAATTTTTAAAGTCTTTTCACATTCTAAAAGGTTAAGCTGCCTCTCCTAAGGCTTAGTTGCTGCCAGTGAAAAGATCGAAGCTATAATATGCTTCTGTATAACTTGAAATGCCTGAGTCTGCCTAATCTTGAAAGCTAAGCAGGGTTAGGCTTGGATGGGAATCTTGGGTCCTGGATAGGGCAGGGAGTTGGACCCAGTGGCCTTCTAGGCTTCTTCCAACTGTATGATTCTATCATGTACTGGCTTCATCACTGGTCCCACCAATCACTGAACTGGCTCTTTGGCTGGAAGAGGGCCTCACTCCTGGGATTTTCTGTTTCTGAAGCCAAGCAGATCAAAGCCTGTTAGATGCATAGACAGTGGATCACCTGGGAACCACATGTGAGCTGCTGTGAGCTTCTCAGAGGAAGAGCAGTATAATCAGAGCTTTTTTTGTCATAGAACGCACCAGAACAGTGTTCTGGCACCTTTTTTTGACAGATTTTTCCATGTGATTGTGAATTGCCCTGTCGGGCATAGCAGGTCGGCAGCAAAAAGCATTAAAATAGTGCCTGTGGGCTGCGTGTGTGTCGGCGCTGCTCGGGAGGGTGCTGTTCGGCTCGGGAAGCTGCTCAGCTTGGGATCGGTGGTGTGGTCGCGCGCTCAGTGCTTACTGCCAGTGGCAACCATTATGTTTATGTGTGTGTAGAGTGACTGACCCCAAGAGGTGAGTTCCGGTACCTTTTTTTTTTTTTTTTTTACAAAAAAAACACTGAGTATAATAAATAAATAGCTTCTTAAAATAAATCTGTTACACACATTGAAACCTATAAAATGATTACCAATCATTCATATTTCACAATAGGATGAACTTTTCATGTTTCTTAGGTTTGCTTCTTTTAAAAAAAACTGAGTTTCTCATTTAAATAGTAATTTCTGTGTTTTTAATACTGAAAGCATTGCCAAGGTGCTAATACATGTGCATCTTTTTTATAGGGATTTCTTAAGCAAAAACCAGGCATTACTTAAGGATCTGTCGGAGACAAATGAGGAGGTTTATCCATTAGTGGAAATGCTAAATGCTCTGTTTTTCTTGCCAGTCAGACGACTTCATAATTATTCTAGAGTTTTGTTAAAGCTTGCTACATGCTTTGAAGTGGTAAGTTGTGTTTCATTAAGTAGAAGATAATTTGGTGTTTGCTTTTAATTCTTTAATTTACTTCATGGTTAATGCAAAACATGTCTTTTAAATGCTGTTATTCCTGTTATGGCGGCTATGGTATTTTACCTTTCAGTGTGTATATACCTGAATATACAATGAATTGAATACAATGCTTTGTATTGGGATGAGAAAAATGTAGGCAAAAGCAAAACTGAATTCTTTTTACTATGTAACTGACTAATCATATGGTCCCTGGGAGAGCATCCCAGGGACCACAGGATGTGTCTGATTCCCCCTCCCACGGGCACAAACATTCCTGTGACCTAGTAGTGGGACGGGGACATCTGGGCATACTCCTTCCCTTTGGCCTATCTCCTCATAACTGCCATAAAAATCTCCACAGTGGCTGCTCCTTGGAGATGAGCAGGAAAGGGTAGTGGTGGGGAGGACAGGATGCTGCCTCTGCATACTTGTCCCTGATCACTGCCACTAAATCAGTAGGAAAACAAATTATGGATGAAAGGGAGAATACGCTATATTCTCCCGTCAGGGCACAGGATAGAGAGAAGATCCTGATCTTGTAACCCTCTGTCTGTTGAAAAAGTATTTAGACCTTTTTTTTTTTTTTTTTTTTTTTTTTGCTTCACAAGGTGGGAAGTTGTTTCAGTGGATAAAATATAATATTTTTAAATACCCTTGAGATTGAGATGTTTTATTTGTATGGGTCTGAGCTTTTGAGTGCCTGCAGCTATGATCTATAAGAAAGTTAATCAGCATTAATTATATTGTTTATTGTGAAGTAGCAGCCCTCAGTTTAGTGGAACTACTGCAATTAAATGGATTTCTTCTTGTGCATGATCACTTGCTTAAATACCCATGTGCTAACCCTATCTTTGTAGCACTTGCCTTTTCCAGAAATGGTTCCAAGTAAACTGATTCATGCATTGCATGCTAAGCAGTGGCTTGTATTTCATAGTCCCTTGGGAGAAGCCACACCAAAGAACCTTTCATGTTTGAGCTACTTCACACAGTCTGTAATACTTAGTACTGCTTTAAAAGTGTGTTTTCATTGGCAAAAAGCATGGTGCAGAGGGCCCACCCAAAAAGGTTACAACTAGTGAGGAGCAAATTTACCCAAACAGAAACTGTAATTTGCTCGTCAGGTTTTTAATTTCTCTGTCTAATCCTGAATGGAAGTTCTCCTTTTCCAGAATTCTTATTTTGTGTATACCAAAGCACCAATTTCTTTATTGGTCACCAGCCAGGTACCCAAGCCTGCATTGCACCCCAGTCAACCTCATCTTCCTTGAAATGTCATGCATGCATGTCTTAGCAACTGCTGCGCTCTTCAAATATAGGATTTCAACAAGTAAAATTTCCTGAAATGGTCATACAGCCAGCCCATATGATATGCCCTGGCATTACCATATGACCAGTCCAGGAAGTACTTGCTGGGCTTGAAAGTAAAGGCACCAATCATGAAAACAGGTTTTCCAAAGAAGTAGAAGCTTTAGGAAAGTACCTTTTGTGCCTGAGCAGTGTAGCTGTCTTCAGATAGATTCTTTCAGCTTGGCTGGGATGTGTCACATGAGCTTTGTAGAAAGTTTAGGGAATCATAATCAGTTTGGATTTACATAATGAAATTCATCAGATAGCCATCTAAACTTGATTCCAGTGCAAACATTACAAACAGTGCCAGTTCAACTTGTGAGGCACCTAAGTCTGAATTTTGTGGTATCACTAGTTATAATCCTTATATGATGGAAACTCAAAAAGAAGTTGTGGGGGTGGGGCTTTGTAGATCAGCCTTTTTAAAAGAGACCACAGCTTGGAAACACTTGTTTGTAAGTCAGTGTAGTCATTTGACCTAATGAACCTCATGTGCTCCCAATCTGTTTCAAGAGAGCTGCAAAACTTAGGAACTTGTAAAATGTAAGTACTGCCAGAGTTCTAGCCTCAATTCATTGAACTCTTTCAATGAAGGCTCCCAATGCATTACCAGAGCACGAGTGCTACACAAAATAATTTTATTTACCTATTATTAATACCACTGAATTCTTAAATACCTGTTTTCCTAATACTGCTATTTGAGATAACTGTAATAAAGCATTGAGAAAGTTATGGGGAACAGTCAAATTTTATTTGCTTCTCTTTTGTAGACCTCTCCAGAGTACCAAAGTCTTCAGGATTCCAGTTCTTGTTATGAAACCCTGGCTGTCCATCTTAGCAGGAAAAGAAAAGAAGCTGAATATACACTTGGCTTCTGGAAGACCTTTCCTGGGAAAATGACAGTATGTAGTCTGTTTGCAATACACTCAGCTACCACAAGCATTGCACTGCAGGGTTCCACTGGTCCTTCAATGAAGACAGAGTAGTAGTTTCTTCCATTTCCTTACACTTCCAGTTTCTGGAAGTTACACTTCCATATTTATCCAATATGTCCCAGTAACAGTCTGTACTGCCCTTGTAATACAAGTAAATCTAAGCCATCTGGGATGTGTGGCTGATCTCCAAATAAAGAGGACATTATTAGTCACTTGTCAAGCTCTTTAGTTTGCTAGAAGAAAAGAAGAGTCATGCTGGGTCAGACCAAGTGTCCATCTAGTCCAGCATTGTTTGCCCACAGTGGCCAACCAACTTCCACAGGAAATCCACCAACAGACCGTGTGTGCAGCAGTACCCTTCCACCCAAGTTGCCCAGCAACTGATGTACATGGATACACCTCCGCACTGGAGGTGGTGTATAGCCATCAGGAACAATAGTCATTGATAGCCTTATCTTCCATGAATCCATCTATTATTTTAAGTCATCCATATTGATGACCACCATTATATCTTGTGGAAGTAAATTCTATAGTTAAGCTCTGTGTGATGAAATACTTCCTTTTATTTGTCCTGAATCTCCCACCAATCTGCTTCATGGAGTGTCCCCATGTTCTGATACTATGAGACAATAAAATTGCCTCCCTGTTCTGTCATGTCTCGCCTCACTTGCCTTTTTTTCCTAAACAAAATAAACTCTGCTGCTTTAATCTTTCCTCATAGGGGAGTTGCTCATTTTAGTTGCCATTTTTGCACCTTTTTACAACTCTACAATATCTGTTTTTAGGTGCAATGGCCAGAACTGTTGTACTATAGATTTGTAGAAGGGGAGTACAAACTTTTTATTTTTAATTCCTTTAGTAATTATGCCTAACAAAAGGAATTTGTCTTTTACAGCATCTGCACACTGGGCTGACAGTTTATTAATCTGTCCACTGCAATCCCAAGATCTCTTTCTTGATCAGTCAGTCTGCTTATACTTGAAGAGCCCCAAAACACATCACTTTATACTTGCCTACCCTGAAATGCATGTGCCATTTTGATGTCCATTTTCAAAATGGCAAATGTGATTTAATGTAAGCAAATTTCTTTCTTTTTCAATTACAGGATTCCCTGAGGAAACCCGAGCGGCGATTAATTTGTGAAAGCAGCAATCGGGGACTTTCACTGCAGCATGCTGGGAGGTTCTCAGTGAACTGGTTCATTCTCTTTAATGATGCCTTGGTCCATGCTCAGGTGAGCTCTCACTAGGCACCCAGGACTTAATTTTCTGTGTCTAGAAAAGACAGTAGTCATCATTGTCTCATCAGACAAGGGTACATGGCAGTCATCATTTTAGTTCATTCCACCATAAAGAAATATGCAGCATCTGTCAAAGAATGTGTAAAAGGAGTAGTAATTGAGGAATAACAGGTGACCATTGTGCCTAGTATGGGTGATGTGAACTTTGGAGCCAGTTCTATGTAAGTATTCCCTTGAATCCATGCCAGGCCACTTTCTACTGAGATTTCAAAGCACAATTCAGAAACAGATCTCTCTTACTCTCCTCTGTCCTAAAAGCAGTGTTGGTTACCCTTCACTACTCTTAGCTTTTAGAATGTTTATGTTGTAGTTCTTTCAGTCTTCATCATGTGTTCCCTCCAAAAATATAAAAAGTCAGGACATAATGTAACATTGCTTTGGCAGAGTTTTATTCCAGTCTCTGCTGGGAAAATGCAAAAACTTACAATTGGGATAGATCAATACTGTCATTTTATGTTAAGAGTTGTGATGAATAGGACCCCCCTCCCTTTTTGGTATAGATATACAGCCTGCCATACAAATTGAACTTGGGGGTTTTGCAATCAGAATGGTGCTTCAGAACTCTTGAAGTTGGAGTGGGCAACTTGTAGTCCTCCAGAAATTTTGGACTCCCATCAGCCCTAGCCAGCATAGCTAAGAATGAGAGATGATGGGCATGTAGGCCAAAGTAGCTGCAGGGCTGCTAGCTGAACTCCACAACTTTTAAAGATGCAGGCCATTGCTGGACATTCTAGCAGCATCTCAATGTCAGCAATCTGATTCAATTCTGTTGTCTTCCTAAAGGAAAAAAGTGAAGAAAGGATTTACACAATGAGTAAATATGAAACACAAGCACTTTTTGTGTTTTTTGTTTGTAGTTCTCAACTCACCATATTTTTTCCTTGGCCACATTGTGGGTAGAACCTGTTTCAGAAGAGCCTGGGAATATGTAAGTATTTCTTGGTTGCCCTCATACAGAATGTGTTCTTTTTTAGAAATATTTTTGCACTCCATTCCTGTTATATTCTTATCTCTCATGCTACTGAACTAAAACCCTTTAAAACCAGCAATTTTCTTACGATTAATGAGGTAAAGCTGTAGATTTGCCTCATTTTGAGTATATATTGGCTGGTGCAACAAATCTTGCAACTGCAAGAATCCCTATTTTGGGGTTGGGGTTTAATTGGGTAAAGGATATCTACTTTACCCAGTTGCCTGAAGAAAAGGGAAAAAGTACTATGTGAGTCTGCACATTTGCATGGTATAAATTTTGGCTGTGCTTGCTGCAATTCAAAATTCAGCTATTTGAAACTTGGGGTTTTATCCAATGGTATCTTTCCACCAACAGAACAGACTTTTGCCGATAGACTGAATTTATGTTTTTCCCCCACAAACTTCTCAAAATTGCTCTAGAGGATCGGAGGATGCTCTGGGAGGAAAGAAGGAAATTTCTCTTGATTTAAAACTTCCTATATCTGTTCTTTCCCCTGTATTAGAAATGGCTTGAAAGTCACTACACCTGAAGAACAGTTCATTCTTATTTCCTCAACACCACAGGAAAAGGTAGGCAGAGGCAGCCTTGTCTTTCCCCCCATGCCGCTTGCCAGGTGAGCTAGTGACAGAAGTTGCTTCTTCACTGCACAGACCTTGGGGGCCAAATGTAGCCCACTACCACTCTCTGCTGTGAGCAGAGCTTCTAGATGCCCCCACAGCTCAGCTCAGCTGGGGGAGCACCAGATTGCATGTGCAGCCCCCAGGACAAACCGTGGGTTATGTGAGCATGTTTAATTCCTATGTAATGTACACCTGCTAGGTTTGCATGACATCCCAGTCCCTGATTGGGGCGTGTATATTCAAAGTGGCAGCCGCAAGTTTTGCAGCTTCACTGTGCGTTAAATAACTCGAGATGGGTTGTTGTATCATGGAAACAGCCCCACTGTGTGATGTATAACATCCTGCCTTGGGGCAGGGTTGGATTAGATCACTGTTCTTCAGACAGTGGCATGTGATTCACATCTGAACACTGCCAATTCAATCTTTTAATTATTGATTTAAGTTGTATAATTAGGTTAGCTGGTTTCCTTAAGAGGGGGAAGGTATGGTAGAAGTGATATAAATTGTGGTAGTGGTGGAATTGGGTCTGCATTACAGATAGAAGTTAATATGAGATCTCGTATCTGAAAAAGCACTGGCTTAACTTCTGCAGACCTATAATTTTTATCATTTGTTGATTTCATGTCACCAAGGGATTTGTGAGACAAACTCCAGATGATTCCTGCAATCTTCCAATAAGAGTAGCTAATGAGAGGAAATGGGGGACACAAAGTGTAGGCATGTCTTTGAATTTATTTTACTGCCATTGTTTCAGACTAAGTGGTTGAAAGCTATAAGTCAAGCTGTGGATCAGGCCTTAAAAGGGACATCTGATTTGCCTCTTTATGGGGGCAGTGGAAACGTTCAGAGGCAAGAGCCCCCTATCTCACGGAGTGCCAGATACACCTTTTACAAGGATCCTCGGCTTAAGGATGCCACTTATGATGGTCGATGGCTTTCTGGGAAACCACATGGCAGGTAAAACTGTTTTTACGTTACATGCCAATTTGATAAGACTTAAACCTGTAGCAGAAAACCAGCAAAAGAGATCATGTAAACAACTTCTTAAATCCAGTAAAACAGACCAGCATGTATCAAAAGCCTCTAATCAGGTGCTCACTTGATCCTGAGCTCTACAAACTAGCCCGAACAGCCTGATAGCTTTTGAAAATTGTAAGAGTCTTGCATTAAAATGTCATGATGTTTCAAATGAGGAGCTTGGCTAACCATGGTGCTTTGTATATTTCAGAGGAATTTTGAAATGGGCAGATGGAAGGATGTATTCAGGCATGTTCAGACATGGCCTAGAAGATGGGTAGGTGCAAGAAGCTGAGCCAATATGGGGCTGAGGAGGGGAGGCTTGTTCATAATTAAATATGCATTTATCACCTGTAATGTGCTAGATGATCTGCCTTTCACTGGAACATGTGTCTTTTATTTTAACTAGCCATTTTTATTTTAACTATCCAGTGGGTGTTTTGGTATCTTGTGAAACTGAGTCACTGTACCTGATTGCTTGTAGTATAGAAGTCAATCCTGTACTGGCCCGCTTTCCATTTTAGTTTGTTTTGGCCTTGGCCAAATGGGTGTGCATGTTATCAATCCATATGGTGCTTTAAAATATATGCACAGTCCATGTGTAGCTCTGACTCTTCGACTGTAGCAGCTCTTTGCAGCTAATGCTGTTAAACATGAAAAATCTTACCCAACTACAGTACAGGACATAAAGTTAGTCTGAGACATAAATGGCCATGTCAAGTTTAAAAGAGTGACTTCCAGTGCAATATCTTGAATTCCTAAGCCTTTCTTCTGGAGAAACTTTATTAAAAATAATCTGGTCTGGGCTTCTAACATTCTCCATTCTGCCTTTTGCCTATATACTCCCATTGTCATCCACTCTTTTGAGCCTTACTGTCATTCCGTTAACTCTTCCAAAAATGAAAAAAGCAACACTCTGCAACTATGTTTGCAACTAGATTCTCTCTCCCTCTCCCAGGTCTAAAATAATATACCTTGAATATTTACAGTAACTATAATACCTGACTATTGTGGTAAGGGACATCTAGAGCAGACAAAGCATGATAGGTTGTTGGCTTTAGTTTTTGTGGGGTTGGTCCTGTGCTTAGAACTTAGGAAGGAGGGGGGGCTGGCGTGGTAAGATGGCTAGCAATGTCCCCCTTAACTTCTTGCCATTACTAATACTGCTGAGTGAGGGCAAGTGAACATCCCACACTTACGCTTTATTTGTATGGGAACTGAGGGATCACCATCTAAACCCCTGGTTTGGTCCAACATCACCCCTTCCTACCTCTCAATAACTTAATGGCTGTAGAACAAGAATGAGGAACTTGTGGCCTTCCAGCTTGGCCAGTGGTCAGGCATGATGGGAATTGTGCCCTCCAGAGGTTGATGCACTACAAGTTCCCCACGTCTACTGCAGTGTAACTAAGGTGGTCTGGGCAACATAGTGGGGATTTGGGTGGCACAAGAGTTCAGAGCTCAGGTTCCATATTTAATGCAACTTAGTTAAGAAGCCTATAGAGCAGGGGTCTCAAACTCGCGGCCCAGGAGGGGTGGGGCATGGGGGAGGGGCCCTGCGGCCTTCAAAGCGCCAGTGGTGCCCGGGCCGGCCGCGGGATGAGCAGCCCACCCCCACCGCGGTGGTGGAATACTTGATGCGGCCCAGCCTCACCCAGACTCTACTTCCAGCGGCCCCCAGGTCAGTTGAGTTTGAGACCCCTGCTATAGAGGGAATCAGGAGAATGACAGTGAGTGTTCATGATAAAGGAGATAAAACTGCATACTGGTTTACCTAACACTGTACTGAGCAATTTGTTCTATCAGGCACACATAATTGAAAAAGTTGGGGTCACTTCAGCATTCCGTGGAGTCACTTGATGATTAAGTAGTGACAGAGGAAGGGAGAAAACGTTCCATTTCCTTTGTCAACCGATTAGGAGGGTCACGAATGGCAGTTGAGGGATTCTCCACCAATGGGTGGTGGAATGAGGTAGGGCCCACACAAAAGCAGATAATGTCTAAGGAAAAAAGTGATTGTGTGTTGGGTATGAACAAGTGTGTGAACAACTTTCTAAGTTACCCTAACTTTTTGTTAGGAAATGGTGTTAGTTCTGAGTATTTAAAAAAGTGAATTTGGCATCCTTGTCAAAATAGTGGTCAGTGAGAGTTACTTCAGTGTAGCCTTCTAGGTAAATGTTGGAGATACTTGGGCTGTTACTAAAGTGATGGTTGATCATTGTATCTTTAATACAAAATATGCTTAAGACTTTGGAAAAGAATTTTTTATATAATGATGGCACAAGCGCTTAACATTTACAGTAGTATAAGTGTAGGTTGTGTAATATGACCAGGGCTATTGACACGATCGCTCCTAAGCGTCCTCTCCCACCAGGCAGAGCCCGCTCTTCCCCTTGGTACACTCCTGAATTGAGGGCGATGAAGCAGGTTGGGAGACGGCTAGAGCGTAGGTGGAGGAAATCACGAGATGAATCTGACCGAACACACTTGAGAGCCCACTATCGGGCCTATGCTGTGGCGGTGAGGGCGGCGAAAAAGAGGTTTTTTTTCCGCTTCCATTGCCTCCTCACAATGCCGTCCAGCGGAGCTTTTTCGAGTGGTGCATGGCCTGGTTAACCCAGGTCGGAAAGAAGACCTGGTTACACCCTCAAAGGCCCACTGTGACGACTTTGCCAGGCATTTCAGGGAGAAAATCGCTCAGATTCGTCACGAGCTGGATTCCCCTATTGATTCAGAGGTTTTTGGGGAGACGCCAATGCTGCCGTCTGGTCCAGAATTATTGGATGAATTTCAGTTGTTGCGGCCCGATGATGTGGACAAGGTGCTTGGACAAGTACGTCCCACCACTTGCCTATTGGACCCTTGCCCGTCTTGGTTAATAAAGAATTCCAAGCACGGGACTGGGATCTGGATCTTGGAAGTGGTTAACGCTTCTCTGAGGGAGGGTCGGGTGCCTGCCCCTTTAAAGGAGGCGGTAGTCCGACCGGTCCTGAAGAAGGCATCACTGGATCCAGAGATGGCCACTAACTATAGACCTGTGGCCAACATCCCGTTTCTGGGCAAGGTGTTAGAGCGAGTGGTGGCGGGACAACTCCAAGCACTCTTGGATGAAACTGATTATCTGGACCCATTTCAGTCCGGCTTCAGACCCGGGTACGGTACTGAATCTGCCTTGGTCGCCCTGTACGATGACCTGTGCAGGGAGAAGGACAGGGGGAGTGCGTCCCTGTTGGTTCTCCTGGACCTCTCAGCGGCTTTCGATACCATCGACCATGGTATCCTTCTGGATAGGCTTGCGGGATTGGGGGTCGGAGGCACTGCTTTGCAGTGGTTCCGCTCCTATCTCAACGGCCGGTTCCAGAAGGTGGTGCTGGGGGACTATGGCTCTGCGCCATGGCAGTTATGCCATGGAGTACCGCAGGGGTCCATTTTGTCCCCTTTGCTGTTTAACATCTACATGAAACCGCTGGGAGAGGTCATCAGGAGGTGTGGGCTGCGGAATCATCAGTACGCTGATGATACCCAGCTCTACCTCTCGTTTTCCACCAATCCAGGTGAGGCAGTGGCTGTACTGAACCGGTGCCTGGCCGAGGTAATGGGCTGGATGAGGGCCAATAAACTGAAGCTCAATCCAGACAAGACGGAGGTCCTGTTGGTTGGCGGATCGGGCTTCGGAGAGGGTGAAGTGACCCTTGCCCTGAACGGGGTTGCACTCCCTCCTAGGGACAAGGTCCGCAGCTTGGGAGTGCTCCTCGACCCAGAGCTCTCACTGGAAGCTCAGGTAACAGCAGTGGCGAGGAGCGCTTTCCTCCAGCTTCGGCTGATTCATCAGCTGCGCCCCTACCTGGAGAACGACTGCCTGGCGACAGTGACACATGCACTGGTGACTTCCCGTCTTGACTTCTGTAACGCGCTCTACGTGGGGCTACCCTTGAAGACGGTCCGGATACTTCAGTTGGTTCAAAATAGAGCTGCCAGGCTGTTGACGGGGACTGGGCGTTATGGTCACATGACTCCAGTTCTCCGTCAGCTTCACTGGCTTCCCATTGAAGTCCGGGCCCAATTCAAGGTGTTGGTAATGACCTATAAAGCCCTAAACGGCTTGGGTCCTGGTTACCTGAAGGAACGCTTACATCCATATATGCCCAGCCGCCCCCTGAGATCAGCGGGAGAGGCCCTTCTCTGGGAACCCTCCGGGAAGGAAATTAGGAGGGTAGCTACTCGGAGGAGGGCTTTCTCTGCGGTGGCGCCCAACTTATGGAACACGCTCCCCAGAGAGGTCCGCCTGGCGCCGTCGTTATTTGCTTTTCGGCGCCAGGCGAAAACCTTTTTATTTAAGCGGTATTTTAACTGTTAGTATTAACTGATTTTATCTGGCCAGGGCGGCTTATTTTATATTGTATTTTTTGGATTTTTAATGTTTATATTAATTTATTGTTGTAAGCCGCCCCGAGGCTTCGGTGAATGGGGCGGCATAAAAATGTTTTAATAAATAAAAATAAATAAATAAATAAATAAATAAATATAACATAATTCAGATTGCATATTTAGAGTTAATGGTTGAATGGATTGGTATACCAAGTAGGAAAATGGTTTCTGCATTTCATAATGTATTGTGTAATTTATTAAACCTCTACTTATCTTCTTTGTATATAATCTGCAATAGTATGCGGTAGTTTTTTAGCACTGTCCTATGAATATTTACTCAGAAGTAAATCCTACAGAATTCAATGGGTATATCATGTAATCCTGCAATCATGCACATAGTTTCTGTCTAAATTCGAGGTCTGATGGTAGTAATTAAGTAATTTGAAATTAAGTTTGTTCTTTGGTTTTGACACACAGTTGCTCATATTGGTTGTGTGCTTTTCATTATTGGCAGATATGGTGAATATAAAGTACCAAACAAATTACTGAACAAGAGTGATCGTTACATTGGCTATTGGAAGGAGGGCAAAATGTGTGGACAAGGTATTTACAGGTAAATTGCAGATAACATATGGGTTATTATGAAAGACATGATGTACAGTCAAAGAAAATGTAGCAGTTAAGCTACAATATATATCAAAAGGCTGCTTCATACCAGGTGCATTTCTTGTGTGGAGAGCATGTCCATGAAACATCCATGAGTGACAGGCACTCATGCGAGCATTTCCTTGTCTGAATGGCTGCTGAGATGCTGCAGCTGGCCTTGTCCACACAATGAAAAATCCAAATGTGCACAGATAACTTGCACTACAGCCTACACCCAGGTTTTATATCATTACCTGTAGTCCATACTCTTGCCACACAGAAGTGTTCTCCATGAGCAAATCAGTTTTCTGTCAAGTGTTATAACAATGTGGGACTATCTATCCTATATATTTTCAGATGCCTACCAAAAATGTTAAGATCCATATTGCTATCCACTAATGCTTTTTTCATAGGGAAAGGAAGGGAAGGCCTTAAATAAAGTTGCTACTATTCTGCATGTCACTGCATATGCCATCTCTATATCCATTCTTTTTGGGGGGTCATTCTTTTCAAGAATGATAGTCGAATTTGGTTACCAGTTGTGACCCGATCCCAATTCAAGGTGCTTTTGTTGACCTAATGCCCTAAACAGGTTATGTTTGGGAGTGCCTGCACCCATACGTGCCTACCTGGCCTTTGAGATCTACACAGGGGGCCCTCCTGGGTGAGCCATCCTTTAAGGAGGTGAGAGGGATGGCCACTAAGAGGAGGGCCTTTTCTGCAGCTGCTCCCCATATTTGGACTGCTCTCCCCAAGGAGATTTCCTTAATTTCTTTTCGGCACCAGGCCTTCCTTTTAAAAAAAACATTTTAATAACTAATTGCCGTAGACCTCTGTTTTGTATGTTTTACTGTATTTTATTGTTGTTTTTAATGTGCAATATATTATGGTTTTTATTATGTTTTATTATGCTTATTCCCATGTTGTGAGCTGCCCAGAGGTGCTGTGGCACAATTGGGTGGCATACAAATGCTATAAACAAACAAACAAACGGAATTTATAGGGAAAGGAGGGATACTATGTGTCCCAGAAAATCCTCATGTTCTGTATAGAACAGGGGAAATGCTCTTTGTTTCAGCTATGCCACTGGAGAGGTATATGAAGGGAGCTTTCAGGATAACATGCGTCATGGCCATGGCCTCCTGCGCAGTGGTAAACTGACTTCGTCCTCTCCCAGTATGTTCATTGGCCAGTGGGTGATGGATAAGAAGACTGGATATGGAGTGTTTGATGATATCACAAGGTAAATGGATCCCGGACATTCTAATCTATTACAGTCAATAATATAGTGGGGAGGGAGGGAAAAATTGTGGAGAAAAATGTATTCATGGGTAGTGCCTTTGGTTGTCATGCATTAAAGAGCCTTCTGGATGAAACATTTTAGAAAACAGTAGTCACTTGCGCTTCTAGTTTAATATTGGTAGAGAATATAAAATAACATTTGTTCAATTAAATTGCCTTTCTTTTAACTAAGGGTGGAACAGAGATTTGTTTAGTTCCCATTTTAGTGCAAACCTACCTGATTTGCTATTTCCTAAACAACAGGAAACAAAAATTTTATCAATGAGTGTTTGTGGTTCTTAAAGTTTTGCAATGCAGTTCTCCAATCCAAAGAGTGGATCTGTTAAGGAAAACAATGTGCAAAAATGTATTGTTTAGGGGAAAATGTGTGTGAACATGCAGTCAGAAGTTCCTGTGGATTTTTGCAAAAACGTTTGCATATAGATGCAAAAATGGAATGAAATGAACTTAGGATAGGAAAGAGGGAAAAACCGAATTGACAGATCTCTCCATCCTTGAATTAAACATATTAATTCATATCAAAATAATATTTGATATTTAAATGCATTGTCATGATTGTGTCACATTTATACAGATACTTTTTGACATACTGAGAAAAGCATATAAACTTGAGTGGAGCATAACAGGAAGCAATGCATTCAACTTTTTTTCTGAAAATTTAGATTGCTTTGGACAGTAATGCCTTTTTTATCTCTTCAGGGGAGAAAAATATATGGGAATGTGGCAAGATGACCTCTGCCAAGGCAATGGTGTTGTGGTTACACAGTTTGGACTGTATTATGAAGGCGCCTTTAACAGCAATAAAATGATGGTGAGTTATATGTGGGCCAATGTTCACTGATCATACAGGTGTTCCTAGCAGTCCTCAATCTTCTTTTTCTTTTTGAGTAGCAAAGTATTGAAGTGTGATTGTAGTTAATGGTTGTTTCTATTGGTTTAAACCCAAACTTCCCACAAGCAGATTGCTGCTCATGGGGCACTTCTGCTGGAGGAAAAAGGTAGCAGTTCCCTTTTATTCCCCCTGAAAATCTTCTCCACAGGACTGTGAGGGAACTTTCCAATCCAACATGGAAGGTTGCTCCACGGTTCAGTGGTAAAAGAACTCCTCCCTGCTGCTTTTTACTGAATCATTGTCCCTTTCATGAACAGAAGGCACCATTCTGTTTGTGGAAGGGCAAATCTAGATCTAAGCTAATCATTGTTCTGGAGCTTTGTGTTGTGGCTCCTGTGTGAAATGATATTTTCCTACATATTGTTAGTAGTTTATTTCTTAGAGCCTTTCATCCAGAGAATCATGTTCACATGTACCAAAGTGTGAATAAAGTCTTCATACCTACATATACAGTAAACTAAAATCAGGAAATATCCATAACAGAACACTACATAACAAACAGCATTTAAAAAAAGATAGAAGGAAGCAAAATGAAATTTCATCTAAAATGCTGTGCTAACCTCCTGAATACCAATAATTGATAACACAGTGCAAAGACACTTTGTATTTGTATCTATCTATCTATTCAGTTTATGTATTGTGATGCCACTTTATGCAGGGGACTGGTGTCTTGCTTTCAGAAGATGATACAGTGTATGAAGGAGAGTTTTCAGATAACTGGACACTTAATGGGAAGGTTGGTAAATGATATTTTTGGCCTGCCTGCTTTCATAGAAAAGAGCAGCTTATAGTGAGTTCATTTTTTTTACAATTTTTCCTTCTGGGCTTCCTTTAAGGGAACACTGACTTTTCCAAATGGAGACACTATTGAAGGCACTTTCAATGGTGAGTGGGGATCTGGGATAAAGATTGCTGGAACCTACATGAAACCCAGCTTATATGATCATGAGAAGGACCGACCCAAAACGCTGTGAGTGAATGGGATATTGTGTCTCCTCAGACTGTTCTTTCTTTGTGTATAACTAGCTGTGGCACCTAAGTACTAATATTGTCTTGGATACATTGTGGGTTACAGTCTTGTTTGCTCGAATTTGAGTTATTTCAAATGATTCTGCTTAAGTGGACAACTGGGGAGTGTCATTGCTGCTTACCACTACTAATCAAAGATTTCAGATGTGGCTCTGTAATTTTCACTCTGTACTCTTTGGAGTCCAGAGGCAGCGTGGATATGGTGGAAATGACGGACAAGAAATCATGGAACTGGAGTGGCTGGTGACTAGTTGGGGGAAATTAAGGAGTTGCATTTTTGGGTTGTGGTCCCTCACTAGTACTTACCTGCCCTCCAGATATTTTTGTCTTTACCTCTTCACACCCTTCTGGAGGACCACAAGTTGCCCTCCTCTGATATTAATAGAGCTGGAACTGCACCAATGAGATAGTTAGAAATGAAGTTGCCATAATTTATGAGAATGGTTTCGGGTATTTTTTATAAATCATCAAAGAAATGCTGTTGGGGAATAGGTAGCATGTTAGACTTATGCATAGTGCATGATTTGTCACCCCTGTAGAGTATTGGTGCAGCTGTCAATTTAAGACATTGCCCTGGTAGTTTGGTACTATTAAACAAAATATATTCTATTTTTGGGGGGGGCGGGGAGGCAGCATAGCTCTATGGGTCCCCCCTCCATTTTTTCTGTATTTTATCAAAAACATTTGCTACTAATTAGTTTTGACATCACTAGTACCAAAATATGAAACAGGCTTCCCTGCTGAACGGAACAGTTCCATTCTTAGGAACTGCTTTTTACCCCACCAGGGGTCCATGAATAAATGGATGTTGGTGCCTGTGAAGCAAGGGTTGTTGTCTGTCCTTTTTGAAAGTCTGTTTTAAGTTCAGAACTTTTTCCATGTAGGCTTGCTTTTTTGTGTGGTTTTTTTTAATAAAGGAGGGGTGATGCTGCTCTCTCATCTAGGGGAACATAGAGAAAGGCAAATTTTCTATTTAAAATAAATAAAGGCCTTTAAGTTCCTTTGTAATTGGGAGATAAGATGATATTATTAAAATAATGCTTCAGGTCTTGAGTCTATATACTTTTGATCCTCACCAGTTCAGCTTTCAGCTTGGGCAGAGATACTGGGCAGAGTGAATAAAAGGAAGCTACATCCAGACAAAATGGAGCTTGATTGAACTTCATAGAATGGGGGCTCACGTTTTGCTAATCAGCTGCATAGTTTCTGTGTCTGAAGGTTAGCCTGAGTCCAACTATGTTTTAGAAGAGGAAGTGATGACTGGAGCCAGACATACATTCCACTGGTTATTGAGCCTGAGTGGTGTTGAACTTCTTTCAGACCAAGAGCTAAAATTCCATTCCAGGCTCTTGAGGACAGTGTTCCAGAGAAATGGGGGCAGGTATAAAAATACCATCATATTTTAGCTTAAAGCTCTGACTTCCATTGTATGGGGAAAACTATACAAAAGCTAGGAAACTGCCAAGTGATTGGAGGTCAGGGAAAGGAGTTTGACCAGGGGAAGAGAATGTAGCCATTTGGGGGACCCCAGAGGACTAGATCTGGCTTTTTCATCTCTGTTATATAATATCTACTCATTGCATCACTTAAAACCTCCAAAATTATTTGCAACAATGCCCTTTATATGAAACTGTTCTTGGAAAGTGTTTGAGAGCATGAGTTGGTACAGAATACCATAGCATTTTTCTTACTTTGAGTGGTGGAATCATGTAAGACCTAATGCTAGAGCAGTTGGATTAGTTGCTTGTTAACATCCATATACAATTCAGAGTGTAACTTAGTAAAGCTTGAGCAGCATGCATGTGTTTAAGGAGCAAAGTTGCATTTATGAACCTGGCACTACGACAGTTCAAGACAGAATGTAAATATTTTAAATATATGTATGGCCATTAACAAAACTTGTTAATTATACTGAAGAAGGATAGCTCATTATAGTGCTTGCATCTTCAAAAGGAGTGAAAATGAATGGATAACCTTTAAAGAGGCTAATGTACCCAAAATTTAAATTGTATTAAGAACAAGTTATTGCAAGTCTGACATCCAGCGGTAGCTAATGAGTTTTGTTATTCTGTCTAATGATTTCATTGTTAAACAACAAAGACTACTTTGGCACCTTCAGCACCAACAAGTCACAGAAGATTTTGGTGTACGCTTTTATAGATTACAGTTCACTTCACCAGATGTTAAGTGGGCTATAATCCACAAAAGCTTAGACTTTTGCTAATTTTTCTGTTTTTAAGGTGCCACACATGTTTCCATTGTTTCTGCTGTAACCATTATTAAAATAATGGCTACAGCAGAAAATAGTTAAATGGTTACAGCAGAAATTATTAAAATAGTGCCATTAATTAACAAATTAATTGTTAGCCATGAAAAACATACAGAAAAGAATCCAAAGCATAAGAATCTGAAACCAGGACAAAGTGCACCATTCAGAAGCAAAGACTGGCACTGTGGATACACAGTGCAACATCCTAAGCATTTTGGCTTTCATGCTTTAAGAAACTAAGGTTTCTGCCTCCGAAGACAATGACAACGGCCTTGAAAGTATGGCTGAGAGGCAAGGCATCTTGAAACCTCAGAAGCCAGGGAGAAGAAGGGATCAAGAATGAACAAGAACATGAGGTGCAAGACCTCAGTGCCTTGCAGTGCCCCTTGCTTTGCAGAGCCAGATTATTCAGTTTTGCCCTGTTTGCATAAATGAGTTTGGGGCATTTAGTACTGAATTTAGTTGGTCTCTGTCCATGAGTTCATTGAGGATCCAAAGACTTGCCTTTGAGCGCTCAGCTTCAGTTGTCTGTTTTTTTTCCTTTTCCTGGAGCATTCTGGAACTGCATGCATTGGGACAAAATTGCTCATCTGTATCAATAAAAGTTGCAATTATTGTGTTTAAATGTTGCCAGGAGGAAGCTTGGAAACCTTGCTGTTCCTGCTGATGAGAAATGGAAGGCTGTGTTTGAAGGATGCTGGCATCAACTAGGCTGTGAGCAACCCGGCCAAGGGGATAGGTGGAAAGCTTGGGATAGCATTGCTGTTGCTCTGACAACCAATCGGCGTCAACACAAAGACAGGTTAGTCATCTGGAATGGATGTGTTTTAAGCAGCTTCACAGAAATTCTAATAAGGAGTTGAGGCTTTGTTAATTCCACATTCAGATTTAAAAATGTCTTTGGTTCCTGGGGGTTTACTATGGAAATGTATGCAGCTTGCACAGGATATATGCACATTTAAACCCCCCTGACTCTTATTCTTTCAAAGGCTTTGGAATCCTAACATATTTGCCAGATAAAATACAAATATAGATATTCACATGGTTTTGCAATAGAGACATGTAACATACTTTCTCATTTGCAGCCTAGAATATTTACACAATGGAGAAGTGATAGTAAAAAGAAAAAAGGAAATATTTTGGGTGAAATAGTAAAATTGCTAGCAGACTAGAGCACAACCTTATGTCTTTTCAACTGTCATTGAATTCAGCTTTTTTCACACACTGTGTAAGTGGATTGTTTCTACATGTGTGCTTTTTGTGTCATTGCAGTCCAGAACTGTTGAGCAGATCCCATGCGCAAACTCTGGAAAGCCTGGAATTCATTCCACAACACGTTGGTGCCTTCACTTTGGAAAAATACGACAACATTAAGAAATATCTCGTAAAGGTATCCTGAGTAAAGCTGTAAGCTTTATCTATAAGCCATGGCATAAGCAATAAGCATTTCTAGCTTGTGGCTTTTCACTGATCTTCAAATAAATACGATAAATGGCTGCTATGCTGATAGATAATTTTCAAATTCATTTAATCAGTGAATCTTTAGGAAAAGTCTGTGTATTCCATTCTAAACAATTAGAATAATGTTGCATGCTTTATGATTACAATCCGATGTATCTTTACATGTGAGTAAGTTCCATTGTGTTCAGTTGAGCTTACTTCCTGGTGTATCTTTATAATTGCAGCCTGAGGCACTATATAATGGGTATTGTGAATACCTTGGACAAACAGAAAGACAAACAAGTGAGTCAATCCAGAATTTGCCCTGCAGGCAAAAATACTTTGCAGGACAAATTCAGCTGTATGGTATGCAGCTATCATATTTTGGACACATAATGAGAGGGTTAGGCTCACTGATGATGACAATAATGCTAGGCAAAGGCAGAAGAAGAAGGGAAAAACGAAATATGAAATAGATTGAATTCATAGAGGAAGCCACAACCTTGAGTTGACAAGAGCTCTGCAGGGCTGTCAAGGACTGGACATTTTGCAGTGCATTCATTCATAGAGTCACTGTAAGTCAGAGATACTCTAATGTCATGTGGCAACATAGTGGGCATTTATCATAAATAATAAATGTGTAAGAACATCATTTCAAATATGTTCCCAACCTTTTAGATAGTCTTCCCTGTTAGGTTGGGCAACCACATTTCCAGGTAAGACATTTTGGGGGAGGAGGGAACATAGCTTCAGCCACTTCCTCTCCAGTCCCCCTATTGGTGGAGAGGATATGAGTGTCAGCCAGGGGAAATGAAAGGGAGTGGCCTTTCCTCACACTCCACTTGAAGAAGAAGGTGTATTAACTTGACTTTTACAAAGCCCATTATCAGAAAATGTAGTAGGAATGCTAGGAAGTGTGTGTGTGTTTCATAAGAAAAAAGCATGTTAAGGGTACAGAGGATACCAGAAGGTAAAAAGCAAAATAGCTTGTGTTATAACTAGGAAGTTAAAACTAACATGGAGCTTGTTTTCTCAAACTCAGTTTTAATTTTGTACTGCAAATTATGTCTATTGTTTTTCCTTGTTAAGAATGAAGTTTAATCTGTTGAATTGTGTCACCCTTTTTTGAGATATCCCTAGGAATACCATACTCATAAGCTTGACTTTGGCTAAAGCTACAGTCCTCTTTCACCTGTGATTTAGGAAAAAGCAGAAAGAAAATACATTCTTTAGATTGTCTTTGCTACCTCCTCTTTGAGGGTCCCTACTTTTGGTCTTTTTCCTAATATTTTTATTTTACCTCCTGTTGGGAATGTTAACCAGTTTTAACTGGTTGCTAAGTTGCTATATAAAGGACCGAGTAAGCAATTGAAAATTAATTGTGAAAAGCAATTGGGTTTTTTAAAACTGGTTGCTGGATTGATTTTTCTGTTTTCGACCTGAAAAAGGACTCATATTGAACTGTACACATTGAAAAAGTCAGAAACTAGGCCTGAGTTACAGCCTGTGTGGCTGGCCAGCCAGCTAATTGTGTAGTGTGCACAGCAGTGTCTCTAGTCAGGGCTGTTTTCATCTTTTGCCATCAAGCACTGAAGAAAAGGAAGTAAAAATAGCTGCTATGATTGTGAGTGAAATAAGCAATTTCAAAGAGTAAAGTGTAACTTAGAGTAGTTTTCAAATCACTTTATTGCACCCTTTAGCAATAAGCACTCACTCCTTCTCTGCCCATCATGATAACTGCAGAATAAACAATTTCCTATTGCTTACTGTAGGCAAACAAACAGAAAGTGGAGGAAGGCACTAGGCCAGGGGTCTCAAACTCGCAGCCCGCGGGCCGATTGCCGGGAGGGGTGGGGCACGGGGAGGGGCCCTGCGGCCTTCAAAGCGCCGGCAGCGCCCGGGCCGGCCTCTGGATGAGCGGCCCACCACCACCGCGGGGGTGGAGTACTTGATGCGGCCCAGCCTCACCCAGACTCTACTTCCAGCGGCCCCCAGGTCAGTTGAGTTTGAGACCCCTGCACTAGGGGATCATCTGTCCTTGACTTTATTGTAATCAACAGGGATAAAACAGTGAATAAAGTAGAAATTATGGGAACTCTAGGGGACAGTATACATATATTAAACATATTCCCTGAATTTTGGGAAAGCCAGTTTTTAATAAACTCAGAACATCAATGTAATGTCCCATGGTAAGCGGCTCTAATAAGAAAAGTAATCCAAGCATCAATCCCTGGAAAAAATTCTGGAGCAGATTATAAAGCGGTCAGTCTGCAAACCCTTTGAAAACAATGTGGTGATTACAAGAAGCCAGCATGTCTGGACTCTTAGGACTGTGGGCATTTTGTGACCATGATATATCTTCTGTTCAGCAAATCTTAGGACAAAAGTGCATGATGTTCTGATTAGCTAGCAAACTAACTAAAAGTGGATCAGATGGAACAACTATAAGATAGATATGGATCCACAATTAGCTACAGAATCAGGCTTAAAAAGTCTTATCGATGGTGCCTTCTCAAACTGGGGAGTGGTAAGGAGTGGGGTACTACACGGTTCAGTCTAGGATGCAATGATCAACATTTTTATTAATGATTTTGAGGAGGAGGTATGGGGAATGCTTATCAGTTTTGCAGCTGACACAACATTGAGTGGAATAGCTAATACTCTGGAAGATAGAAACAAAATTCAAAGGGTTCTTGATAGACTGGGCTGAAAACAAGAGAATGAAATTTAATAAGGCTAGATGCCATGTTCTGCACAAAAAGAAGGATCCAATGCATAGTTACCAGATGGGCTCAACAATGCTACTATAATCTTAGAATTGTTATCAATCTCAAGCTAAATATGAGTAAACTATGTGATGTGGCTGCAAAATAGGCAAAGGCTATTTTGTGCTGCATTAATAGAAGCATCACTACAAAATTATGTGAAGTACCAGTTACTATCTATTCAGCACTGGTTAGGCCTCATCTTGAATACTGTTTCCAGTTCTGGGAAGCACAGTTGAAAAAGTAGCTGCTGTTATTACATGCCATCAAACAATCTCAGATTATGGTAACCTTATGAATTAATGTCCTCCAAATAGTCCTTTCCTTCACAGTCCTCTTCAGCAATTCTAAACTCAAGGCTGTGGCTTCTTTCATGCAATTGATACATACTGTATTTGGTCTTCCTCTTCATCTTTTGCCTTCAACTTTCCATAGCACGAGAGTCTTCTCCATTGAATCTTGTTTTCTGTATCCAAAGTATGGCAGCTTCAATTTTCTCATTTTGCTTCCAGGGAAATTTCTGTTTTATCTAGGACCCATGTGTTTGTCTTTCAGTCCAGGGTATTTGCAAAGCTCTCCTCTGCCACCATGTTTCAAATATGTCTATTTGAAAAGAGACTAAAAGAGGTGGACATGTTTAGCATTGAGAAGGGAAGCCTGAAAGAAGATTTGTGGAGGGATCAGGATCTCCTCTTGATTATCCCAGAGTGCAGGACGCATTATAACAAGTTAATGTCACAAGAAGCCAGATCTCAGCTGAACATCAGGACAAATTTCCAGACTGATAGTGCAATGGGGAGGTTGTGGGCTCTTCCACATTGAAGGCGTTCAAGGTGCGGCTGGACAGCCACCTGTTAGGGATCCTTTAGGTTGGAGTCCTTCACTGAACAGGGGGTTGGACCCAATGGCCTTGTGGGTTCTCCCAGCTCTACTGTTATATGATTCAATGTTTCTTTATTGCTGGCTGGGTAAAGAACCTAATTGAAATTGAAAAGGAGAACAAAGGAAAGTTCAATGGATCAAGGCCAAATTCTAACATTTAACTCTTCAGTAGCTATATTACCGTACAGGGTGTTTTTAAAGCGGTTCTCGTCATTTAAAAAAATCTATTCAATGTCAGGGAAAGTCTTGAGGAAACAAACTTTGAGGTTTTTCTGGATGAGGCTTTTCTTGTGCACTTTACCCTGTCTTATCACTGATTTGTAGAAGGTCATAAATTGTTCCTGCTCTTAAAATAAACTGTTATGCTTAGAATGGAGGCTGTCACTGTCTGTCATACCACTAATTAAAAAGACAATTTTCAAAGAGAAATCCTGAGGAAGAGTGCACCTATTTGTGCCACCCCAGTTAAAGGGATACAACTCTGGTATAAATTCATACAGACTGCAAGTCTTTGGTATAATTTTCAAATGACATTGCAGGATGTTGGTTTTGAACAGTAGGTTCCACTTTGTATGAATGTGTAGATTATACAGTTTGCTGCTGCTGCTACTACTATTACATTGCATTCATATCCTGCCTTGTGAGGAGCCCAAAGCAGGTTACATCGCTCCATTTTGTCCTCACAACTGCTCTGTGACGCAGGTTATATTGTTTGAATGCTTATTATTGAAAACGAAGTTAATATATGAGTACTGCATTTAAGATTTTGCTTCTTTACATAGCTGTTTGTTACTCTCACCCTTTATTTGTCAGGCGTGTGACACTCCTCTGCATCCTTTGGGAAAACTTGTCGAGACTTTAGTAGCTGTATACCGAATGACGTATGTGGGAGTGGGAGCCAATCGGCGACTGTTGCAGGAAGCTGTCAGGGAAATTAAATCCTACCTCAAACGCATCTTCCAGTTAGTCAAGTAAGAAAAGGGGAAGTTATTTTTTGGTTTACTGGAAAATGTTTATATCCCACTATTTCTGCTGACAAATGTTCAAATTTCATATATTTGGGTTTTTTAAAGTGGTACCATCAGGCATATATTTTAAATTCTTGTTAGATTCTCCTGCAAAAAGATTCTAAGAAAACAACTTTTGAGAAATGGTTGCATCTCTTGCTAAGGGTATAACTCATATACATTTGATTTTAAGATTCCTTTTTCCTGACCTTCCTGAAGAGGGAAGTACAATTCCACTTTTGGTGACTGAGACTAAGGGAAGGAGATCGTTCTGTAGTGGAAAAAGTGACTCCAGACCAGAATCTCCAGAACCAGGGTTTGTAGTTAAAAAATATTTTAAAATTTCAAAATAACATGTGTTAAGATTTCCTCTGAGCTCCCATTTTGTGGATTATTTAAATACAAGACACTTACAGAAAGAAATCCTGAAAGCAAAATGTTAGAATTTTGTTTGCTCAAGATAGTCTTTTTCCCACTTGGCTATCTACATTGGTGAATAAGCACACTGTGGCTGTTTGTATGTAATGATGCAAATTATGTGTTAATTAACCTCATGATTTCCATGGGTTTCTGGGCATATTCTGCACCTTTTTCAATATTTTACAATTGATAGGGTTGATCATTTCCTGTGAGATGTGCTGATATTGTAGATTAATTGTGGATTAAACAGTTCTAAGTTAACCTTTAATTAGTAGTTAGGTTAACTATTTAACCCAGGGGTCCTCAAACTTTTTCATCCCGGGGCCAGTTGAAAGGTGCCTGCAGTGGGCACAGGCCGCCAAGGTGGTGCCAGCGGGGGGGAGGGGGGCTGGTGAGGGGGCAGAGTGCACGCCCACACGCAGCGAGGTGGGGGTGCCCGGGGTGAGGCCACAGCTTGTTTGTGCGGAGATCGTTTTCTCCACGCGAGTCCAAAACGATCTTTCTGCGAACAAGCCTCTGCCAGGCGCATGCCCAGCAAGGCGCCAGCTTGCTTGCGAGGAGATCGTTTTCTCCGAGAGTGTCCAAAATGGTGCAGAACCTCTGGGATAGGACAGATCCGGCCCATGGGCCATAGTTTGAGGACCCATGATTCAACCCATGATTTGCCACTGTTGTGTACAATTCAGACAATTCATTCGTCATTCTTTATGATCTAAAATTAAATTAAAATACAAGTGGAAGTTAACCATTTGTGTGTGCTGGTTTTGGATTGCCAGTTAAAATGCTTGCATTTTTTAGTATCTTGCAAATCTCTGCTACTTCCTTTGTATCTTCATGGTCTTTATTTAGAATGGAGACATGTTTACCCTTACATGTAATATAGCAAAGTTATCCCATATTCTGGCCTTCCACTATCCTGAGCTTCCATAAAAGCACTAGATGAAGTTGTGCCCATCTCAACCATACTTCCAGTTCTTTAAAATGGGAGTAACAGGAGTACATTCTACTACAGTGCAGCCCCAAACAATTGTTTACTTCATTTACACCAGGAAGGGTGCTTGTTCTGGCAGAATGGTTGTGTAATGTATGCCATGTCCTGTGTGTTCTCATGACAAAAATTGGAAGTGGGGAACGTTCAGGGAAAGTTAATAAAAAATGAAGGAATACTGCGTCTATACTCCAGCAACCATGGTTCCACTCCTCACTCCTGCTTACTGGAACCTGGAGCTATGGCACTAGGCCTGTGTCACTCAGCCAGATAAGGAGCCAATCTGCATAGAGCAGCAGGTTAGCTCCCTCTGGGGCAGCTGCCCCCCATGAAATGTAACCTGAGGGGCATGATGACAACAGGATGCCTTCTACTACTGCCACGCCTGTGGCACTGAAAGCAACAACCCAGGAAGAGATGCAGATCAGGGGCTGAACTTTTGATCTATATTGCTTTAGGTTCTTTTACTTTCTGCCCTCTCAACATGAGCTGTTGAAAGGAAGAGCAGGCCTGATCATACAACACATCTTTCTGTGAATTTTCACAAACTTCTACTTGTTCAGTATACCATCCAAAATGTTTGCCTTTATTTTCTCTTTTTAAGCTATGTGGTCACAAGCTCTGGATTGCTGCTTCCTGTTTTGCTACCAAGACTCTACCCGCCTTTGTTTATGCTGTATGCCTTGGACAATGAACGAGAGGAAGATGTTTACTGGGAGTGTGTTTTGCGCCTGAACAAACAACCGGATATGGCACTTCTGAGTTTTTTGGGAGTGCAAATGTAAGCATATTTCAAGATGTTGCAGAAAATAGTTTCCAACATGAAAGCAGAAGGATGACACTTCTTGTGCTAACAATATTTCACTAATAATAAAAGGGAATGTGATTGTATAATAGGTTTTGATTATATGTTAGGATTTTCAGTGTCCCAAGTGCTAGTGATTTCTCATTTTGCAGTTTAATCTATCTAACTTTTAGCAAGACAATTTCTTTATCTTGTGGCAGTCTGAAACACCATGTTGACAGCATCTGCTCTATTCACCTTACCTCTATGCTAACTGCTTGTGTACATCTATCGCTGGGATCTGCATGTGTGCCAACATTAGCTTCCTGCCCTTCCATTACATCTTTGCCATCACCCTCTTTCTTTGTTTTACCTTCACTTCATTTCTTCTGTCTTCACATGATGTCATTAAGTAGCTAATAGGGTTAAAACTGAACCTGTGCAAGCATAGTTTCTCTCGATGTCTTCCCCCTGCATCCCCCCACATGCCCCCTAAATCTGCTTCAGGGGAACCTTGAATTCTCAGGGCAGATTTGGGGGAACACTTGGAGGGCTGTAGGGAAGAGGGGAAAATCTCTTTGATCCACAGTTTCTGTTCCACTGCTGATGGCTGACACTGGATACAGTCCTATGTTCTCCATCTCCCTTTATAGTCAAGAGAGAGGGAGAGTGTGTGTGTATGTATCACCATGGCCCTCTTTCTTATAGTAGCAGCAGCAACAGCGCTGTCAGGAAATTAAAAAACACAGAAGCAGCTGCTCAGACATTAGGATCCTCTGTGCCATATGCAGGTTTAACTTTCCCTTGGGCTGAGATGCTGCTGCGGGCAACGTCAGAGGAGCTAGATGTGGCTGAGGCAGCTCTCAAGCTCTGAGAGGACTGGGGCCAGGAGCTATGTCAGATCTGGGAAATGTTCCAGGTGACCCTGATCTTCATGGGGCTACAGCTGTTGCTTTTCAGACTTGGGCAGTGGGTAATGTGCACAACTCAGCCCTTCAATAGTGTGTCTTTTTTGCATTTCTGTTTCTTTTAGGAAATTTTGGCCAACAAACACCTCTGTCCTTGGGGAAAATAAAAAGGTACCATTTACGGGATTCTTCCATGTGTGTCTTTGAGCTTCAAAACTGGATAAAGCAAAACAGCACTGTGTGGTGTGTGTGTTGATTTTAATGCATTCTTCTTTGGTTAGCACATACAACTTTCCTTAATGTATGTCCCTAATTTTTACAGTACACAGTTCTTCCAGTGACAGTTAATTCATAGTTCCAGTTGCATGGCTCCCAGGACATGTAATATTTACAATTACCTTTCCTGTCTTTATCTCCTGTGATTGTGAAATGATCCCAGATGATTGCTTTATTAGGAGATACAATCCAATAAATCATTGGTTTGGGTGGAGGCTTTTTGCTGTTTCATTTTAGATGTTCATATTCTGCATAGTGGTGCTTCCTTTGCTAAAACAAAACCTTTCCCTCTTATTGGAGAACTAACGGGCAGATGTGCAGTCAGTACACAGTGTCTGTACTAGAGGAAGCCATAGTATTGTTACTAAAAAATTTTGAGGGGATGGAGGAGTTGGAGGTGGGAAAGCTTTGCTGTGCAGTGCAGACTCTGCCCATTTAGACCAGTACAGCACAGTAATACCAGTTTGTGTCCATACAGGGGGGCATCCAGTATTAGTCCTAGTTAGAGTAGACTGATTGAAATGGATGAGTCCTGAGACAGACTTGCATTGGCTGCAACCCACTGACAACTAGAAGGCAGAACACTGGTGCTATTTCTGCATTACACTGGCCAATCTAGCCCCCACCTCTCTCCACTTCTGCTGCACAGGCTCCCACTACTGTCACCTTGCTTGCCATTTGACAAGAATGCCCTGGCAATGTGTTCTTCCGAACACCCTCTAGACTCAACTATGTAGAGGTGATTGATGGCAGTGATTTGGTTTACTGTGTGTTCCATGTGGACTGGTGGAGCTACTGTTGCTTGCTAAATTGAAGCACACTGCAACCAACATCATGCAGCAGAAATTTTGCATGTCACTCAGTAGGAATCATGCAGCAAGTCAATATTAAATGGGTTTATTCAGCCCCAGTTTGGTCACAAATTCTTGTACAACAGTAACCCAAAGTGGTTGTTTGATAATATTACTTATGAAAGGATTTTGATGTTCTCAGTTCCATTGTAATATATGAATGTCTACCAGCAAATTTAAACACTTATTAATGGAACTTATATATGACCAAAATCACAATTTGGATGCTTTTCTATATTGAAGGAATGGAAATAAACTGCCTTGAGTCCGAATCACTGAGAATAGACAGGATATAGATATAATAACAGTAATAATAATAATCTACCATTCATAGCTGGAAGGTATTTTGAAAAGAATATTCCATATTATAGGAACAACCCAGAACCAAAATAACTTCCAAATGACTATATCTTACATATCATATATTAAAATGTAATATAAGTCATTACCTTACTGATTAGTCAACAGCAGTTTAGCTCACCAACCAATTCAATCTCATTTCCTTTTTTGAATGGAAGTTAAATGATTAAACAATCATGGTGTTCTAGAAGATGAAGTTTTTCACTATCTTAATCCAACATCTCTATTTCAATTTTTTTTGTGCTTAAACATTATTTCTGATTCAATACACTGCTGGAGATAAAGTTGGCTATAATCATCCATTTTCATTCATTTCATTAGGTATTGCCAAATACAAAAGATGCCTGTTTTGCTTCAGCAGTGGAATGTTTACAACAGATCAGGTAATCTTAAATGTAGATGCTTCGTTTTCCTGCTTTTCTAGTCTTATAAAGGTCAGGAGGACTGCTTTAGCTGGTGATCTGAAGATTGTAGAAATTGGCTTAAGGCCTTACCTAGAATATATATTGTTGTTGTCATCATTATTATTGCATTACATTTCTATACCATCCATAGCCGAAGCTCTCTGTATGGTTCACAACATTTTAGTTCATCCATCTGGATTTCAACCAGACCAGACCCTGCTTAGCTTCCAAGATTATGCAGGATTAGGCACTTCAGGCTATATGGAAGCTATATGCATAGGACTGTGTTGCCAAGTATATACTATATGTTGTTCGGGGAAAGGATATAGTTTTAAATGTTTTTTTTTGGCCTATCTCTTGCCATTCTTTATATTCCAAATTAAAAGATGCAATTTTGACAATTTTATGTTGGCATTCATGGGTCTTTTGTTCATATCACATCAGGAACTAGTCTGTTTCCTTCAAAGATGCCCAGGTCACATGACCATCACCACCCACAGTGGCTTGTTTAAGCCACCGTGGCTTGTGGTATGTGACAGTGAACATTTTAAATATTCAAGCCACAGTGGGTGCTCATAATGGCTGTTTTGGCATCCAGATCCAGTGAAGGTGGGGTGAACTGCTGTGGCTAGGGTTGGGAAATATGTGGCTCTCCAGATACTTGTTGAACTTCACCTCTCACCAGCCCTAGCCTGAATGGCTAATGGTGTGGGATCCTAGAAGTTGAAGTCCAGCAACGGTTGTCAAAGCACATGTTCATTCAACTCTGTACCAATGGGAGTTTCACCTTTTAAGTAGAAGTTGGAGCAATGAAGAGAAGCCCTCTGATCCTTAGTATAAAACATACAGCAAACATTGTTTTTTCTATGATATTTCTCAGTCCTAGAACTGTGTAACGCTTAGTTTTCACTGATGTGGTGCATTATTTTCCTCTCAAATTCCCATAGTGATCAGAGGACAGGGTTGATTCAGTACTGAGAAACCAAAGATAAATTTTGTAAAAGAAAAAATTGTCTTCCCAATAGTACAACTTTTACACCTGCTGACAAACTGAAGGTGATCCAGCAGACCTTTGAGGAGATCTCACAGAATGTACTAGAGAATCTTCATGAGGATTTCCTTTGGTCCATGGATGATTTGTTTCCTGTTTTTCTGTATGTGGTGCTACGAGCCAGGTGGGTAAATTAACATTTTAAAAAGTGCACAGTACCAATTAATGATGGAAACAAGGATTCCCATTTCTGATCCAATGCCCGTACTGAAATCTGTTGCATGGGGAATGGGATATATTTATTTTTATTCATTTATTATCAAATTTATGAATTGCTCTACATTGAGACATATTGGAGTGGTATACAGCAAATTAAAATACAGAATCCAAGAAAGTTACCAAAAAACCCCTGTAGAAACCTCAGTATAACAGTGCCAGGAATCTAGTCATTAGTCAAAAAAGCTTGCCATAAAAAGAAAAGTCTTCAGCAAATGCTGAACATGAAGTAACATATGTGTAGGATGCCTCAATTGGAAGGGTCATGTTACATGGGGATGGGACAGCTTTGGGAATAATTGATTTACTACACCTTCCTTGGGTATTTAATGTGGATAGGTGTGTGTTGTTTCCATGTGCACGGCTTATTTACAAGCTGGCTTATGTGATGCATGGATGTAGTGAGTAATTAGGTCAGTGAGAAAAACAGTAATTGCGGATGACAAGCCATACCTCCATTTTATGATTTATAAAGCTGACCTTTCACAGCTTGGGACTCCAGAGACAAAGCTGCACATGGAAAATTTGCCACATGGTAAAAACTGAAATGAGGGGTTGTGTCCATGTTTAAGAAAGCAAGCAAGACAGAAACCTGCATTTGCTAAAACAACAATATAATTGTGATATGCAGCAATATAATTGTGTAGAAAACTTTCAAGGATGAGGAGGCTAGAGGAGTCTTACGTAATAGGATGGCATACGCATTACCAAGTAAGGTGAAGAAATTTGGCTTTGCACCTGTTTCTTTCTTGACAAGGTCTTGACACATATCGTTGAGTGAAATTAAATATGTGTTCTCTTCTGTGGCAGGATTAGGAATTTGGGGTCTGAAGTACACTTGATTGAGGACCTCATGGATCCCTATCTCCAGCATGGCGAGCAAGGAATTATGTTCACTACTCTGAAGGCAAGCCTTAGTTAATTATCTCTGTTACTTAAAATGTTCTTCTACTTTGGATATGGCATAGAGAAATGTCAAAATCAACCTTCTTCAAACCTGATGCCTTCTGGATATGTTACAGTACAATTCCAAGCATCCATAGCCAGCATGGCTTGCTGGGGGATGCTGTAAATTGCAGTCCAGTGCATCTGGTGGTCACCAAGGTGGGGAAGAATGGTTGTTCAAAGTTTCAATTAACTTTGATCTTACTGAAATCAGGAGAAGGATTTAATGATAGTATGGTTCCCATGGAGTTAAATTCAGTATGTATTAGGAATATATGAAATCTTTGTTTTATATTCACAACTTATCTGAAAATACTAAATTCATAATCCTGAGTGAAAGTAGTAGTTATCCTGATAAATTTTTTCAGATTTACAAAAATTGCATTTGTGTCCAAAAATGTATATTTTAAAAAATCTCAGCTTTTCTACTTAATTTCATGAAAGTGTGCTCCCTTGAAAAATATGCGTAGAAATGCATCTTTTCCTTTTTGCAATCCAGTTTTTTCCATCCAAAGAAATAAAAAATATATGGAAAATTGGAATAAAGTATAACAAGCTACACACTGAGAGCCAGTGTGGTGTGGTGGTTAAGAGCATGGGACTGGGACTCAGACGATATGGGTTCTAGTCCCCGCTCAGCCATGAAGCCAACTGGGTGACTTTGGGCCAGTCACAGACTCTCAGCCCAACCTACCTCACAAGGTTGTTGTGGGGATAAGATGGAGGAGGAGACGTAAACTGCTTTGAGCCCTTTGTAGGAAAAAGGCAGGATATAAATAGAAAAAAAAAAACAAACAAACTGCATTTTGGAAAATATTTGAGCTCTAAAATCACTGATTCTTCCATCCATAGTCTGGACTCGAGCAAGAGAAAATGTTTGCAGCTAAATCTGACCTGAGAAATAACTCTTCTATTTCCAGGCATGTTATTACCAGATTCAACATGAAAAGCTTACCTAGATGGACACAAATATGGAAGACTTCTGAACAGAGTTTCTGTCCTTCTTCCCTGAAATCACCTAAAATGGAAACAAAGTCGTCATGCTGTGGATGTCATTCCTAGACTTTCTTCAAGACAAAGAGTGCAAAAGCCTTAGAATCAGAAAATGCGGAGGAATCAAAATATACTTTGCAGACAGGGAAGGAAAAATTACATGTAGCATGGCTTCTACATGGAATCCATATAAAAGCATAGTCAGGGAATGGACTGATTCTTGCACTGAAGATGCTGTTAATTATGTGCTTTCAAAGGATTGAAATGCACTGTAGAACCACTCAGTGTCCTTCTAAATTCAACTGCCTGGTTGTGCATCACTAAAAAAAAATATTGATGAGTTGTCTGCTGCACTTCTTGCTCACAATTTCTGTAAGTTGGATTACAGCTAGGAGTTGCACATGCTGCTGTGAAAACAAACCAAATCTGGTGGACTTACTAATTCCAGTGTAGTAAGAATATATGAGCTGATGCTTTCAATATTTTCTTTGCTCACCATTCAACATCAAGGAACACTGTTCATATTGAACCTTAGCACTTAATTTGGTATGCATTATGTTTATAAAACTCTTCATTTTCATACTTCTGAGTCTTGGCAATCCGCATCTCAAGGTGAACAAAGTATCCAAGTTAGAAATGCAACAGTCACTTTGTGTGAACCTCCCATTACAGAAGGGTGGATGTGTGGGCTGCATAAGCATGTGCTCCATCAAGATTGAAATAACAGTTTGAAATGCTCAGACTATGGGCCCATATCTTATGCTATGGAAACCCTTTTTAGTGCTTTTTTGTTGAAGTACTGTTTGAAAACTGCACAGTCATTGACCTTGTGACTTTTTCCTTGATTTATAGAATAATGGTAGCTGACAGCTTGGATGAAACAGGTGCTGTTCTTTATTATGTCTGTCACATATTAAGTGGGACATGTGGAAAATACTCTTCTGGCTAAAATTAAATTCAGTTAGTATAGCTGATGCAAATAATGCCTGAACATCTGAATCATGACTTAATGTATAGCTCCTTTATTTAAAAACATGGTGGGGGCTGTGATTGTAAATGGAGCAATTTTCATAATAAAGAATGTTGCTAATTCAGTGATTATTTATTTTGTGACAGTCAATACAAATCTTATTTCAATGCAGTTCCATTATCACTTCAAGAGGTTTCTTCTATAAAGACAGCTGTAATTAGTCCTATGATCCATAGTATCTGTTATAATTTATCCCAGAGCATGCTGAGTTAAACTACATCACTGCTTAATATATCCCTTTTCATTCTGAATGCCATTTGACATAATCTCAGGTTGATGCTCGTAGGATGAAGATTGTATGCTGCAACAAAATCTGGCTCTAAAACTGAAATCCTTCTAAACTTTATTGTAGGACTGCTCTTTAAGGTTCTTACAGAAATAAGCTTAATTGCAGTTAGTGGAATGAAAAATCCAGTTTTAATACTTACAGTGAAAGACATTTAAAACAAATGTGAAAAATGCACATGTGTTTCAGTAATACTTTGTTCTCTTGTGGCAGTTTGGTAACTTTTCATTTATGCTTCTAAGCAGGTGTGAAACTGCAGTAGCTGAAATCTTACATTATAAATGATTATGGATAGGGAAGGAGGGAAGTTATGTAAAACTCATTTACTTTTAGTGTGTTATTATTCACTAATGGGTAGTGATTAGTCCACTAATGCGAAAATCAGTGGATAGGAGAAAACTAATGAAATAATAATAATAATAATAATAATTAGTATTATTATTATATGTATTACACTTGTATGCTGTCATTGAGTGGGTTCACACAACATGTTAAACCGCTATGATTTTAGTGTGATGTCTGGACCCAGCACTGTTCCCCCAGGGTGGTTTAGAAACCATCTTGGCTAACTTATAAACCACCCCAACTAGCCTTGACTTGCAGCAGGGTTTAATACACCCACCATGGCTTATTGTATTGTCTGAATCCAGATAGCACAATTAGCCATGGATGGTCAAGTAAAAAAGCAGGGACCCCCTTGGCAACAGTGGCAGAAAGGCTTGCTGCTTTAGCCAAGGGACTAGCAAATGGCTGCCCTTTCCCAGGCACCCAAAAGAGCTACAGCAACACTTGGGGACACTTGAGAAAGACTTCTCACCTCCGTGCTAGCAGCAGTGGGGGCACTTCAAAGCTCAAGGCAACCCCCACACAAAGAGGCAGGCTTGTCCCCTTAAATTAGAAGCCTTGTGCCCCCCACTGGGCTTGCCCTTAGATTTTGCCACTTGCAGAGGTGTTCTCCACATGGGATAAATCATGTAACTGAAGGGACAGTTGGGCCTTTCTAGCACCCACCCATTCTCTGGGTGTCCTACTTAGAAGGGTGGATATTTGTGGATATTTGTGTCCCCTGACACTTTTTAGGGGTTCTTGTGCTTCTATGTTAAGGCAGCCAAGGGTCACATGAGCACTCACCAAAAAACTGAGAATTCTGCTGGGTGCATTCCACACACCCCTGCCTTAAGGGAAAAAAGTTCAAAAATAGCATTGGGCTATGAAGTTGCAATCTGGCATGTATACTGTGTCCATGGAAACAAGTATCAATATCAAATTGCAGCTTTGTAGCCCACTACTACCTTCAGCTTTTAAAAAGCTGGGGTGGAAAGTAACCCTTGCAGCAGAATCCTTGGTTCTTCTTCATGGTCTCTGTCCATCACACATACAGATGCTGTGCCTGCACTGTGCCCAAGTTTGGGAAGATTCTCCCAGCTTGACGGTTTTTGGTGGGTGTCCCACTTCCTTAGTATAAACAGGCAGGGCTCCCACCCTTCATCAGGTTTGACGGTTGTTCACTGTGCCTCAGGTCTCTCCTAGCTCTTTAACTTGCCTTCTTTACCTCAGCTTGAATATCCCTCAGCATTTTTCTGTCGTTGCCGTTGCCGTCATTTCATTGTCACATTCTATTCTCTCCTTTCGAGCCCTTTTTTCCTCTCAAACTCCTCAACCCCCCACTCCCTCCAACTGCTTCTCTCCCTCACAAAAATAGAAAAAACACTTCTATTGTTTTCTTAAACTTACCTTACCTCCACTTTAGTCCTCCTTTTTCTGTCTCCTCGATGGCACAGCGCCCTGCTTTTAGAAAGTGTTCTAAATGTGGAGTGAAAATGCCATCAACAGACAGCCATTCACTCTGCTTCCTATGCCTAGGTGAGGGGCGTTGTATTGACAAGTGCCCTCACTGCCAGGCATTTACTAAACAAACAAGGAAAAAATGAGAAAGCTGCCTAAAAAAGGAACTTTCCTTAGGTTTTTTAGTGGAGGGATGTCCATGTTTCCCTGGGCTGCCCTCACTTTTCAAGTATGGATAACACAGAAGCACTTATTTAAAAGTCAAACAGCACAAGTGCTGTTTAGCGCAAATGCTAAACAGCTTAAAATGGCTCAGGAGACATTCTGGTCTTTCTGCAGTGTATCTTGGGATACTACAGAAGGACAGGAGGAGGGCAGGAGGAGACACACAAGCCCTACTATGCCTGATACATGGAAACAGATAGGCCAATTTGCCCACAGTTGCTAGAATCCAGTGTCATTTGAAAAGCTCCAGGAAAGGGTACAAAGTGGCAAAAAATGGTGTTCCAAAATCAAGTGAGGAAACTATCACTTCCTTGGCAATGCAATCCTCCCCATTCTGTGATCTCTAATTGACGTCTGCTGGCATCCTCCATCTTTTCAACACTTCCCTAAATTTGCACTCAGCCCTGAAAGGAGCGATACTGGCTGCTTACTTCCTTTCCATGCTGTTTTGGGGGACACTTTGTGCTACAATTCTCTCACAGGTGCACAAATTTCCCCTCTGTTTACTTACCAGCCTTTCAATTTGCATATATTTCTGTGTTTTTTAAGAGCTATGTGTAAATTAGTCTATAAGTTCTCTCACCTTGTCAGTTTCCATGCGCATTACCTATTCTATTTCATGCTTCCTTTGACAGCTGAAATATACAAGGATATCAACACATATCAGACAGCCAGGAGAGTACATTGGTGGAAGACCAGATAATAATTTTAAAATTGAATAAAGGGGAAATATGCATGTAATGTAGTAATAGTTATTGTTGTGTTTGTTTTGTTCTGTTTTTCTGGGGCCCAAAAACCTCAGCCCCAGTTGCACATTTTTGAAGCTCTGATTTTTTTTTAACAGTAGCAAAGGAAAAGTGGTAGCAACTGGAGCAAAGAGAGGAAGATAAGACTGCTTCTTCCATGAAGGACTCTGGGATACTGGCTGGAGGACTGAGAGGAAAGTTGGGAAAGCACAAGGCATAGTGAGTCCAATTCTCAGGTGCATTGTGAGTTGTCATTCCTCAAACAGCCCACCCTGTGTAACTTATTCACAGGTTGGCTTAGTGTGTTGTGTAAAGCTGACAACTTTATCTGTTGATCCTCTCTATACCTAGTAGCATAGATTGATTTTCAAGTCCTTATCCTGCATTTCTCTGTCTACTTCCACTGCTTCCTTACATAACTACTTAACACAAGTAAGTATTTTTGTTTCATTTTAAAAAACTGGAAATTACTCTACTTTAAGATCAGTCAAACAGTCTTTCTAGAACACTTAAGCAGGAAAGACCTTTTAGTTTGAAATCAGAATAGGATAATCTTTTTAAGGTCATTGCCTGATTATCTTACATAGTACATTAATCATAGTCATGGAACAACTTTTTCCTCTTGAGAGGGAAGGAATCTTCCTCTGGAACATTAACAATGGCGTACTCTGGTCTAGTTTGGCTAAGAAAAAAAATCAGATATCAGAAGAAAAGCTGAGACATTTCGTGGGACCTGAAGTTTAGAGAGGCTGGATAAGATGAAGACCAAAATCTGTAATGTTTCTGTAACCAGAAACTCAGCATCAGCAAGCCCCAGGAATTGTCTGCTGTCTGATAGAGCTATAGAATTATTATTTCTGTACTGTACAATAGTCAAAGTCCTCTCTAAAGGGACAGTCCCTTTTGTAGCCCAGTCAAGCCTGGTGGCAAGCAGAGGTAAGGTGCAATGAAGAATCTTCAAAAATCTCAATTCTTTGCAGCCTTTTCACAGATTTAGCTTTGGACATTTCTAGCACTTCTATTCTGATAGTGCACTGGGACAATAAGACAGATAAAAGCAGACTGGCTGAATTTTGAAGTTTCTGGTTCAGTGCAGCTGGAAAACCTTTCAGCTCTATGATTCTGTGATTTAAAACAAAAAACAACAACCCTAAATACTCTGAGTGCATTGATATACCTAAATTTCAGAGTGTATTATCCTAAATCAGCCAAAACAAAACTATCTCTGGTGTACCACTCGTAAAACTGTAGGATCCAGTTTTATATAAGGACAGTTAAAATGTGTTATTCTGTGTAGTCATATTTATACAGCTTTACAGCCCAATGCAAGCTCTATTCTGCCTAAACACAGGAAGGTTGATAGCATGGAGTTGGGTGCACAAGTTGGGTCCAGACAGCTCCTCTGTGGATCTGCAGGCATTGAGCACAAAGGCTGATGACAATACTTCACACATGGAGCATCAAGATCTGCAGTGGGTTTGAAAGCTTGTTCAGCTGAATGTGCTTACAAATTTCCCTATGTATCTGGGGATGTTGATGGCAAGGATCCCATGTATGCCCACCCATTTTAAATGCTCGTGAGTGCAGAATCCATGCCTGCAAATTAAAGTTTGATGATCATGTAAGTGGATGTTACCTTCTTAAACAAAATTAAAGCTTGAAATTGGGTCATGAAGCAGGAAGAAAAAACATCTATAAGCAAGATCAATATAAGAACACGTAAGTATTGAAAAACCTTTTTATCTAGCATCTGAATCTGAGCTATTGTAAAACATTTTTGTAGTTGAACATTAATGTTGCAGCAATGATTCTGAACCTCTGTGGTATATACAGTATCATGAACGCAAAGATCTAAGCTAATACATTAAAATGGTTTGTAAATGATAATGACCTATAAAGCCCTAAACGGCTTGGGTCCTGGTTACCTGAAGGAGCGCTTACATCCATATTTGCCCAGTCGCCCCCTGAGATCGGCGGGAGAGGCCCTTCTCCGGGAGCCCTCCGTGAGAGAAATTAGGAGGGTGGTTACTCGGAGAAGGGCTTTCTCAGCGGTGGCGCCTAAGTTATGGAATGCGCTCCCCAGAGAGGTCCGCCTGGCGCCGTCGTTATTTGTTTTTCGGCGCCAGGCTAAGACCTTTTTATTTAAGCAACATTTTAAATGCTAAATACAATTGAATTTTATCTGGACAGGGCGGCTTATTTTATAATGTGAGTTTTAATTAAGATTATTTTATATGGATTTTAACTTGTTTTATCTATGTTGTAAGCCGCCCCGAGGCTTCGGCGAATGGGGCGGCATAAAAATGTTTTAATAAATAAATAAATAAATAAATAAATAAATAAATAAATAAATAAATAAAATATTTTAAAAGGAAGCTGTTTTCATATTTCGTCCATATGCTTCGTATTTAAAAATTCTACTGAGAGTTTTGGTGTTGTTACTAGTTGTTGAGGTACTTAAATACAATTCATTTGAGGGGCAAAAAACCTAATTTGATATTTTAAGGGGTACAAGATTAAAGATATATTTTAAGATCTATATTATTTTGAACTCATTGGGGCTTACATCTGAGTAAATGTATTTAAAATCTCAAGCCTAATCCTAACCCTTTCCCCTCAGTTTATAAATGCCAGTGTGTTTAAGATCATACTATAAATCCCTTCCCCATATGTGCTGAAGAACCTTCCACAACAGTAAATGGTTTTATTGATTGAGAGCTAAAATATTTTGTCTTAGTTTCATAACTTCTTCATAATACTCTGTGCTTTAATTTTGATCAGGGCTGTCATGGATAGGACATTTTGGAGGGCTTTCATTCATAGAGTTGTCAAGTCGGAGACAACGGCACATAACAACAACATGCTTTAATTGCCTTTAGTTCACTAATGGCTGAAAACACCTTAAATGTCTGAGTAGATTATTCCTCATTGATGTTATTATGAAGTAATCAGTAGCTAAAGAGATAATTCCTATAATTAAATGGCCACAGATTTGTTTGGGCAACTTCAGTTGCGCTGCTGTACAGAGGAGCTTGGATGACTTGATGTTCCTGGCTGAAAAGGAAAGGTTTTTCTTTTTTCCTGGAAAGCCTCAACTCTCTTCCACTTATTAAATGGCGATATCTCTTATAGACTGCAACTTGAGTAGATTCAATTTGACCATTACCACTGTTTTGTCCTTGCATCTACTTTTTCAAGCTAGTCTTTGTATGAGAAAATGGTTAAGGAGCTTTGTCGCCTTCTTGGTAATGAGCCATGCTAAGGTTATGTTTCTACGGATTAAAGAGGAAAGGATGTCCCTAGATTAGTTAGAGCAGTAAGGTGACTGAGGATACTAATATCCAGGCAATGTTTTCCTTGGCCATTACAGGAGATTTGATGGGATTGTAAATTCTGATAAAGAATCATGCTCCCTTCAGGATAAGTGTGACATCACACAGAGCAGTTTTTCAGTGACAGCTGTGAAATTTGACTGTAACTCAATACCAGGTAAAGCAGTTTATTTTTCTTTGGGAGTGAATGATAAGTGAACGATATCTAAAATTCAGTCTACTACGTTAAACAAAGCTCCAGGATCTGGTAAAGTTATTACTTTAAAGTAAGATAATTTGAATTTAATTTTAAAAGGGGAGATGCTGTTGGTCAGAGGAGACATAGTAAAACCTATATCCATCCAAGTGTCAAATTGCTTTCATGCTATCAAAGATGCAGGTTTTGTAAAGCTTCCTTCATGAGAGAATTTTCCTGTTTGGTATATGATAGATAACATGGTTGGGTGTAGGCACTGTACCCCTTTGTTGCTTCACAACTCTAGTGTGTGTTTCTTTTAAAAGTGTGTTAATATGTTGGTACCATGTTGTTGATACCTGCGCTTGTGTTTTCTCATTTGCTTAGAACTGTCTGGCACTGCAAGCTGCCGCAGCTAGTTCTTTTAAAATATTATTATTTATTTTAAAACATTGGCCTGGTTCAGATGTATATATGAAAGTGGCAGCCATCTTTGTGTTTGCATGTTCCCTCTCCTCCTTTAGCAGAGGGGTGGTTTAAATTCATGCTTTAAATTAACCCTATAACTGATCCTTATGTACAAATGATTTAAACTATGTTTTGTTGAAACAAGTGAGAGTCATAAACCACAGTTTGATTTTGGATTTTTCAGGAAATCAGGGGTGGGGATCCTGAGGCCCAGGATGTCACTCCGATGACCATGCCCCCGTTCCCTGGTCCCACCCCCTTCCCTTTCAAAATCTACACTGATATTTTGGTAGTTTCCTGCTTTTCTGTATTTATCCCCATGTTAAAACACAGTGTTTCTCCTATGATTTAATTCCTGGCAGTTAAGAGTTTTAACTTAAGAGAGCCAGTGTGGTGTAGTGGTTAAGAGCATGGGACTGGGACTCAGACGATCCGGGTTCGAGTCCCCCCTTGGCCATGGAGCCAACTGGGTGACTTTGGGCCAGTCACAGACTCAGCCCAACCTATCTCACAGGGTTGTTGTTGTGGGGATAAGATGGAGGAGGAGAATGATGTAAGCTGCCTTGAGCCCTTTGTAGGAAAAAGGCAGGATATAAATCGAAAAGAAAAAAAAAAAGAGTTTTAAGCTCAAATAGGCTATCATTTTTAAAATTTTCATCCCACCCACCACTAGAACAGTGCTTCTCCAAAACAGGAGTTAGTGCTTGGACTGTAAGAGGTTCTCCAGGCTTACAATAAATCATAGCTTAAGCAAATCACAAGTTGCCCTTTTTGAATTTAGTTTGAAAGTATCAGCTCCCTCTTTTGTTTTAATCTCCTCAGTACTGCACCAGAGGAGGGCCATGAAGATGTTGACAGGGTTGGGCATCACACCCAAACTGCACCGTGGGGTGCTTGGGCAGGTGGGCTCTAAAGTGTCTCAGATGATTTATGGGCACCTGTGCATTTCAGCTGGGATTCCTTTCAGACTTGTGAGCTGTTAAGAGCTCAGGGACGTGTGAGGTCTGATAAGAGCTGCTACATCAACAATTTCAGGGATATTTTAGGACTGCTATGGCAACCCTTCTTCTCACCTCTGTAGATTTCTTTTGACAACCAGGATTTTCCATTTTAGATGGCATTTGTTCCCTCCCTGCAGGAAAATGATGATGAAGACAAGACAACACTGTTAGCAGTAAGGCCATAGGATTAGATATCATACACAGTAGAAACTACTCTTGTTGCCACTGGCACTATGGAGCAGTTTGGAAGGAGGATCTGCCATTTTTCTGGCTACCCCATGCCCCATGGGCTGCACTTTGACCTTGAACAGATGAAATGGCTCTGGAAGCCCATGTCTACCTGCTCCAAACTGGGTTTATTTTATCTGTTTTAATTTTTTCTAGACCATCTATATTTCCATAGAAAATCTCTAGATGGTCTACAACAGTAAAAACATCAGAACAGCTGTGTCACTTGGTTGGCTGTGGGACTTGGATTGCTTAGATGCAACCCTGAGCTGGGCAGCAGGGGGCATGTGTGAAACACAGATGCTCTTGCTCAGAAAAGCCCATGTGACTTGGGCTGTCAGAGGGTTTAGATTCATTTTTTACAGGACTCTGTTACTGCCCAGCTGTGGCACTGCATTGCCCAGCCATTTAGGGTGCTCCATAGCAAGAGAATGTGAGTACTTGATCCTAAATCTGGTTTCTTACAGAATGAATGTATTGCATTGGTGATTGTTGAATGGCTTTCCAAACCTTAAAGGTCTTGTATTAGCTATGAAAATCTTCAGAACTTGAACAGTGCACATTGCTGGGGCTTTTGAAGTTCAGTTAGCAGTATTTTGCCTTTCAGAAGAAAATTGAATGAAAAACGTACTTGTATGTTCTGTCAAAGTATTGAGTGATTTCAAACTAGTTATTTTCTGCAGTGCTCCATATTACCTGCATAGGGATATATCCAATGGTCTATCTCTCCAGTGAAAAGAAACTGCTGGTTAATGCTGCTGCTGCTGCTGCTGCTGCTACTTATGCTAATACTAATACTAATGCTGCTACTACTAATGCCTCTGTATCCCACCTTTCTTCCTCTTACAAGGACCCTAAAGCAGCTTAGAAGATTCATCTTCTCTCCAATTCACTTCCCCCATCCCCTCATGTATCACACCAAATCTGTTGCAGAAAGTTTGGGGAGCTTCCAAAGCAGGTGTGGGCTGCAGTGGCAAGGACAAAGATGAAACAATTCCTGTTGCACAAATTCCATTCATGCAACTGCTGAATCTAAGCAGTGTGGAAAATACAATTTTGATTGGTCCTCTTTCTTTCACCCTGCCCCTGTCCTGGAAGTAGCCTGGACAGATTTCTCCTAAAGTATAAACATTTATTTTTTTGGCCAGGCAGGGCAGAAATTCAGTGTAGTTAAACCTCTTTTGTTCCCTGCTTTTCTGAAGTGATTGGGAAGAAGATGAGTTGGGAAATGCCATGTGATCACATCTCCCTGACCAGAATTCATGCTTTAAAGCTAAGGAAAATACAGATCTAACTATTTAAGGGAACAATCTTACTGGAGTTATCATAAGCCCTGGAACTCAGGCTGGAACTCATTTTATGCATGGCAAGAGAAGTGGCACAAGTGATCTTCGCCTCACTGTCAGCCCATCCTGCATTTTTCATTGGATGGGCTTTTTTTGCAAAATTAGTGACAGTCTTTCAGTGTGGGAGGAAAGGAGGCTGTTGATAGTTCATATCCTGGCTTCTCTGATCTTCCCAGATCCTTCTATCCCTCTTTGAGGTTGCTTTCCTGATCTCAAAGAACCGCCCATGCTGTTCGTTCTTTGCTGGCTGTGAGGGGAAATGGTGGGACTCCAGTTCCCATCTTTGAGGTCGCAGCACTTTTTTTGACCTTGGATCTGGGAATCTGTAGTATCCCGTGGTTGCTCAGATGCTGTCTGTGGGCCAGAGGATTGCTCCCTAAAGCAGTAAGGTAAATTAAGTTAAAGTGGAATTAATGTATTCTAATGTGGTTAATTTGGTGAGAATTTCCGGGCATCCAGTTGTGGATATCAAAATGGGCATCCACATTGAATCACACAATAATGACTTCTGTTGCCCATGAACCCAAAAGGCCCACAAGCAGGGGGTGATGGAAATGTGTGTGCAGGGTGTGGGCTTAGGGCTCCCTCCCCTGGCATGTTCAGCAGTCACGGAGAATGCCTAAATGACAATAGTGATGCAAGCATGCTCCAAAAGCTGAGAGGGAAAGAAGCAGGTAGAAAGGAATATGGACTCAAGAAGGCTGAAACCAGTTATGCAAGGAAGCTAGTGAGGCTTACTAGAAACAACTAAAAATACTTTTTCAAAACAAAAAACAAATGAAAGATGTGAGTTCCGCAATTCAACATGGATAGCAAAAAGATGGATTGCAAGGAAAAGACAGAGGCACTTAACTCCTACTTTGACTCAGTGTTCTCTCACAAGAGAAAATATGATCTACCTACAGAGCAGAAAGTACAAAAAGAAAGGGAAGGGTAACAGCCTAAGATCAAGAATCAAATGGTCAAGGAGCACCTTGAGGAGCTTAATGCATTTAATTCTTCAGGACCAGATCAGCTCCATCCTGGAGTCATAAAGGAACTGGAGGAAGAACTCTCTGAACCACTATAATATTTGAGAAATCTTGGAAAACAGGGGTAGTGCCAGATGACTGGAGAAGAGCTGATGATGTCCCCATCCATAAGAAAGATGAACTGAGGTACTATAGACCAGTCAGTCTAACATCAATCCCTGAGGAAATATTGATGCAAAGTATTTAAAAATCACTCTGTAACTACCTAGAAGAAAATGCAATGATGAACAAAAGCCAATATGGATTTATTAGGAATGTCATGCCAAACTAATGTAACCTAAGTTTTTGACTGGGTTTTCGCTGCCCAAATGGACAGCAAAAAAGCTGTGGACATAATTTAACTAGACTTTGGCAAAGCATCTGACAAAAGTTCCCCACAACATCTTAATAAACAAACTAGCAAAATATGGGCTTGTCAGAGCTACTATTAGGTGAATCTACAACTGGCTACAATATCAGTCACAGAGAATGCTCATCATCAATGGCACTTTCTAAAGCTGGAGAGAGGTAATGAATGGGATGCCACAGAACTCAGTCCTGGGACCAGTGCTCTTCAACATCTTTAGTAATGATCTAGATGAGGAAATCCAGAGAACGATAATTAAATTTGCAGATGACACAAAACTGCGCGAAATAGCTAACACCATGGAAGACAAAAAGAAGATCCAGGGTGACCTAGACAAGCTAGAATCCTGGACAAAAAGCAACCGAATGAAATTCAACAGCAACAAATGCCAAGTTTGCCTCCTAGGGAAACAAATTAATGCATTGATACAAGATGGGGACTACTTGGCTCAACCACACTGAAAAAGAAAAAGACCTTGGAGTTGTTGTAGACAAACTAAATATGAGCCAGTAATGCAATGCAGTTGAAAAAAAGGCAAGCACTATTTTCAATTCTGGGCACCCAGGTTTTTAAAAGTTGCAAAAAAGTAGAAAGGCTAAAGCAGAAGACAGCAAAGATGATCCAGGGTCTGGAAACTAAGTCCTATGATGAGAGGCTGAGACAGTTGGACAATTGAGAAGAGTATGAAGGGTTATGATAGTATTCTACATGTACCTCAACAATTGTCAGAAAGAGGACAGAAAAGACTTCTTATTCATCCCTGAGCGTAGGACATGGAACTATAACGTTAAACTGCAGTATACCAGATTCAGGTTGACATCAAGAAAATTTGTCTCACTGTCAGAGCAATACAGCAGTGGAACCAGTTGCCTAGAGAGGTTGTGGGTCTCAGGGAGACAGTCAGGGTGAAATTGAACAGTCATCTGAGTGGGTTGGTGTGACTTGGTGTCCTGCAGCAGCAGGGTTTGAACCTGATGGCCTTCACAGCCCCTTCTGTGAAGCTATGAATAGAGAAGAAACAAATCTATCTGACTTGTCAGTTCCTGTGATAAAGAGAAGGAAAGGGCCACTGGGGTGCCAGATCATTTGACAGATTCATCATCAAGACATTTTAAACAAAAGTGAGTTACAGAAACTTGGTGGAAAATGTTGAACAGACTTCTTTAAAGCAGGGATGAGGAACATGTGGCTCTTCGGAAGTCAATGGACTGCAATTCCTGTCATCTCTCATCTGCTGGGAGTTGCAATCCCACCAACATATGGAGGGCCACATAATCCCCATTCAGCAACAACCCCCCACTCTAAGGTAGGAAATAGTCCCATTTTGTTGATAGAGAAGTCAGAGTTGCACTTTGACCCATCTAGGATAAAATTGAGCTAAAGCTCAAGCTCAGTGTGGCTGCCAGTAATATTTCTGTTTTGCTGGTTGCATCCCTCATAATTATCAGAATTAATTGATTCTCTGTATTGTTTAGCTATAAGCATACAGCTTATTTGCAGTGGATTCAGATCAAGAGCTAGTTTTGCTCACATGTATCATGAAAGCAGGGATAAGCAACTTGCAGCCCTCCAGATTCTGTTGAATTCCAACACATAACAGCCTGACCTTTGTCCATGATGACCGGGGCTCATAGGAGTCAAGTCCATTAACATCTGGAAGGCCACACGTTGCCCACCTCTGTGTTAAAACCTTCAGTCTATTAATTTCTAGAATCCCTGAAACAATGTGGCCTTTTCTAATGCACCAGTGTGGTATAGTGGTTAAGAGCATGGGACTGGGACTCAGACGATCTGAGTTCTAGTCCCTGCTCAGCCATGGAGCCAACAGGGTGACTTGGGCCAGTCACAGACTCTCAGCCCAACCTACCTCATGGGGTTGTTGTTGTGGGGATAAGATGGAGGAGGAGAATGATGTGAGCTGCCTTGAGCACTTTGTAGGAAAAAGGCAGTATATAAATCGGAAAAAAACTTGCAAAATCTGTTCTGTTTTCTGGACTTTGATTCTCCTCTTCTTTAGGAAATAGACGGTATTCCTCTGATAATGTCCATGTTTAAATCCTAGAATTAAGTTTATCCACTGTGCATAAGGTATATACTTGTTAAAGGGGTGTATACCAAGTTTTCATTCTCCAATATCAGCAATTTGTGGATAATGCTGGAGGTTTAGGGGAGGGAGCGCTGAAAGAAAGATCCTCAGCACCATTTGTAACAGTGATGTTGAAGTATTTTAAAGCATGAAATAGCAAACGATATATAATTATCAAGGGCCAGCTGACGCAGATTTAAGGACAGTTGATTTGCACTCCAACACAGTGGAGGACAGATTCTGCACTTGTGCCATCATTTTGTACTTTACTGTATTTTATTTTTTATTTAAACCACCAACCAAATCCAGCAACTGTAGCAATGTATTGAAGAGCTCACTTAGAACTGAAGAAAAGGTTGCCTTTGAGTATCTGCTAAGCCCAGGAAAGATGAGCTTACAGATCTGCACAAAAATCCACTTCTGGTTATCCCATGCTTTCTTCATTTTAGAAGCCTTAAATAGGGGGTAGGGAATCATTTTGTTGCTGCTACTGGAATTCCAAAATCCTTGCCAACCTGCTGCAAATCACCCAGAGATCTACCAGTAGATTTTAAGCTAACTTTTGCCAACCGCTGATTTAAGACATCTTATTTAGGTTTTTGTTTGCTTGCTTAAAAAAAAAAAAAAAACCTTCCCGAAACCTATGAATAGCAAAATTTTCACACAGCCCATTCCCTTCCTCACACACACCCCTTAGAGAGAAACCTCATATCGAACCATTGCTACCTAGCTTTCACAAGTTCATTGTTTTGTTTAAACAGCAAATGGAATTGGTCTACCCCTCCTCTGCTATTCCCAGAAGAGAAGACTCAACCACAAAACACCACACTTATCTGTCTTCCTCACTTACTATCTTCTGCCTCTGTTGCCTCTTCTGTTTTAACACATGCTTGGATGAACAATCCACCCCCTTCCTCCTCCCTCTCAGATGCATTCCCTTCCCTCCTTATCTCCAGTTGCAATGATTCGCCATCTTCTGGTATTAACTTCGTAGGCACTGGATATGTTGCCTAGTTTAGTTTTTCATGCATCCTGATTAGACATGCTGGCTGAATCCCCCCCCCCCCCCACACACACACACTTTCTTCTTAGCTACCTTTTTTCGTGTTGGTATCCAGTCTGGCAGATGAAAGGAAGCAAGTTCTAAATATAGGTCCTAAGAAGGGCAGGAAAAAGTGACAGTAATTCCTTCTTCTCTGATAAGAAGATTGAGGTAATACATCTCTTGCTGTACTCCAAGTTTTCCATCTGAAAAGCAATCCCGGGAAAATGGCCACTGCCTTGATTTGCTAAACCTGAAAATAACAAATTCACATCTTTTATTCCAGGTTGGTATATATTTTTTTCTATTTTTATACTGTCTAATTTTTGTTTGAGTTTCTTTGTATGACACAATTGTATTTTTAAGCCATTGGCCAAAGGGTCTCTAAGCTGTTACATTTCTATGGTTATTGTGCTTGATGGCTTTGCCTTTGTGTGAAATTAAAACATTGTATACAGAGATCAAGATGATCAGTGCTACCTTTTAACTAGAAGCACAGAAATACCTTGCAAGCTCAGTTAGTAAAACATTTTAGAAAGCACTAGGATTCTTGGTAAACTTGCTTCTGGAGACCTGGGCTTCTCCCAGAGATTCACTGCTGTTAGAATCACAGTATAGTGAGAATCTGTTCGTGGAATGAAAGAATCCCCAGAAGAGCATAATTTTGTTTTTTGATCCCCCCTTTCCCTTTCCAGTGATGAGTTCTGACAATATCATCTCTCTGGCAGCACTTTCATAGCAAACTAGGAACTGATGTTCTTGTATTAAAGAAGTATATTCTCTTCCTCGTTAATCCTTTGCTTAAAATAGATTGAGCTTGCATGTGTAGTGCAAAGGCCACTGAGAACACACTTCTGAATTGCTTAAAAAGAATTATGGCACAGTTCATGTGTTGCTGAGAGTTGCCTTCTGTTGCCATTATGCTCAAAAGCTACATGCAATTTCCCATGCTACACAACTTTTGCAATAATAACCAAAAGAGACTGTTCTCTGTAGTCGCTCCTTTCACATATGCATGCCGCTGTGAAGCAAACAGTTTTTTAAAAGAGATAATTGTGGTAATGTGACCCAGATATTCAGAAACACTCTGACAGTGAGCATCTCTCTAGTTGTTTTATATAACAAACACAGCCAAAATAAGATTCTCTAGTGTTAAACATATCATGGAAAGAAATTGAGAAGGAGTTATGCAAGCCTAAATCTCACTTTCTGTCACCTAAACAATTTAGGATTTACCTGCCCATGGTCTAATTCAATACCCTTCTAGTACTACCTGTGGAGAAGAATTTGAGTTGATGCTGTTCCTTCCTAAGCTGGTATTGTTGGCCATTAGGAGAGAGTCAGTTGTGACAGCAGAAGACACAGTTTAAGCTGTCCACCCCTTGACCTTCCCTTGCAGATGTTCCTGGAGTAGTGTGGAGGCAGCAGCTGGGTTTTTTCTGGGTTTGGTTCCTCTGAAACAACTGAACCAGTGCACACAGATCATAGGCAGAAAGGACCTAGCAGTAGAATCATCCTTTTCTGAGTTGGGATTCACCGAGTGCCAGGACAGCACCTCCACACATATACCCGTCAGTTATTGTATACCTTCCCACGTCCACCATGTACTAAATGTCACAATGGAGAACCAAGGGTGCTGCAGAAAGGGAAATATGAAACAGAGGACTCAATTATATTTTCCAAGAGGACAAAATTATCTTCGGGAACAATAAATAGATCTGGCACAGAACTAACTACGATGCTCAGTCACATCCTCTCTAAATGTGATTAAAACTCACCAACACCATTCCAACTTGTAATTAGGCACAATTAGAGATATCACGCTATTTCATCCTAGACATATTTACCCTTGCCTATGGTATGCCTTGATGTACCCCTTAATGGTGAGAAAACAACTTAAGGATCAATTTGCTGAGATTTCCCTTTTTAAATCCCAGTGAGTGACAAACCGGGAAAGGTGTTGCAGATAACCCTTCATAAGTGCATCCCAGGCTGTATTTTGACTCCTGGTATGATTTTGCTTATACAGTACTCCCAGGAGCAGAGTTCCAGAAGTATGTGCATCTAATAATTAACTACCAAAGGTGGTGTTTTACATGCATACATCTTGATTTAAAAGCACCATAAAAATCTCATGTTTTACTCTTCAAGACTCCATAAATAACTCTTTATTTTGCTTTGTTTTCTAGTGGGACTTCTGATTTTCATGCAGCAGATGATCCACTTGGAGAAAAGAGGCGAATCCCCAAGAATGAAGGAGAAAGCAGAGAGGGCGGCACGGTTGTGCAGCCATGAAAATGGTACAGTCTTTTGCTTGAGTTTGCCTTATAAATTCTTGGCATGATTAAAAGACTAATTCGAAGGATCTAATAGTAGATATTATTTCCTGGTAGTGAAGTCTGCATATAAGTATGCCACCAGCCTGCATAAATGGAAAAATCCATTTGCAAATATATATATATATGTGTGTGTGTGTGTGTGTGTATCTAATAAAACTGAAATGTTTACATTTATTTAAAAATGCCAGTTGGCTAATCTATCAAAACCAAAGAGGTTCCAGATAATTTTGCATGCAGGCATTGGCCTATCTAGACCGACTTGTCTTCTGCAAGGTTACTGCACTGGGTGCTTGCAGGATCTGCTGTAGGGTCCTATCCCAGTTGGGAATGATGCATTTTCGGTAGACAAAGTTACAGTGGTACCTCGGTTCATGAATGCCTCTGTTCACGACCAAATTGGTTCACGAACAAAAATTTCAGAAAAATTTTTTCTCCATTTGTGAACTCCACATTGGGCGACAACCATGATCATAGCCATGTTCCCTCACGAACACAGTTGCGATCACACCCATCTTCTCCGCTCACGGTTGCAGACAGACCTGTGGTCACTTGCTGTGAAGCTTTTTTGTGTGCTTTTTAGCACATACAGTACTGTAAAGTATTATTCAATAATAATATTGAATAATGGCTCCAAAGAAAGTCCAGAACAAGCATGGTGGTAAAAAGAACGTGCAGAGCAGTAATGAAGGTGACAAGAATGTGCAGGTTTTTCACCAAAATTGACCTTGCAGCTAAGAGACAAAGAAGAGAGGAAACCCCTGAAAGAGATCTCCCCGATGTCCTTATCCTCCATAATTACTCTCCCCTCAAACATTACCCTCCCCCCCACATAGGTTAGTGCTCTCCACTGTACAGTACTTTGTTACTTTGTTGTTCTTTGTCACTTTGTTTCAAATTCTTGTGATTAAAATATATTTACAGAACGGATTAACCTTATTAACCTTATTTACATTGAACCTTATGGGGGAATTTGACTTGGCTTGCGACCAAAATAGGTTCATGACCACATTCGTAGGGGTCAGAACGGATTAAACTTATTTACATTGAACCTTATGGGGGAATTTGACTTGGTTCGCGAATCATGGAACAAATTAAGTTCATTAACCGAGGTACCACTGTATAATTAGCAGTGAACAAGTCTCCATCATGTCTATTCCTTTTAGTGGCTGTCCCAAAAAGGAATCTATGCAAAAAATGAGAAGCAGAAAATGCCATAATGTTAATATACATTCTCTGTTGGTTTTGTGGTTTAGGTTTATTTCACCTTCTATCTCTGGTCCTCCAAGAGCTGAGCCTGTTCTATAAGAGAGATGTCAATGGAGTTGGTATGTTATATGACCTGCTCAGTTCTCCGTGGCTACAGGCTCTCCTAAAGGTAAGGGCTCTTTCAAGGAGAACTGAGCCATTTGGCAGTGATGGTGCTTCAGCTTCTTAGTGTAATACAGTCATCACCAACCTGGTGTCATTCAGTTGTCTTGAGTTGCTATTCTGGCATTCCTGGACAATGAACATGTGAGCTGGGAGTAACGCAAGTTGAAGTCCAAATCCTCTGCAGCACACTAGGTCGGGGAAGGCTTGTTCATAGTTTTCTGAATGTATCTTCGAGAACTACTACTAATTTTAACTGTTCTTCATTGCATGTGTGGATGATCAGAAACAATTTGTGGGAATATATGTCAGTCCCCCTCCCCACTAAATAATTATTGTAGTTCCATATACAAGCTATTTGTATAAATTAATGTTACCAGACATAAAATACAGATGTGTTTAAGCCATATAAGAATGATAATTCCAGCATACCACCCAAAGACCAATTTCCTTTCTCCGGACCTGGGCATCCTACCTGATAGTCGCAGATGTTCCTGCCTTCTATTAATGTAAATGGAATTAACTGGACTAAAACTGGGTTCTGAAAGGGACACCTTCCTTTAGAAATCCAGTTACATTATGGCTTATTCTCATTGTTTATTTAGTGCCGTTAGTACAGCACTTTGCAGAAGCTTAGCAACATGAGGTACTGGTCTCTCGCTCCAGGAAATGTGAAGTCTAAAGTTTGACCCTGGGAAAGACAGCAGAGAAAACCAACCATGGTGGGATGAGATGATTGTGAGCAAATGGTGCTGTTTTTTTGGCTTTGCGACCATTATGGGTGGCAGCTGCTACTTTTAGGGAAAGGGAATTCATAGCAACTCTTATTCTGTGCCATGTGACATGCAGCACAGCTTTTCTTTTAAGGGCTAGTCTGGTTAGGAATTCCATGCAGGGGAGAGACCAGTCCCTGGGTGGGAAGATTGCCCTGCGCTGCTCTTGGCTGTCCAGATGCCTTTTCTGATAGCAAGGAGAGCAAGTTATACCATGTAAGCAGCACGAACGTGAGCTTCAACCCATATGACATTTGTCACTATAGGATCTTCACCTTTTGACCTTTCCATTACTAGGTTTATGAATGCCTTCATCAGTATATCAAAAGGAGACCAGTTCCGCTCACCCTGCAGGCACGAGCACTAACCCATGAGGTGAGTTTGCTAAACCAAATCCCCAGAACAATTTTCAGGGCTTCCAATTTTCCTTTCAGCAGTGGTGTGGTGGAGCCAAGTCTCCCAGGGGCATTTTGATTAGCAGCAACAACATATCAGTTGTCACCCTTCCATCCCTGTCTCATTCCAGACTTCCTTGGTGTCTCTGAGCTGACTTACAATCCTCACAGTTTTCCCAGTGACAATATATTGTTGTGAGCCATCCCAGTCTAACACATAGACTGATCAACGATGAATACTGATTAGCATTGCAAAAACATTTTGGTACACTGCCTGCATGCATCAACACAGCTGCTTGCATTTTGGGCCTCTTCTTGGGGCCACAGCTGGGGTGGTGACAGGCTCTCCTCATGAGCACTGGCACATTGCAATTCACACAACACCACTGCCTTTTGGTGTCATGATCTCCAGAAGAACTACGCGCGCAGTCTTTCCCAAGCATCATTTCTCTGATGTTTGTATCATTTACCTTTACTTTCAAAACATCAGTGAGTTGCCATTCTTCAAATACACTTTTTTTCAAAAAAGAAAGATGCAAAACTAGAAGTTTTTGTAATGTAACAAGTCTTCCTTTTTCATCCACAGGTTGTGGAGTTGTTGCGTGGAGTCCAGCAGTCTCCAGAGGCTAAAGAGCTCAAGCGACTTCTGCGGGGACCACACTTCAAGGCACGTGCTGGTCCCTTAAATTAGGCAGCACTGAGGGAGAAAGACCAGGTTGAATTATTAAGATGAATGGCCAAAAAGTGACACAGGATGAGTGACTCTTTAATCACTCTGAAAGAATTAAGAGCATGGTACTACTGGAAGAAACGTTAATGTTGAACACCTTGAATGAAGGCATAATCACCCATCTTTACTCAAGACAGTCCCAGTAGATAAAACTGTTGGAGAAAGCAGAAAGGGAACAACCAACTTTTTTTCCCAGCAGTTTAGCATGAGAGGTGTTTATACCATAATATTCTGCAGCTGCTGTTGGGTTTTTCCTGCCCTGTATTTTTAAAATGTAAGGCCATTCTCAGAACCTTTTGAATACAGGCCCTTTGGTTGATTTCTGTTAGCTTTTTACATGGACCTTTTGATAATGGGGAATATAATTTGACCCACCAAAGTTACATGAGTCAAATTCCAGCTTCCCCCTGCATGCCCTCAAATCTACTGCAGAGGATATTCCAACTCTCCAGAGCAACCAGGAAGTGAATCTTGGTTTGTTAGGTTATGAACTCTGCGTTGGCTGTTGTTAACAACCCATATTTAAACTGTGGTGCAGGGTTCACATGTAATAACAACACATGATACAGCAACAACCAGGTCACTGTGTGTTAGAGTTGGGTGCCTTAACTTTAAATTCTGGACTGGGTAGCCCATTCATTCGTTATCTATTGATTCTTTGTTCATAAAAAATTGGTAAATGTGGACATCTGTACAATAACATGGCTAAAAAAACTATTTTACATTCTTGTATAATAGAAAGATAAACTGTTTTAAATTTGTTTACTTGAATGTTATATAGTGTCATGTTATACCTGTATTTTTTATTGAACAGTATCTCTTTCTGTATTTTTGAGAAATTGTTGTGACCCACCCAGAATGCTTCAGCTATTGAGCAGTATTGATGGGGAAAATGGTATAAGGACAGATCAAACTCATGCACTGTGTCGAGACTGTAATGCTTTTCAGCAGAATGGTGCAAAAGTAAATGAAAGCATCTAATGAGAGCATTAGGTCAAACTAATTTTGCTTACTGAACTTCTCAAATAGCCACATTCCATGATCACCTAACCACTGTTTCTCCCCTCTCTCTTTTGGTCTTAGGCCTTACTTTCAGCTCATGATATTGTGGCCCAAAAAGATTATGAACCAATTCTTCCACCTCTACCAGATAACATCCCTGAAAATGAGGAGGCTATGAGAATTGTCTGCCTGGTGAAAAACAAGCAGCCACTTGTAATATTGCATTTTAATTCTAAATTTGTGAAGTCCATTGTAGCAATACCTTTCTTCTTAAGATTAAAAGAAATGCTATCCAGATTAGGGCTTCTGTTACCGTTGAATGTTGATTTTGCTGCTTTGAATATATGTCAGACAACATGGAGGACACAAGCATAAAATGAAGCTGCTGAAATCAAGTATTTTTCCCAAATATGCTGCTTTAAGGACATAATCCTATACTTGTTTAAGCATAAGAAAGTCCTACAACTCTCAGCATTCCCCAGCCAGCCATGTTGTATTCTGCAGAAAATTCATATTCTGTGTATTTCCCTGCTTTTTGAAAGTTGTAATTTATCTTAAGTTTTAGCAATATGCTGTGCTAGAGAAGGAAAATATTACTATCAGAAATTAATTTACAGGTTACTGCAAGAGGTGGAAGCATTAAAATGTGAATTTTATGATAGCCACTATTGTTAGGGACTTCTCATAAATCAGTCACAAATAGGTTTCTCAAAACAGGAAGTCTTGTGGTATATGCCTCACACCAGCAGCAACTGGTAACTTCTAACTATTAGCTTCTGCCACTTTTACTGCCTTTTCTTGTAATTCCTCAACATAGTTTCTGAATTGTGTCTTTTACTACTTCCCTTTTCACTCGCACAAGGTGTGCACAGTTACAGATTAGCAGTATATGCCTTTTCATAGGTTTTGTATATCACCGTGTTTCAAACTGCACATTTCAGATTGTTGATTCTGGATCCAAAAAGGGAAACCAACAATCTATATTTGACTCTTCCTATTTTAATTTTAAATGGTCCTCTGCATTTATTACATCAAACTCTTTATTTGCTTCCGTTGCTGATGTATTATTGTATCTCTGTGTCAGTGATATACAAGGATGTTGTGATCAATACAGTGTCTTCAGCTGGGGTTATATACTCAGAGTTCTTAGGAAGAAAGGTTGCAACACTTGGGATTTTGTAGCTTAGAAAAAGGGAGAGAATGGGGAGGGTATGATGGAAATGTATACACTTCTGCATGATGTGGAGAAAGCAGACAGAGTTTTTCTGCTTCTCTCATAATATTAGAATCTGGGATCATCCAATGACGCTAACAGGTGGGGGACTGAGTACTTTTTCACCCAGTCAACATATAGCTAAGCTATGGAGTTCACTTCTACAAGATATAGAGATGGCCACCAATTTGGGTGACTTTAAAAAGAGGACTGGACCGCTTCACAAAGGAGAAGGTATCAATGTCTAGTCCTTATGATCACGATATCATACCAACACTAGCAGAAGCAAGATGTGGGAGAACATAAGGACAGTACTGTTTTGCTCCTGTTCTACTCATGGGCTTCCTGTTGGGACAGAATGTGGGGCTAGACAGGCTTTTAGATGGATCCAGCAGGAATCTTCTTACATTCATATGGAAGGGGAGATGCAAGCAGGCTATAACTTTCATGTTTCTAACCTAGGTCATGTCTCAGTAATTTCCAGTAGTCTCTGAATACTCACCAGTGTACCATTCATTCCGAGATAACCTCTCTTCTTTCTCTTCTCCCCCTCCCCACTGCCAGGGTGCCACTATTAAACGCCATGAGCTAACAGGAGATATTACAGTAGCAAGAGTTATCCATGGTGGATTAGCAGACAGAAGTGGTAAGATGAATTCAACACTGTCATCCAACAGGTAGGGAATGGGTTAGCTTTGAGTATCCCTGTGTGCCCATCACTTCAGAGACGCTTTGTAGCAGCGTGAGCCTTTCATGTTGCTTCCAACCCTCCCTGATACAAAGGCCCTCCCACTCTGAGCCAGTGAAGACTGGAGCTTGGACGACTGGGCTTGCCTCACTTTTTCAAGCTGTCGGCAAAGTGGAGTGGGAGAGTTTCATTTGGCTCTCTACTTCACACAGGCAAATGGGCCCACTAGCTCCTAAAATTCTCAAGCTGGCCACTAGAATGGGCTGTCAGAGACCCAACCCAGTGCCCTCCAGCTGTGCTGAACTAAACTCTTGTTGACCTTCTGAGTTCAACAACCCCTGTTGTCCCCAGACAGCACAGACATGTGTTCCAATGCCTCTAGAGAGCCACCAGCTTGGAGCAGGATAGATGTTTTTGAGAGATTAGATAGCAAAGTTTACTGTTCTGATTTGTGTGTGGATTTGGGAGCACTCTGATCACTGAATCCCTTTACCCAACATTCTAGCATTCTGGAGTCCATCAGAAGTTCTGGATAATGTTGTCCTCTTCTTCCCTAGCAAAACTCTCAATATCATCCCTTTCCATCATAGGGCTTTTGTATGCTGGAGATAAATTGGTAGAAGTGAACGGCGTTCCAGTGGAGGGACTAGAGCCAGAGCAAGTAATCCACATACTGGTATGATGCTTAGTCCTTTACCATCTTCTCCATGGGCCCCATGCATCACACATATAGAGCTCTGCACCTGCATGGGGCCTGCGCTTAGGAAGATTACCCTCACGAAACCTGTTCTCCTTCCCCCTTCTCTTTCTCCCCCAGTGGCACTCCAGGTGATCTTTAGGTGTGATGTGTGGTGTGGGAACCACATGCCTTCCACCTTTGGGCACCGCTTGTGCCTATTTTGTTTAGGTGAAGACCACCATGCAGGCTCCTGTTCTCACTGCCAGGTTTTCATGGTGCAAGCATGGACAAACTGAGCATGCTGGCTAAGGGCAGAGATGCTGCACCCTTATGGCCATTGACTTGTTCATGGTGGTGACCGAGCACCCTTTGACCAGTGGGTGCATAGAATCAGTACAAAGAAGCAACTTCCAGTGATACAGCCAGGCCGTGAGGAAGTTCTGAGAAAGGTGGAGTCGGAGGGTAGTCGGTCCCATCCAGGTCCACCGAGTGGCCTTTGCCAACCCATTTCTCCCCCATTTGCTACCAGGTTAACTGGTTGCTTTTCTTTTACATAAAGCCTTTCTTTAGATTTGACATGACTTGACTGCTGGCAATGAAACTCACAAATATACATGGATATTTAAAATAATGTTACTCAGGGTGTTATTGGTCCTGCCTTAACAAGAGATTTGAAGGCCTGGAAGAAGGGAAAGCTAAATCAAAACTAAATGACTGAATCGGGGGGGCGGGGGGAGGCTTTCTCCAAATTTTCCAAAAATCTGTGAGGAAAAAATAGGAAAAATGTTTTCAGTAGGTCATTTTTCCTGCCTCCCTTATTTTTCTGTTTCTCCCCCAGCTACTTGCATCTCTAACCTTTATAAAAGGGCATGTCCAATAGTCTACAAATTGCTGTTCTGTTGACTTTATTGATTCATAGTTCTGCTTGTGGCACAACAGTAAAGCATTCACTCTTGGATGTTGCTTCTCTGGATTCTTGTAGGCGCTCTCGCAGGGAACTATTATGTTCAAGCTGATTCCTGTTTCCGATCGACCAGTCAGCAATCAGACAACAGTAAGACATGTTTCATTCTTCAGATATTTCTTGAGGCAACAGTTAATCCAGTTGTGACTGGCAGGGAGGAGACTGTTCTATCACTTCAGTGTGGCAATTTCTGATGACCCCACTGTGGATTAGGGAAGTTGTAGTCTAACATGTCTTGAGGACACCAAGCTGGGGCAACCTAACTCATCAAGTAGTTCAGTATGAATGTGGCTTATGGTGCTGATACCCTGAGTTTTCATTGCTGAAAGCAAATTTTGGAGTTCACTTGAAGATGTTAGTTATTACTTATACTGCCCAATAGAGATTTTTAAAAATCATAAAAATCACTCAATAGACACATAATAACATCATTAAAATTATTGCATTGTCATCTAATAAAACCATAGGAGGGCTTGGAATTTTGGGGTTCAGTGCTGTCAGTACACCCTAAGGACAACAGGCTGTATCTCCCCCTTCCATCAAAATCAAGGAAACTTGGATTTGTAATAAATTGGATGCCGATTCAGTAATGCACTAGATGAGGAGTCAAGACTGGAGTATGCCTTGTTAGTTGCAGGGCATGTCAAAGAAAAGGCACTCAAGCCATACTGGATGGACTTACCTTCCCCTGAAGATTCAGTGGTGTGACCCTGGACTTGGCCCTGGACCCGGACGCCCCGGTCTTGGTGGTGGCATTTGTGCAGCTGAGGCTGGCGTGCCAACTGTGCCTGTTCCTAGGGAAGTCTGAGCTGGCCTTGGGCATGCATGCTGTAGTCACAGCCCATCTGCTCTGCTGTAATGCACTCTCTTTTGGGGCTGCACTTGGAATGCATGATTTAATATTCAAAAGCATCATCTGGTCCAGAATGCTGTAGCCAGATAGCCAACTGGGCCCAGTTGCAGAGAGCATGCGATTCCCTTAACGACTGCTTCTTAGTGGTGCTCCCTGTGCCTGCATACAGCCTCATTTCAGGAAATGGTTAGAGCAGAGCCCTTGAGCATGAACCCCTCCACCCAAGCCTGCATGTCTGTAGCACATTCCTGCCCATTCCCTCAGTCTCTCTTTGCCCCATGAGAAAATGTCAGTCCTTGCTGTTGCTTTTTCTAGACAGAATGGGTTTGTATCTCTTTGTGCTTACCTTATTGGTTGTCTTTCCTTTGTCTTTTTCCATTGCTCATGTTTCTTAAATTTTTTAACTGATCTCCTGTGCAGCACTGTTTCTTCTCCAGGGAGGTCAGCATGCTGCTCACCCATAGGCATGATGCACAGAGACCATGGCAAAGAACAGGTTGCCTCCATGTCACTGTGGTTCTTCAAGTGGGCATCTGTGCACTCACACACCTGCCCACTAGCCCCACTCTGATGCCCTTCTTAACTTATTCTGGAGTGACACGAATATGTCATTGTTATTGCCATATGGTTCCGTACCATGGTGGATACCATTCCATTCTCTCAGTATCACAGTCCCATATGGGGATCCTCAAGAGATGAAGGGAATGAGCAGGAATCCACTATGGACATGCGAACTCAGATGTTGAGGGAATGTTGTACCACAATTCCTTAGCTGTATAAGATTCCCAAAGCCAGGCTCCAAAGCAGGTGCAGAGCTGATATGTGTGAATGCACAGAAAAGCCACAGCCGTCAGTACTGTTCAGAGTGCTTCCTACGATCTGCAGCAACCTATCCAGCTTGGGACTAGGCTACCAGAAAGACCCCCTTCTCCAGGATGACCTGCCCAGGTTTTAAGACAGTCAGGACAGGGCTTTCTTTTGGTACTGTTTGGAAGAAGCACAGGAGCCTGTGATGGGTGCTTCCACACTGCAGAACTCCCTCCTGAGGGAAGGTAGATTTTCTCCTTCTCCATTGTCCTTCTGTCAACAGCAAAGCTCATTTTATTCAAGTAGGTTTTTGGTACGTAACTCGGTTTGTTGCACTGCATGCTGCATTTACTCTTTTGTTGTTTTCAATTGTGCTTTTAACATACTGTTTTGATCTATAGTTCTAAGCAGCCTTGAGTAGAATGGTGGGATGCAAGTCAATTAATCAACCACATAAATAAATAAATATCAATGGGGCATTAGAGGCATTCAAGAAGGTCTCAAGACATGAGTAGCTCAGAAGTAGAATGAGACATTTTTGAGAACTCAACTCTCCGCAGCAAAACACATATATTAGTCTCTTTTTTAATTAAATAGGGCCTTGGGAATAGTGAAAATTATGTTAAATCTTGTCTATGATTATGAGGACTTAAGTGTCTGCAAAAAGGGCAAGTGCTATTTTAGGATGCATTAATAAAAGTATCACTTCCAAATTCCATGTAGAACTAGTTCCCCTTTACTCAGCACTGGCTAGGCCTCAGCTGGAGTATGTGTCCAGTTCTGGGCACCACAGTTTAAGAAAGATGCAAACCAACTGGAAAGGGTTCGGAGGAGGGCAGCAGGGATGATTCAGGTACTGGAAACATAGTCCTGTGAGGAGAGATCAAAAGAATTGGGCATGTGTAGCCTCAAGAAGAGAAGATGGAAGGGAGATAGGATCGCACTCTGCAAGTACTGGAAAGGCTGTCAACAAAGAGGAAGGAAAAGACCTCAACCATCCCAGAGTTCAGTACATGAAATAATAGGCTCATGCTACAGAAAGTCAGATTCCAGCTAGATATTAGGGAAAAAATCTGATTGATAGAGCAGTACAATTGCCTAGGGAGGTTGTGGGCTCTCCCACACTAGAGACATTCAAGATGCAACGGGACAGTCATCTGTTAGGGATGCTTTAAATTGGAGTCTTGCACTGAGCAGGAGGTTGGACCAGATGGCCTTCTATCCCTTTCCATCTCTACTTTTCTGTGATTCTAAGTTTCTGAAAAAACTGCTATTTTATGAACAAACAGGTTATGCCTAGATGGCCCATGTTCCTGGGGCTAGCAGATCACCATTAGTACTGACTAAGTAGTCCTATTAATTAAAGGCAATACTTTTCCTTGTTCAGGGCACTGCAGAGTGAATTTTGGAATTAGCTCTTCTTTGTTACAAATTTTTGAGTGGTGCTTGGCTGAAAGGAGAGAGAAGGTCTATTTTTATGGTCGTGCAAGATTATAATTTTTTCTCCCTAGGAAAACTCACCTCACTGAAGCCTTCCTTACTGCTGTGTGTATCCAAGCTGTTGTTTTATTTTCTTTCAACTATTTATAATATTAATATTTTTATTTTCTATTTGTTCATCTTTTATCTCTACTGTATTTGTCAGTGTTGTTATCTCCCTTGTGCATGAACCACAGAAAAGCAGGCTGTCACCATCTGTATAACACTCATGCTTTGTGTTGCTGTCACCAGATCTATGTGCGAGCAATGGCGGAATACTGGCCTCTGCAGGACCCTGCTATTCCGTGTGCGGATGCTGGACTGCGATTTAAGAAGGGGGAAATCCTCCAGATTGTGGACCAGAATGATGCTCTCTGGTGGCAAGCAAGAAAAATCTCAGACCTCAGCGCTTGTGCTGGACTCATCCCTTCAAACCACCTTCTGAAGAGGTAAAGACTAGGCAAAAACATACCAAATGACAAGCTAATTTCCTATAGCAGTTTTACTCATCCTGATGACTTCCAGATGTTTGGGACTACAGCTCCCAGAGAGCCTGATGATTGGCTATGCTGCATGGGACATTGTTGTTGTTTGTTGTTGTTATGTGCTGTCAAGTTGTCTCTGATTTATGGTGACCCTCAGAATGAGTACCCTCCAAAATGTCCTGTTCTTGAAAACTTTGCTCAGCTCTTGCAAACTGAAGGCTGTGGCTTCCTTTATGGAGTCCATTCGTCTCATGGCTAGTCTTCCTTTTCTTCTTCTGCCTTCCACTTTCCCTACCATGATTGACTTCTCCAATGACTAGGACTGTTAGGAAGACTAAAACAGCAAGAGACCCCTGAGCTGAGGAAGGCCACTGTTGCTGAACAGCAGTGATAAAGTGGTGGGTCGTTCATTAAAATAAACAATACCATATGTAAATTGCTGGTGATACAATCATATTACTGATGCTGTGTGATCTCCGATTGTTTCCAATCCATTTCCAGGCACAAGGCAAAGTACTGGCATTGATCACTAAAAGTCCTAAAGATTTTTGGACCGGGTTACCCGAAGGATCATCTTCTTCCACATATAATTCCATGTCCCTAAGATCATAGAGGCCTTTCTCTGGGTGTCCCTATCAAATGAGGTGAGGCCTTTTCAGGCATAATGGCCAAGTGTGGAATGTCTCCTCAGAGAGGCTTGTCCGGTGGCTTCTTGATGATTGGTGAAGACCTCTCAGTTCTTTGGGTTCCATCTCCCTCCCTGACCAGCTGGAGTTTTTCTTCACACACAGTAATCATCCCAAGGACAGAGTATCCATAAGTTATTTAGCCACTATAAAAAAAAATCTGATTTCTCATGGCATCTGACCCAGACTTCTGCAGAGTCCATCTGCTAGTATTACCTCTGAATAACACTCCAATGTGCAGCTGATAAGAATGCCCTCAGTTTAAATGCAATCTACTTTATTGTTTTCTTACTGCATTTCATTCTTTTCTGTCTAGGAAGCAACGGGAATTCTGGTGGTCTCAGCCTTTTCAACCCCACACCTGCCTCAAGTCAACAATCTGTGAGTATAAAGCTTTCCCAGTTACAAACTCTGGGTGGGAATGCTTTGTTAAGTGACCTCTTTTGTTTGCTCTTTGGCCTCCACCGTAGAGAATAGCATAAATTACACTACCAGAGAACTGGAACAAAAAATGTGCTTTTAGTTCCAATACCAGAAGCAAAATCTATCATCCTAAGACGGGGGTTGGCCAAAGGTAGATCTCTAGATGTTTCAGATTTCCAGCTCCCTGAAGACCCCTAGCCAGTGATCAAGGATGCTGATAGTTGAAGTCCAAAAGGTCTACAGTAATACCTCGGTTCACAAACGCTTCTGTTCATGAACAATTCGGTTTGCGAACAGAGAGTTCAGCAAAATTTTGCTTCCATTCATGAACTCCGCACTGGGTGATGTATACTTCCCCACAGCATTTCCCATGGCTTTCTTGAGATATCCTATCCCCACTTTGCCTGAGAGCAGGGCTCCTGCACCACCAATCTGATAGGCTTTAGGGTCCCACCAGGCGCTTCAGGGAATGTTTGCTCCACTCGCTCAGGCTGCAGCAGAAGCCCAAGATGGTGCTGTGCCACCTGCTGAAAGGGAGAGCGCGACACGAGGGGGAGCCATGAGGGCGCGCAAGCCTCGGTTGAGGCCTTCCAAGCTCCTCGCCACCACCCCACTTCCTAGGCGGGGGAAGGTCCCGTCGTAGGCATTCGCCTGGCTCCGGGAGGGGGAGTGGGAAAGAGAGGCTGGAGAGGCGAGCGCAGGGCGGCTCCCCCAGCTGGGAGAGGGCTGCAAGGAGGAAGGTAATGGCTGCTTTCCGTGGGCTGAGGTGAGGGACAGGGCCATGGCCGGCCAAGCAGGGCGCCTCCCACCTCTCCCCGCCACGGGAGGAAGAAGCATGGTGGCCACTCGACAGTAGTGGCGGCTTGTCCTGAGAAGGCTGCAGCAGAGGCACAGGAGCTATGGCCCCACTCCCACTCCGCCTCAGTCCGTCCAACCCCAGGCTCATATTTTTGTGGTTAAAAAAAAATTACATATGGTTCAGAAGAGATTAACCTTATTTTACCTTGAACCTTATGGGGAAATTTGATTCGGTTCGCAACCAATTCAGTTTGCTACCAGAATTGTGGAACGAATCAACTTCATGAACCAAGATACCACTGTATTTTCTGCCCACCCCTGCCCCAGGGGCATGAATTTTAAAAAAATCAATTAGATGACTTGCTTCCATTCACCAAGATCAGTGGAGATCAGTGAATATGTGGCTCTGCCTTCCACTTGCTCAGAGGTAGAAGAGATTTTGTCAGAAATGGTTCTGTCCCCCTTAGCTAGCCGCAATACTGTTCAGTCGTGTTTAGATTTATATCAGTCAGAAGCCATCTTCTTCTTTTTTCTAGCAACAATGGTGGGTGCCTCTTTAACTCTACTGTTTTCTTTTTAATTTCCTCCATGGATTTGATGTGAGTAGTGAGTACTGTGGAAGAAGGTAAGCTGCGGTATCCAGATTTGATTTATTTCCTTCCACATGGTCTAAGTAAAATGAACTCTGCAGCCAAGTTTCCACTAATATGGCAAAGCTGTATCTACTGGACATCACTTGGGAATGAAGTGGGGAGGTGTGGGGTGACTTTCCACTTTTAAAAAAATGATTACCTTATGTAGGAAGAGCCACTAAATGGGGCATGATTATAGCCTGGCCCAAGGGCCTACCCAGGTAAAAGATCATCAGGCCCAGGAGATGAGTGAGGTTCATCAGGTCTGCAGTCCTCTTAGGTCAAAGATTCCTTGTTGATTTGTTGAAGCTTGACAGCCCTTTCCAGAGAGAAGACCATGTAGCCCTTGGTCATATCTAGTATGGATTCTGGGTAAATAAGAAAGAGCCTTTGTGGGTTGAAGGTGATGTTTTGTGGTTGAGCTGTGGTGTTGTAGGCATGGGATGGTTACATTCAAGTCTGAAAGGAAGTCATCGTATAACACATTATGCCATTTAGATACACCACAGAGATGATAGAATTCAGGCCTCAGGATGGATTAATTACATCTCTCATAGTGTGAGATTCTTTTTTTTTTTTTACAGCTTTGAGAACTTTACCTTTCTCCCTCCTTTCTATTTATGTTTACAATGAACAGAAGATGACATGCAGATTGATGAGAAGTGCGTAGAAACAGGTAATTGACTCTGTTTAATAATATATGGACATGGTGCTTCTTCTGTCCTTCCTTACTGCAGCTCTAGAGGGACTGAAAATCCATTGGGCACTGAAGTGGTCTGTTGGAATAAATATGCAAAATAAAAACTGTGTGAAAGAAACACGAGAAAGAACAGAGAAATGAATAAATGAACAGATGCTTATAAATTCTGGTTACACTAACACATGGTACTAAAGAGAACCAGCAAGACAAGATGTTAGTTATGTAATTCACTCTCTCTTGTGACATATTCACAAGGAGCACTCACAAGGTCACAAACCACTTGGCCCCAAATCACTCTTCAAGCTTAAGCCTAAAACAATCAGTGCGGCATGCAACATGGAAGAGGCAATTTTTAATTTGAACTCTAGATTTTGAAAATGTGACTATTTAAGTCAAGTGGTCTTGAACTTTCCTGTTCCTGTTCAGGTCTGAAAAGGGGCATAAAGAAATGGTCACAGGTCACAGTCCTTTTTGTACAGGAGCATCGCACACAGATTTCCGACCTAACTGATGTCTTCACCTGTGGTAAAATCACTGAAAATAGTGCTCCTAAAAGAGTTGAGATTATACAAATGTGAGTTAACAGGACTCACTCTGAAACGTGGAAAAGGTTCTTTGCACAAGGTGCCAGATGGCAGCCTGGAACTTTCATTTGTGTTAACATTAGCTTCTTCTCGCGCCATGGCAGTGCTGGATCTGGCCCAATGCCTCGGGAGTGTTTTTCATGTTGCAATAAATGTTTTTCATGTTTATCCAAAAGTAGATCAAAATATTTTTAAACTCCAGCAGGGCTGACAGCCACTTTGGGAATGCAGTTTAGATTGGAAAAATGGGGGGAGGGGATAAGTAGCCTCTCCCCACCAGTGCCCCCGACCCAGTCTGGTATGGAGCCCGCCCACCCAGCATAGCCACTTTTACTGAAAACTAAGATCCAATTATGGATCTGTGTCGTAACATGTATTTTGGTGCTTAAGCAGGGATCAGAGGAGCACCTCGCAGTGTACTAATGCTGCAGGGGTGGCAAATCCCTTCCGATGTGTTATATTTGAAAGCCCTTAGACAGTGATAGTACTGAAATGAAATGTATTTGCTATTTTTTGCTCCCTGGATAATTTAAAAGATGAGGAGACTTTTGAGTCTGGTAAGTAGAATACTTTCTGCAATTCTAGTTACTAACCATACTTGTGGTACTCTTAAGAGTTTCCATAAAATATGTGCTGGAAGGGATTAGATTAAACAACTGTACAATCCTTAAGCTGCTGCTGCTATGCATGGGTGTGTTACAAAATTACTACCTTTTATTTGTTTGCTGAGCCAGACCTGGAAATTTCAAGGTTTAAAAAACATGATTTTGAAATCAGTAGGGTTCTCTTCTCATTGACAGAAATGTTTTTTTTAGTTTAGAATTGCTCTTAAACACACAGTGAAAATTGTAGAACTATGCAAGTGTCACAGAGGGCAGCTGGAAGGTGATGCGATTATATTACGCAAGTGTAATTGAAGTGCTAATCTGCTTGTGGCATCCTTATTACTCTTGATGATGGAGGAGCCATTCTGATACTTGTGTACCAGGATGAACTTACGCATTCATAATAAAAGTGGGGTAAGTCAGACGTAGTGCTTGAAGCATATCTGTTTGTATACTGAGCCAATCAGGCTTAAAGCAGCAGCTAATAAAGACAGCAATTATGAGAGATCATGCTGCTATTCCTAAGGATTTTTTTAGAGTGAAGGCTTATTTTTATGTGATGCGCATATATATATATATATATATATATATATATATAGAGAGAGAGAGAGAGAGAGAGAGAGAGAGAGAGAGAGAGAGAATGCTGAGGTTGTTGGTCCCCTGCCCCACAAGAATCATTCAAATTGTTAGAACAACTTATGTTGCTCCGGTTTGCATGCAATGGCAACTCATGGAATCTGCTCGCACACACAGTGGGTGGGTAGCTATGTGCAAATGTGCTCACCTCTTCCACCTTGGAGCATCACCTGTGACTGGCTCCTTTGCAGCCCATGCATGAATTGAGACCACTGAGTTATTCAGCCCCTAAACAACCCAGCGGTCTGGGTTTGGTCATCAGGCTGCACATAGGAAAGAGCTCGGCATGAGGTTTGGCATAAAGCAGAAGAGGTGGATGCACTGTGGGTAACAAACCCACTCTCACACAACAACCCATTGGTTTTTAAAGAACAATGGGCGTTTGTTATGTGAAAGCCAGCCCAAAGCTCACAATCCAGCACAACAGACCATGGGTTCTCTTTGTGCGTTGGTTGGTCGTGGTTCATGCATAACAACAAGCAGCAGTTCAGTGGTTACTTAAGCTGTGGTCAGCCATCCATGTGAAGCAGAAAGAGGCTAGAAGCAAGTGGCAGATGTGGGAGTGGGGGTGGCTGCAATGGCAGCCATCCAGCCCTTCTCACTCATTGGAGGAGAGTGCTGTGCGTGCCACAGGGCTTGCCCTGCACCCTACCCTGAGGGGCAGAGGGCGACACTCCTTTGTCAGCAGTCTTGAAGGAGAAAGTTCAGTTGTTGGCCCAGTTTACTTTTGTTCATGGAATGCAGAAGGTGCTATCATGTTTTTTGCCTTATGCAGCAAAATGCCTTGAGCTGGCCCTGTGCACCGCTGTCCTCCTCTGGGAGATCAAACACACTGGAATCCATAGTGCTTAGTGAAGGGCAAATCTAAATTTCTTTAAAGGGTCAAAAATGATGCAATGAGAATGGCTTTCTCTGCCTAAGACTTCAAGGACCTTGCCAGAAGAAGTAAGAGACAAAAACTGGGAGTAACAGAGGACTGCTCTTTTCAAATAAAAATGGTTGAGCAGGGATTGGAATGAGATTTGGGGCAGAAGAGGCAGTTACTCGAGTGGAAGGCACAAGTGACCTGTGCAAAGTGGAGATGTCACTGGGAAAGAAAGAGGGGTGCATGTGTTTGCCAGACATTTTGAATGCACCATTAAGAACAGTCAACTTTAGTGAAAGGCTGCCGTAGTAATACTGGATGAGCTGTTCTTTCCACTCTACCACAGCAGATGTGGATGCAAACTACACACGGCCCTTATTTTTAACCTGAATCTTCCTGTTCTTAACATTTTTTGTGCATCATACCAGAGGAGCTTAAAGAAGGTAACTTTAAATTTTCCTTTCTCCTCTACATGTCCAAAAGTAGGTTGTTGATCATGTGGCCATGGTCATCAGGGGCTTATACATAGCAACAAATTTGTTTGTTCATTCAGGTCAGATAAATACACAGAGGAGTAATGCATAGGATGGTCCAGGTGTGGACACTGATGTGCAGTTAACAAATGATAATACATTTGAATGATCTTGGCCAAAGTAGCCAAACTGCTGCCCTCTCAGTGTCCTGGATTTGCATAATCCTTTCCAACTGACAGTGCCAGCTGTGACTCATGGGGGCTGTAGTCAGGAACATTGGAAGGGCCCTGTGTTAGGGTAAGGGCTATTTTACAGTTACTTCTTTGGATGTATCAAGGAAATTTTTATACCATGTGTGTTAATAAGGAAACAGGGAAGGTGTTAAGATGGCAGACAAGTATGTTGCTACCTAATTTTTGCAGGGTGATCTGTTCACTGCCTGACCACTACCTTGGCATGTGTTGTTGTGTGCTTGGGGAATAAATACATTTCTGGATAGATTTTGGCTTGACAAGAGTACTTCCTCATATTGTAGGAAATTCCAAAGCTGCCTGCACAGTTCAGGGCCTTGGAAGGAGGGAATACTGGCAATCAATCAATCCATGGTGACTTTTGCCAATAAATGGTTTGTTTTACAAAAACACAGGTTGGACAATATTGAATAAGCAGGCAGGATGCTTCCAAAATGGAATTGGAGCCCATATTAAAAACCCAAACACAGAACTTTTCTCCCTATCTCATTAACTAAATTCAGCAGCTTTTCTAAATTTAGCTCTGAACCCTCACTCAATAGGCAAACTGATTTCCTACCCTAGCCTGGCTGTTCATGCATGCTGACTTTTATATAGGCTGACCTTGAGAGCTTCCAGATTTAGGGATCCAGGTTCTAATTACTGGAAGTCATCGCACAGCCATTTCATATTTGCTCTTTTATGGATTTTATGTGGTAAGAAAAAACACAAAAAAAGTGGAGGGAAACCATAGGAGAATCACACATGGATGGTGATGACATCTGGCCCCCTGTCAATCCGTGAATATGGCAGGGCAATTGTGGAATAAAAGTCTCATCTGGAAGCCCTCCCAGTGGGCAACTTAGAAAATGCTAGTATTCACCAATTATTAACAAATTCAATAAGAACCCAGAGAACACAAAAGAATGTGGCTATAGAAAGACATAAGTGTAACATTTACTATTCTGAATTGCTGTTCCTCATCCTGTAATTGTTACACCTCATAAGAATGTTTGATGCTAGACATTTGGAGTGAGTCATTACCTCTCTTTTGGTAGCACAATTATCAGTTAAAACGATATTCTTTTTCATCTTTGATATGAAAGACCAGGTAAAATGCCACAGTTCTGATAATAACTCTGCCTCATCCTTATCCTTCCTCACTTTTTACATGTTGCTTTTTTATATTACAGAAGAGGAAGAATTCAGTGGATCTGGTCAGCAGGTTTTCATTAGTACGTAGTTATTCTGAGAGATGGAAGAATTGGTGTGTAAACTCCTACTGGGCTGTCAGAGTAGCTCATTAGTATTTTTATGAGAATTGTCTGCACCATTCCTGAATATTCCTTTACTTATTCTCTCTCTGCTATTCTGTAGGCCTCAAAAACTAATTCTTCTATAACATTTTAATGTTTTATAGTTCTGTCCTGATAAGTATCTATGAGTAACTCTTATGGCTCCCTCTACTTAATAAAAATTATGCCATTTTCCACTGACTTTTGGAAGCCTTTGACTCATGCCCTGTTTAGAAAGATGTATGAACTAGATGTAAACTGCCCTGATAATTTTATGAATGTGATCGTGTAGTACTTGTAAAAAAATAAGATGGGTGAATGGACATTTGAGAAGTTAACTGAAATGACACAGTACTTTTATACTGCTGAGTTTTGTCCTTTATTTAGACAAATGAAATGAAGTTTAGCATTCTGCAAAGGTGTAGAAGCCTAACCTAAACAAAATATAGTCTCATTTTAATCCATCATGAGCACCCTCCAAAAATCAATACATCCTGGTACAATCCAGACATAGGTTTTACCATCTCAGTAAGAAGAAACCAACAGCTGTTGACCCTGAGAGTGAAATGCAACTTTTTGTGTTTAGAGACAGCATACCTCTGGCTGTTGAATGCTGTTGGCCTTTTGGTCCCAAGGGCTGTGTGAATACTTGCTTGGGAGCAGGGGCTGCACATACAGCCACACACACCCCATTTATCCTGTTATGGGTTGCTTGTTCCTTGCTGACAGCGGTGGAGAGGAAAGAATTCTCAGGCTCTCTATAAGAGAATCCAGGCAGGGGTGTTTGTTAGAAGTGGCCACAGGTTCAGTCCTGAGCAGTTGCCTCTGGGAGCAGCTAAGTGTGCCAGGAGGTGTGTCCTGTGCCCCCTAAGCTAACGTGCTACCTTCAGGGATGGTGGAGGACAGTGCCACATCACCAGTGGAAAAGTCAGATTCATCTGCCACTTCCATCAGGTTTTCTGCACAGCATGGGGAAGGAGGCGCCATCTTCCTCTTTACCTCAGGAAGCATGAGCTACCAAGAGGCCCATGGAAGCAGAGTAACAGGCAAGGTGGGCCATGGCCTCATTCAGCATGTCTGCCCTTGCACTTTCAAGAGAAACTGTCCAGGTATCGCTGGCATGCAGCGAAGGGACTGAAGTAGGGTCCTAGGCATAGCTAGAAATCTGAGATCAAGAAGGCTGCCAAGCTAAAGGGCTGAACATAGAGCTGAAGTATAATCCGGAGTGCCAGGATCTGAGGCAGAAGGGAGTATCAGAATGGTCAAAACTATTTCAGACTGGCCCTATTAGAAGCAGAGGTCCACAAATCTTGTCTTGCCTTAGGATCAAGTGGAGACATCCATTCTGTTCCATAGCCATTTGCTAAAGGCCTGTACGGTTCTGCTTTCCTCAGCTGGTTTCCGGAGAAGCATGCGCCTCTGTCGCAGGAAGACCCACAACAGCCACCTGCCATGTTATGCTCGGTGCCCCAGTGGCTGCTACAGTGCTGTGGCAGCTCCTTATGAAGAGGTGGTGAGGTACCAGCGGCTCCCTGGGGATCGAAACAGACTTATTGTCCTTGTAGGTAAGTGGCAACCACTCATGTACTTAGTCCTGATGTATAAGAAGAGGTGATTGTGGAGGGCCTGAACTGAACACAAAGAGGGAGGATTTATCCTCACAGGAGCTGGAAAAGTATGCAGGCAAGCTGTCACTTGGTTGAGTGGGTCAAGGCTGGCCCTGATGTTATGGAGAGTGAGGTAGGTGCCCAACTTGAGTGCCCTGAAAGAGCACAAAATGTTCACTTTTCAACCTAGTTAGGAGGTTTTTGGGGGCAGGGGTGAGGTTACTGTCAAGAACGGGAAAAGTGGCATAGAATTTTCTATCTCAGGTGCCAAAAAACTTGATGGACCTTGACTACTCTGCATGTTCCCCTGGAAGGGAGGGCTGCTATTTACTGCTCTGCCTCAGGGAGAGAAGTATCTTGAGCTGGGCATGGGGTGTGTCTTTGCAGGCCAGAGAAAAAACCTTGAGCCGCTTCATGTGATTTCGAGTGGGGTGGTGGCCTTCTTCAGCCCAAGGACCAAAATCCACTTGGGAGATGAGCTGGAGAGCCTCATCCCAGTGGTGGGGTGGCCATGGAGGCTATTCCAAAATGCATTTGAAAAACCTCCCACACTTTGGCTTAAAGCTCTTCCTGTCAGTGACGAAGCCTTAGGAGGGTGTTTCAGCCTTTCAGAAGGGGAAGAGAGCCTGTGCCAAAGCTGGGAACATTCATAGGAAAGGAGCTGGGATCAAGGGATGGGACGCAGTCTACTGAGGAAGCCTGTGGGGCTGGACTGAGACCCCTGGTGCCCCCAATTTGGGCCTGAGTTTCAACACCCCTGATTAGGCACTTTATGCTCTCTCTCTGCCCTAATTCAGAAAATAAAAAGCTTTCCTTCTTCACATAGCTCTCATGCGTTAAAAAGTGTAACACATTGTGGTGTTCTCATTCAGTACCTTGATGTTCCTTTCTTGAAACATTCAGGGCCTTCAGGTGTTGGAGTGAATGAGCTACGGAGGCGGCTTATCGAAATAAACCCTCATCACTTCCAAAGTGCAGTGCCACGTATGTCATATTTTATGTTTGCATTCTTGATCCTCATAGTGATCAAGAGGTCCACAAATATTGCCTTGTCATAACCACCGGTTGCTATTTGTGCTTGGCACCGATGTCTTTTCAGAAACAATGAAATTCTCTCTTTCTGCTTCTGCCTGCCTCTGTAGCCAAATTAGAATAAGAAACTGAGACGCCTTCTCCCCAAATTCCTTGCCTATGCTACTTATGGCCTTCCAGATTTTGTTGGACTACAATTCCAATCAGCCTTAACCAGCATAGCCAATGATGAGGGATCGCTAAGAGCCAGTGTGATGTGGTGATTAGAGTGCGGAACTGGGGACCCAGATTGAGTTCTACTAAGAAGCTCACTGAACGACTTTGCGCCAGTCACAAACTCCCAGCCCAGCCTACCTGACAGGGTTGTTGTGAGGATAATATGGAGCAATGTAGGCTGCCTTGGGTTCCTCACAAGAGGAAAAGAGTGGGATATAAATGCAAAGTAATAACAATGACAACAGAATTGCAGTCCAGCCTCATCAGGAGAGTCATAAGTTGTCCAAGTGTATTGTAGAGCAAAGTATCAGAAGGCAGATCAGGATCTGCACTGGAACTCTGGGCGATTCCCAGTCAGAATTTTGCAGCAAGGATTTCTGACTCCCAGTGGCTTAACAATAAAATGATATCCCCTACCCTAGTTATGCTAATAAAGAACACTTGGGACAAGCAGTTATGGATTTTTGTGTGTTAGATCTGTGAGTTCAGGTGAATTCTGGTGTGCAAAACACAGTCCTGGGCTCAGAATTCTAAGTCTGTGTTTTTGCACTGCTTCTGGTGGGTGGATCTTGGGCATCCAGAGGAAAATGTGGTTTATTCAGATTCTTGTAGCCTAAAGCCTTTCTGGTGGTGTACTGGACACTTTTCAAGAGCCGAGAATGTTTCTCACTTAGCATGAAATGAGGGATGCAGGGAAGCATTGTGGTGAGGGGGGCTGTGCACTCTGGACTAGCCTACAACATCCTCATGCCAGTCCCCTCCCCCCCTTCATTTTCCACCCTCACAGCTTCCCACAACAGCATCTGAAACAGGGTTCTCCTCCTCTTAAAATAATCATCAGTAGAACACTCGGCTTGACTGGAAATCTTTTTTTATAGGAGTCTCCGGTCACATGGAGCACTCTGCTCACCTTCAGTCGAACGTGAATAGAGAGGCCCACTCCAGACTTCGCTGCTCCACGCAGTGAGGGTGGGGAGCAAAGGAGTGGGGCCAGGTGGAGCCCACCCGGAACGTGTTGCCGCGTGTTCTTCAGGACTTGTGAATGGGGCTTTAGTCTTTCCCGGCTCACTGTTCTCCAACTCCAAGTTGTCCCTGCCCGGTGGCTTTTCTCCCCATGGAGTTTTCAGATGTGTACTTGCTACCTGATAGAAACAAATGCTGCATCATAGGTTTCACTGCTTGTATCTTTAATCCTTCAGCAAGTCCATGGAATTACCTCCTGTTATGCATTCAGAATTGGTAGCAAAAACAGTTTATATAGATATTCTGATATTCCATCTCTATATAGAAAAAGAAGGTGTTGTTCTGGTGCTCTACTTTGAATATTGCAAGAGCATAGCTGGACACAGAATCTGAGCCTTGGCGTGCGATCTGGATACACCATGAAGTCATTCCAGGCCAATTTGTATGATCATTTGAGATTCTACTTACTGAATTACAAGCAAACTTGTCTCTATTGGGACACAATATGCTTGCTTTATGTCTTTGGGGTTTTTTAGTGCCATTTTTGAATACTGCTGTGCGAGGGCTATTTCATTTGGCCAAGCTATAGCATAAATTATGGTTGGGTTTTGCAGCTCTTTTAAAACTGGGATTGGGAGCTGAGATCTGGAAAAATCTTCTGTGTGTACTTGGAATTTATGGAATTTCGTCTTTGCTGCTGCCCTGAACAAAATCCCCTAATCCAAGGGGCAGCTTTCCAGGCAGTGTGTAGAACTGAGGTTAGGACTGAGTTCTAATGCATGCATGACGGCTTGCCGCAGACCTCTTTGAATCCAGGCCAGGGCTTTTAGCATGGGTTACTAAGCCACACAGACATGTCAACTACTTAGTCTTTGCAAAAGTTCCAGCTTTTAATTATTTATAGATGAATTAATATATTTTAATCTTTATTCCTCACTAAAAGATACAACCCGGGTTCAAAAGAGCTATGAAGAGAATGGGCGAGAGTACCACTATGTACCAAGGGAAACATTTGAAAATATGGTATACACTCACAGGTAGGTCTTAATTCACAATGATCATCCTTCATTCATTACTTTTCAAGGTCATGCCAGTAAGGACAAGGGCTGTGGAGTTTGGGTGTAAACATCTGTGGCAGATACTACAGTTGAAATGTAAGAACCATGTGGGGGTAAACATGTAAAGTGCAAAAGAGCACAGTATGCTTTCAGATATCCAATAGATGTGCCAGGGATCCACATCCAAGGTCCCCATTTGCTACAAACTCTTCCTGGAAAATGGGAGAATCTTTTTTTTTTTTTTTTAAGCGTCTTGCAAAATATCTTACTTGGTTTTGAAGGACTTTGTGAGATTCAATGTGACTGATTGAATAGCCATAATCTATTTTACCATCTTTGATTTTGTCAACAAAATACTGGTTGGGTATTACCAATATTAATGATATTAGTTTGAACATAAGAAGCCCATACCATGAGGAGGAATGAATGAACCTGTTTTGTTTTCTGTAACATTTTCACTTTTCAAGGATTCATTACACCCTATTTGTGCTCCAAAAGCACTCGCTCACTCGCTCTGTGTGTGTGTGTGTGTGTTTGGTAATCTATCATTATATTAGAAGGAAGGTAGAGAGAAGAATAAAAAAGGGAGAGAAAGGGAGAGTATATAGGGAGAAGAGTGAAACAATTTCCTCTCCTCTCTTTATTTTCATGTGTTCTGTTGCTTTAAGCAATTTTCTCCCAGGGCAGCTCATTTTCAGTATCAGAGCTGAACTAAGAGAAAGCTGCTTAAAGCAGAAGTGGGCAGTGTGGCTCTCGGCTTAATTTTGAAAGCTGCCCCTCTGCAAGTGATGTGCCCCTCTGCCAGCAGCCCACTGGGCACAGAGGAAGCAGAGAGAAAGACAGAGAGAGGATGTGGCAGAAACAGGAGAATAGGATCAACTCTGCCCACTTGTGACACTGGCTGTGCCCATCACTGGCACATGGGCCCTACAGATTGCCCCCTTGAGGGAGCACGGCCCTTGATGGAAAAAGATTCCCTGTCCCCAAGTAAAAGCAATGGACTGTGCTACAGTAAGATGGGAAAAAGAGAGGACAAACATATGGATGGCTGTCCCTTCACTTGACCCTGAAGGGACAAGTCCTTTCTGGACATGATTTAAAGGTGTGTGCCATATCTTGGAATGCCTGGTTTCATTCACATTTTGCTTAATGGAGGGTTTCCTCTGGAATGGGCCCTCTCATCTTGCCCCTCTCTTCTGTTCCCTGACTTACCACCCTTGCAGAATGCTGGAGCACGGGGAGTACAAGGGAAATCTTTACGGCACAAGCATCGATGCGGTACGTGCAATACTTGATGAGGGGAAGATCTGCATAGTGGATTTGGAGCCTCAGGTAAGTCATGTGTGCAACTGTTCCTGTCAACGTTTCCTAGACTAAACTGTTAATTCCATCTCTGAAGACTAGGGACAATGTGCCATGTGATGTACTTTAGGTATAGGCATTTATGGCAAATAAATGAAAGGATACAAATATGTCAAGTTTGGAAGTGCTTAATATCCATGTATGGCTTTTGTTAATTCAGTGCGGTTAATTTGCTGATATGGCACAGTTACTGAACAGAGGGGCTTGCATCCAGATTTAGCCATGTACAAAAGATCTGGCCAAAGCAGAGACCTTTACCTGCTCCATGGCAGCATCTCCAGTTTGAAAAAAATGCTATGTAGAGCTTCAGAGGATACTGCCAAATGGGGTATGGCACTGTGTAGATCCAAATCTGAATCCAAACTCAGTATCTGGACTAGGAATGATCAATGAGACACTTCTTGATATTGATGTTCTTCAGTTAATGTAAATTTTTGAGAGAATAAATCCAATTATGTTGAAGTTAGTAGTCTCAAATATGCATAACTGAACTGTATAACCCTAAGAGCTTTTGAATCAGTAATAGTTACTTTTCAGCAAGGGCAGTGTAAGTGTATCATGTGTTCCATATTCTAAGCTAAAATGTTTGGTTTTCTGTAATTTTTTTTGCCTTGCAGAATATTCAGTTGGCCCGTACTCATGAACTGAAACCCTACATTATATTTGTTAAGCCATCAAGCATGAGCTGTATGAAGCAGTCTCGGAAAAATGCTAGGATAATTACAGACTACTATGTAAACATGAAATTTAAGGTGAGAATTGAGAGGACGAAAAAGGCTGCCTGGTTTGTTTAGCATTCCATGAATCACTAGCATTGCCCTGCTGTTTCTTCACTCTTGACACCCTTGATAGAACAGTCCTGAGGCAGATTGTCCTTTCAGTATTACATAACTAGAAACAGCCTTTCCCAGCTTGGTGGTCTACAACTCCCATTATACGGATGATAGATTTGAAGTCCAAACGCATCTGGAGGGTTCTAGGCTGGGAACGGCTGAGCTAAGGTTTGAACTCAGGTTATAAGTGTGGTGTTATTCCATATTTAACCATTTCAACCTGAATTTGTCTGCTGAATAGATCTAAACTAGAATATACCTCAACATTTTGGGAGTGGACTGAGGTATAAGATTTGCTTGATGCCATCGTTTCTGGAAGCATTAGCTTCCATTCTCATATTTAAATAAGTAGATTAATGTCCCTCCCACTTCTTCGCCTGCCTAAATGGGAACCATGATTACTGTATCATCTGTCAATATTCAGCTCTTCCTCCTCCCCTTTTTTTTCTGGGTCCAAATCGAATGTAGCCACAGACCCTGTGGGAGCATGTAGGATGGAAAGGCACCAAGCTTACAGCCTAGCACCACTCACAAGGAGATGCCACCAGTGGGAATGCATCTCACAGGTGTGTTCATACAGCAGGTTTCATATGGCTGCTCTGATTTATGTGATGGTAATAAAGTGACCAGAAAGGGTGGCCACAGCTGCACAGGACAGCCAGGTGGGGCAGCCCCCAGATGGAGCGGCCACAAACTGTGAATCAGGCTAAATGTATATTCAGTATTACTCAAAGTTCGTACATGCAGCTTCATGATTAATGCAGTCGGGAAAATGGGCCTCAGACTGGTATCTTGTTGAACTTTTAATTAATGGATGGTAATGGGAAAGAGAATCTGAAGACACAGTACCATAAATAATATTGAAGTACAATTAAAATGTAATTTATGGCTGTCGTTTCTTTATGCATACATATTTAAAATGTATGTGCTTTGTTTAAAATAGTGCACACATGCAGTTTATTGCAAGATGAACTTCAACACAAGGGTTTTATTGTAACTGGCCTCTAGCCATGAGAAACAGTTAAAAGATTATGAAAGCATCAGTGTTGGCTTTGAAATACAGAATAAAATAAACAGGTACCACATTTCAGTTGATGCTTTTTCCTCCTTATTACTCTGTTCTCTACAGGAAGAAGACCTGCAGGAGATGGAAGAGTCTGCTAAAAAGATGGAAACTCAGTTTGGCCAGTTCTTTGATCACGTGATTGTGAATGATGATTTGCAGGAGGCCTGCATGCAACTACTGACCGCTGTGCGCCGAGCACAGGATGAGCCTCAGTGGGTTCCAGCAACATGGATATGCTCAGACCATCAGCCATAATCTGTGGGATTAGACAGCTTCACAAAGATTAGTGCTCATGCTTCACTAAAATCATTGTACTGATTGAATTGCCAGAAATAATTTATCTGTGTTTGAAGGGAATTTGGAGAGGTTTAGGCAAAACAATATTGTAAAAATATGGCAATTTTGGCTGTTTTCACACAACATTTTAAGCCAGGAACTGTGAATGAGCAGCATCCTGATGCACAGAACCCATTCACTCCCACTTCTCATTTATTAAATTTATATCCCACTTTTTTTTTTTTTTGAAGAATTCTAAGCAACTTACATCATTCTCCTCTTGCTGCTCTCAATCATCCTCACAGCAACAACCCAGTGAGTTATGTAGGTTGGGCTGAGTCCGTGACTGGCTCAAAGTCACCCAGTGGGCTCCATGGCTGAGTACAGACTGGGACCAAGGTCACCTGACTCCCCAGCCTGCAGTCTTAACCACCGCTCCACACTGGTTCACACCCACTTTGGGTGGGCAAGTAAACAACACAGGAAAGGGAGCCTCATACAATATTTGAAACCAGGATAATGGTTTATTTTATTTATTTATTTTTATTTATTTTTCGATTTATATCCTGCCTTTTTCCTACAAAGGGCTCAAGGCAGCTTACATCCTCCTCCTCCATCTTATCCCCACAACAACAACCCTGTGAGGTAGGTTGGGCTGAGAGTCTGTGACTGGCCCAAAGTCACCCAGTTGGCTCCATGGCTGAGCGGGGACTAGAACCCAGATCACCTGAGTCCCAGTCCCATGCTCTTAACCACTACACCACACTGGCATCTCATTTATTATGTTTATTATGCCTAAACAAGCCAAGTTTTTTAAAGCAAATCCTCACTAACATCATGGTGTATTAAGCTGTAATTCGTGACTTAAAAGTAATATACAAATGGAGTCACTGTTTTGTTTCGCATTCTCTGTGTTCAGTAACATTGATTTTGTACCATAAATAAAAGATTGCTGCATTGTAGATTCAGAATGTGAATTGTTAAAAATAAAACTATCTATTTTGTTGCATGTATTTATGTAAATTGCTTTTATTCATCTTATCAGTGTTTTCTATGGTTTTGAATTTGGTGGCATTTAGGTTGCTTTTTTCTTGTTAAGCATAAGAAAAATTCAAGGATGATTTGACAAATTAATTTCCCAGCTCTTCCTTGGCAGGGCAATCTTTGTTCTGCACAACATCAGTTCTTGATTAATGGCAGGGTTCTCCTGAAAGAATGACACTAAGAGAGGCACTATTAGTGTCTGAGTTGCCCAGCTTTTAGAACATGGCTTCAGCAGCCTGTATATATTGTGGGCAAGAGATCCACTTTAGAAGAAAATAGAAGAAAACAATAGAATAGGGAGGACCAGAGATCTCTTCAAGAAAACTGGAGATATGAAGGGAACATTTCATGCAAAGATGGGCATGATAAAGGACCAAAATGGCAGGGACCTAACGGAGGCAGAAGAGATTAGGAAGAGGTGGCAAGATTACACAGAAGAACTATACAAGAAAGACCTTAACGTCCCTGATAACCACGATGGGGTGGTCACTGACCTCGAGCCAGACATCCTGGAATGTGAAGTCAAATGGAACTTAAGAAGTCTGAGCAACCACAAAGCTAGTGGAGGTGACAGTATTCCAGCTGAGCTATTCAAAATCTTAAAAGATGATGCAGTAAAAGTGCTACACTCAATATGCCAGCAAATTTGGAAAACTCAACAGTGGCCGCAGGACTGGAAAAGGTCAGTTTACATTCCAATCCCAAAGAAGGGCAATGCC